CTCAACAATTTTACATAGCACCTGTACAAGCAGGTCGAGTTATTTCCACTAGGTACTTAATTATTTACCCGACACTACATCTCCTCTCGAACAATTCCCATCAACATTGTGGAACCCAGTGTAAATTTGCTCGAGTAATTGGTAAGTCCGTAAAACGCGGTTGACTTCTCGCTTGATTCAATATTTGAGTTGTCCGGTTCTCCTAAAGACGTTAAACCTGAAACCTGCCCACGCACGAATCGGGCACCGTTCAGGTTCCTGCCGGTCGCCTGCGGGCATTCGAATATTGACAGACGCATTTTTTTCTTCTACGTTTTTTTCTTCGTTCTATTTATTTACGTGTGCTCCGTGGGATTCGGTTCGTTCTCGACACGTTTGTATTGGTTTTCTAGTATGTGTGTATAATGTATAATGTACGTGGAGTTGTATAAGGAAGGTTTATCTTATTAATGGATTTATGATGATGCTTCTTGGCGGGTAGGTTTGTTTAACAGGTGGTTGAAATCGAATTGGAAGTACCTAAATCCATTAGGTAGTTGTTCTGAATACCTTGTAGGTACTACATATTTTAAGCATATTTGATGAAACTCTGTTAAGTATCCACCTACCCTAAAGCATTAATGAGTGGCTTGTATTTATAATCAACTCAAAATTGGCTTTTTTAATACATTATCTAATTGCTGTAAAGATATTTCTCTTTTGAATTACGAGTGTCCTCATTAAATGCGCTTTATATAGGCTACTGAGATGATGAAACGAAGGTAATTCGTCAAAATAATGCGCGCAAGAATGGCGAATTGCGATATTTGTCCTCTACACTAAAATATAATAGACAATAAAAGAAATACATGGGCTGAATGCAAAGTGGATAACATCAAGATCGTTGGTAATTGGTAATTATTCGGTGAATGTTTCTACCCACAAACAGGACATAAAGAAATTTATATGGTATAGGTAGGTACCTCATCTAATAATGGTAAATTAAATAAAATATTTTTTGTAAATGTTGACGTAAGTAAGCACTAAAATTTGGAAGAAAATTTACCCACTTGTACAAGTGTACAAATTTTTATTGCAATTTTTTTTCAATTTATAATTATTTGTTAATCCTAGATAGTTATTTTATATATGCACATCCTGGCATGTTTTTCTGAACCTTTCAAATTAATTAATTATGAAATATTATGTCGATTTTATTACTAATTGGCTTTTGCAACATTACGGTTATTAATGAAGACTTTTGAATGAGCAAATAATACAATTGAAACGGAAATGTTGATAATTAATTTAGAAAATTATGAATATTAATAATTTCTTTATATGTATACATGTAGATAATTTTTATAAATATGCCTAGATATATTTAATGAAGATTTGGTTTGTTTAAATACAAATATGGTAACAACTACAACTGCTAACTATTTGTTTAATTCTAATATCTAAATCTAATTATTTTTCAATAAAACATGCAAGTATAAGAAATATAATAGTATATCAACCGATCAAATTCTTATAAACTACAGGTAGATTTCTATTATATTCCGTATCGAATATTCAAAAAAAATATAAATATAAAAAGGCCTTACCTCTTCTTACCGGCGAAATCGGCCTTGAAAAGTGTCAAAGAACCGGCCAACTACCTCTGTAACAGTCCACTCTCACCAACCTTTCAAACAAGTTCATTATTATTTTTTATTATTTATCTGTACTATTAGAATTATTGCGTGCAATCGTTTCAACCGCTTTATTTCGACCGAAAATTGCGCCAAAACAAGAAATCAAAAAAATTAAAATAAAACCAATAAATTAAATGACTTGTATACAGGCAACAGGTAAACGACATAGCGAAGACTTGTGTGTGCTTGAGCAGAGTAAAAGCGACAGCGGGCGAGCAGAAACCGTCGTCGTCACCGTCAGACGGGCCGGTAAACGAAGCACTGTCCGGGGTGCGCACACCGCACAGGTAACGGGCGCGCTCCGCCGACGACAGGTGACTGGGCGGGGGCCCTCTCACGGAAAGGCAAAAAGTCACTCGAGCCCGCCGAACCGGTCCCCAGGCGGCTTCTTCTCTCTCACCGCGACGACGACGGCGCACCGGCCTCTCCGTCTTTTTCTCGGCTCCGGCTCTCTTTCGTCCGGCCTTTTTTTCCTCCTCATCCGCCGGCCGATGGCATGTCTTCGGCGAGCCGCGTCTGGGGTTCTTTTTCGATCGGGGTTTTCGCGATCGGAATGCCGCGGGAACGCGCAGCAAAGTCCAAAAACCGATCGAGCATGCTGGACGAGAGATAGCGCTGGAATTCGGGAATTTCAATACAGTCGCCAGGGTAATTACCCAATGTAAAACGTGTATCAGATTTATTACTTTCGTACATATTTATCTGTAATATACCTACTTGAAATATAAGATACCTACATTTCTGCATAGCATGATACAAGTGCATCAACGTGATGGATTTCATATACAGGTTGCTCCATTTTCATTGCAACATAGGCTATGGGTGCAACAAAGACAACTTCAATTAGACACTTATAAAGGAAAAAGAAAGAGTGATATTATGTCATTGCAACTTTTCACTCTGACAACTGTTATTTTATTAATCTTTCTTTGTTCAACTCATAGAAATGCCCATGTTGCAATCGCGAATGAAGCACGGTGTAGAATCTGAAACTTTCAAACTAAATCTCGAATATATCATAAACCTACCCATTATGAATCAGAATTCATTATTCCTTACAGACTACGAGTCTGTAATATCTTTTTATTGTACATTTCCATTACAACATTTCCTACACAAACATTTTTACAACATTAATATAAAATCCTGTGCTTAATAAAAAGGGGTCATATTTATACTAGGTTTCTGTTGTACCCAGCATTGAAATCTCCGAGATTCTATTATAATACCTTCTAAACGATGAGACAAACCCTTTTAGATACTTGTAAACCCACAGAAAAATTTGTACATTCTGCAAATGTAGGTGTAGTTTTTCCTCATATACACCTACCTTTTTTCTGTTAATAACAGGTTATGCTTTTCCGTTCTTATAATTGCTAATAAACAAATAGCAGAGTGGATTTAACGAATTCTTTAACAGTCCTCGGTTCTCGTGGAATAAAAAGCCTTCTATAGAGAGAGAGATTGGGATAAAAGACCCGGGTCCAGGTAGATGCGTGTCTTCGATAATGGGTCATGATAAAAATTTAAGTACCTTGGCAATGTTATAAAAAGTCAAAAGTCGGAATGGAATCGGCTCGGCGACGGGACCGAGGGCGAAGCAATCGGAATTCTTGCAGGACAGGGTTTAATAAGACTCTTTTTCTTCTTCTTTTAATTACACTACAGCGGCCCACTTTAATATCGAATAACTATTGTATTATATTACAAGGAATAAACCACAACAATCCTAATGTGCATGTGCATTCTTCATATACTATTATACTTGTATGCATGACTGTATATTCAATCCTGCTATAAAACCAACGTTCTCCGCTATTGCATATTAATACTCAAGAATGCATTAAATTAAAAAAAATCTTCTATAGGTACATCTAATGCATTAGGTAATATATCAACATAAAAATTCTCTTATGGTTTTTAGTTATAGTGGGTAATATTTTCGCGCTGGTATATCGGATCCTCGCCGTCTCGAATGAGACTATAATAAAAACGGGCGAGTAATTTTATATAATCGGGGCGCGGAGTGTGTGTAAGGCGAAAAAGGGCCCGCGCGTCTTTTCCTTCAAGGTCGGCTCTTCCGCAGCGTAGCAACCGAACGAACGGTCAAATATCTCTAATGGCCTTTCGAAGATTACGAGAAAAGAGACGAGGAATCGTATGGGCCCAGTGGCGTGGATGCCATCCGGGTAAAACCTTTGCTATTTTTACGTTGTCGTCGGTACAATCACCACCGATATTATCTGTACGGTAACGTAATCTTAGACACAACGCAAAATTATTTTTGTATGTCAATTTTTTTATTGCCACTTAAATTACGTACGTAAACTGTCAAATAATTTTAAAATGCCGGATGTCAGTATATTTTCTCCTGCTTTTTAGGTAATTAGAGAATAATATAATGGTACCTACATTTATTAAGGTGTCTAACGGTGTCTTATAATATAATTATTGTGTAATTTTGCTACATTAATTACAACCGGCTATACTAATAAAAGAACAGTGAGCTCTGGGCCTCTGGGAATCCCAACTGGAGAGATTGAAAATGAGAATGAAAATCTCGGATGAATCGTCTACAATTTTACTTTTACTACGCAGATAGATAAACCGAAACTCGTTCGATATTTACGCAACCGTAACCATAAAGAATGTCTTCAATGAATGAATATTTAACGGCTGTGACTATCAACTTTAAATCGTTTAATATCCGGACTTCGAACGAGGGAAATATTCACCTTACCGTGAACAATCTACTTACGGTTCACACAGTCAATCGGCGGTAATTTCCTCAAAAACAACTCCTTTATAGACGAGTACCTGCTAACACTTATGATAATTTAAAAAAATGGTGGATAAACTTTTTGAGAAAATTAATGCTTACAAGAAACCCGCTCTATAAATGCTTCTCCATATTGTCTCTAGCTTCTTCTGTACTTACCCATTAGGTATCTTTAATTGACGTGGAAATTAAACTTTTATTTGACGAACGTTGAGACCTCTCGGAGCATTCCAGGTACTCACAAACGGTTGTCCGGTTGTCGAGAATGATCTTTTTACATGTAAAAACCGGTCAAGACTTTATATGTGTAATGTGTCTAGTTGCAATTTCATTTTTTTTTTCGTTTATATCCAAGAAATTCCTTACTGGTATCGGTAGGTAAGTATTAATTCCCTATCGAGACGCACATAGGCGTGCCCCTGTTTCCTTTCCAACTTGTTCTTTCATTAAATTACTCAAATATTACTCTTTATTTGTTCAAAATACTCTAACATCTTTTCGAAGACATGAGGTACTATTGTGAAATCTAATAAATACGGTGTACAAAAAGGTTATATCACATAAGTACCTATCAACCTCTTGGTTTTGTAATCGTAATTATTACAGAAGTTAATACCTACATAACAATTTTCTTCGACGATTTATTTAATAAATCATTACCGGTGCTCCCTGATGGAAGCTCCCCGATAGTACTGCAACATCAAATCGAATGTCATCAATGGTAGAACGATGATCAAGGCGGTGGTGACCAGCAGGAGTTTAAGCCCGCCGTAGAAGATCTTGAGCGGCACGTAGAAAATAACCCAAACGAAGTAAAAGGGTACGAGGAGAATTTGAATGGTCAACCAGGAGACTAGCAGGAACCATTTCAGTAGCGGGATTATGACTTGCAATGAGTACTCTTTCAGTATGATCAGGTAATGTAAAGAGCTTTTAATTATTTGCACTACCAGGGATGGGACTATCAGTACTGACATAGGTGCTTTAGTTTTATTTTTAATTTATTATATAAACGTCCATTTTTACGTGTACATCACATTTTCAATTTACTTTTTCTTATCTAAAATGACATTTGTCATTGATTAATTGACATTTAATCAATTATTAATGCCAAATCATTTTTATTATATCAAAATAAAATTGCAAATGTATTCAGTTTGGTCCTAAATGGTGTCCTATTATTTTTTATTGATCCTGTTATATTGGTAGTTTTGAGGTGTAAAGAAAATTATTTGAAACAAGGAACAGTTTTTTTATAAGATAACTTTCATTCACCAGATTCTGTAATTTATTATTCAATGTTATTTAAATAAAATGGTTATTAATCATTTAGCCTTCTACTATTTCGTGCATCCAGCCACAGTTACAGTTGCCCAAAAATCAAGATTTAATTCACATAAAAATAAAAAGAAGATTTAATGAGGTTATGTTATCAACTGTTGCTTGTTTTGTTTATTTTTAAGCATGCTTAAAGTTTTTAATTAATAATAACATTATTCATCTGCAAAATGAAAACATTTAAAAGTGCTGCATGGGATTCCGATGCGAATACATCGACATTCCAGGAATTGTTTCAGGTAAAATATTTTTTTTTAATTACGTTCCGATTCAAGTCAACTAACACGATTTATAAACAACATTAAAGTTGACAGTTGGTGTGTTTAAATTCTCCTTTCACAAATTCACGTTAAGAATCGCTGAAAGGCAATTGTAATAATGCAGCGATGTGGATAATAACGAGAAATTTAACCAGGAAAAATTTGTCGAAAATTCTATCGAATGAAACAGTTCACCTATCGCCCGCAATCACATTCTACACTGGGAAATGCCTTTCAAATAAAGCGAACAACGCTAAAAGCGTCAGCAATTATCCGGTAATCGAGAAGAATTTTCCCCTTAAGGATGTGAGTTCCGAGGAGCCTGTTAACGGGAGGTACAGGAACCTTCCGTTTGCCTTGGCTTTCGTTAGTTTCTCCGTCGCTTTATTCGGTGTTTACCTTTTTACGAACCTAAGAAACGGAAACGACAACAAGAGCTGGAAATATTACTACCAGAATTTACAAAAGCAAATCAAAGATTTAACGACCCTAATCAACAAACCATCTAGAGAAAAACTCTTACCCGATCCAGTGCAATATCCGTATTACCAACCAAAATACACCCTCATTCTGGAATTCACCGATGTAATAGCCCATCCGGATTGGACCTATAACACGGGGTGGAGGTTCAAGAAACGCCCGGGTCTGGATTACATGCTGGAAAATCTGGTGGGATCTTTCGAAATCGTCGTGTTCACAGCCCAACCGGGCATGACCATTTTCCCCGTTATCGACGCTCTCGATCCGAAGAGCCTCATTTCCTACAAGCTCGTCCGGGATTCCACGCACTTTGTCGACGGTCATCACGTGAAAAACCTGGAGAAACTCAACAGGGATCTGAAGAAGGTGATCGTGATCGATTGGAATCCGGAATCGGTTAAATTCCATCCGGATAATCTGCTGAACATTCCTCGGTGGAAAGGTGAAAACGACGATATGGCGCTGATAGATTTGACTTGCTTTTTGAAAACCATCGCTAGCACGGATATAGAGGATGTTAGAGAGGTTTTGAAGTTTTACAGGCAGTACGAAGACCCCCTGAGAGAATTTCACATGAAATATAGGGAATACGTCGAAAGCAAAGATAGCGAGCAAATGCAGAAAATCCCAATGAAATCTACCTTGTTAACGTGAATAATGTTGATTTCTAAATTGATTTGGTATTCACTGTGATTGATGTTTGAATTAAATTTTTAATAACTTAATTTTTGTTCTTATTTTTTACATTTTTTTATTTTAGAAAAGTAAGAAGATTAAGAACACAATCGACAAGAGTAGAAAGGAGGTGAAGAAAAATGCGAAGGCTCTGGAAAAACGAATAAAGAAAAAATTGAACAAAAAGAATGCTGCTGTTACTGACACGAAGAATTTAATCAGTACACCTGAAGAACTGATGACTCAAAGTAAAAAAAGAAGACTCAGGAAGATGAGAGCTAAATTAAAAAAGGATGATAGTAATAATTCGCAGACTGATTTATCATCTTTGGTTAGTGTTAAAAAAACTAAACCAAAAAAAATTAAGTCTAAACCAGTTAACGAAGAAATTAAATTGGTTCTGGCAACTCCGGAAGAGAACCAGGAAAACCCACAACCAAAGAAGAAGAAAAAGAAACCGAAGAAAATCAAAACTGAGATAGAAAACGAGCCGAAAAAGCCAACAAAGACTTTCAAAAAGAGCTTAAACAAACTCGTTTTCAGCGACCACTCGTTTACTGAAAAACTACTAGATACACCTGAAGACGCACACAAAAGCAACAAGAAAGAAAAGTTCTACAACAAACTGAAAGTGGCCCTTAATTCGACCAAAAAATCCAAACCAATGGCAACGCTGCGACAGAAGATGATAGAAAAATTAAAATCGGCCCGATTCCGTTTCATCAACGAACAAATCTACTCGACTGACAGCAAAGAAGCGAAAAAGCTGTTCGAAGAAGACCCTGAAGCCTTCAAGTCCTATCACGAAGGGTACAGAAACCAGGTCAAGAGTTGGCCTGTCAATCCCTTGGATTTGATTATCGAAAAAATTAAAAAGCTGTAAGTTAAATTGAGTTATCAGTACTTTTAAAAACTCATACTAATTCTATTTTAGACCGAAAACCAACGTTATAGCTGATTTCGGATGCGGAGATGCCAGACTTTCGAAATCCGTAGTCCAGAAGGTCCATTCGTTCGATCTAGTAGCCACTGATGACTCTGTAGTCGCCTGTGATATGTCCAAAGTGCCATTGGAAAATAATTCCGTGGATGTTGCTGTGTTTTGTCTGTCGCTGATGGGGACGAATTTGAGGGATTATCTCTTCGAAGCGAACCGGGTGCTTAAAATAGGGTAAGTTAGCGTTCTACTTTTGTTCATTTTCTGGTTACTTCATAACGAAATTTGTTATAGAGGTGTATTAAAAATAGCGGAAGTTGAAAGTAGATTTGAGGACGTCGAGCAATTCATAAAAGGAGTTCAACATTTCGGTTTCAAGAGCATGTGGAAGGATTTATCGCACAATTTGTTTTATTTTTTGGATTTCAAAAAGGAGAAGGACGTTAGGAATAAGAATAAATTGCCGACGTTGAGTTTGTTGCCTTGTTTGTACAAGAAAAGATGAATCTTGTCGAATATAAAAATATTGAAAAAATATATATTTAACTATTAAACAACAACAAGAATTAGTTTAATTGGGTGCTTCTATCCCGTCTAAAACATCTTCGGCTTGCTCTCTTAAGTTTTCCACTCTTTCGAGGAGCAGCATCTATAAAAAAGATTAAATTAGTGGATATTTTTCATATTTTTCGCAATAATTGTTTGACTAATAAGTTACTTAGGCATTGTTAAATTACCTTAGCAGCCGCTATGAGTTGATCAGCGACCTTTCTCGACATAAATTCGACCTTTTCAACCAAATCATTCACGTTCGCCTTTGCGATACTGGACAACGTTTTATATCCTGCATTATACAGTTGTTTAGCTCTACCCTAAAAAATCACAATTCCCTGTAACTTTCAACCCTTTTACCTGCACGTTCGAGGCCATTACTTGCTTAACCGACGGCAAATCCATAAGAGGCAGAAGCTCTTTGACGCAACAATGCTCCAACCTTTGACTCATTCCTCTCAAAAGGAAGGCGAACGCCCACAATTCCTCCAGTTGCTCGCAGAAACTCACCACGTTCGATGAAAACGTCGACGCCGAAGTCATCAGGTTTTGAACTATCCCTCGATTTACCTAAAATAAGTATTCTAGTGAGGGATAGTCACACCGAAAAGCAAATCGAGAAAATAGTTGTTCGATCACTGCAGCTGTTTATGAGGTTTGATACAGATTAAAGCCCTTTAAAGTCGTTTTAGGAAGATTATAAGCTTGCATACCTGAAATTTTTCTGCTACTGTGAACACGGGCACCTCGTTCCACAAATCGTAGAGCATCAAAGTAAGATAGAAGCGATTTATCACACGTTTAGGAACGCTCTAAAATCGCGATAGTTTATAATTATTCGCATAAAATTCAAAATGTCTTACCGTAACGGGTTTATTCGTCAGCAGCTTCATCGCAACCGCCTCGTTTATTTGCAAATTTTTAGCAACCGCCATATCGTTGGAATTCAGTCTAATGAACTGGAAAATAACGAACATTTTCTCGATTTTCTGTAACTAACAAACAATCCGCGACTTACTACTTCGTAATACGTTTGCTTATTGGGAGTAATTTGCTCGGCCAAATCGTAAGGAGTGATCAGATACAAGAGGTGTAAATATCCTTTTAGAACTAGAGACGATTGTGCTTTGGAGAGATCTTCGTATAGTATATGGGCTTTGGAGAGTTCCAAACCACCTGTAAATTAAATCGATTAATTTCTATTATATGCGATTAAATCTGAAGGTTTACCTTTTATTGCAGCACACCCCAATTTGCTAACGACCAGTTTCGTATCATCTTTCAAAACCAAAGTCTTCTTTTTCTTCTTAGTCTTATCCGCAGGGGAATTTTCGACCACCGAAGCGCCTTGAAGAGATGTCTGTAAATATATTTCAAATCAATCTAATGCCCTTATTACACTCTTACGAACATAAGATGATCAAGACCTACATCCATTGCAACTGATACATTGTTCCCGATTTCCTCTTCTTTAACCTTCCCACAGGATTCCCTCAACGCTCCCAACTTAAACAAACTTTTAATAATCCCATCCGTTATCCTCTTAATATCCACGTTCAACTCCTCCTTCTGCACGGCCAGCAACGTCCGCGACGCCACCCTCCGCAACTCCGATCTACTATTAGCTATCCCCAAGCTGATGCAGCTCAACAGAAAATGCCTCAGCCCGATCCCGTCGAACTTGTGCATGCCCGAATGGGCCTTGTTCATGGGCGACATGATCAGCTCCACCACTTTGGGCATGTCCTGCGGCTGGGCGATGAGGATGCTCTCGCCGTACTCCCCCAGGCCCGTGCGCCCCGCTCGACCGGCCATTTGCTTGTAGCGCGACAGGCTGATGAAGTCCCGGCCGACGTAGGGCGCTCGAAGGATCACCCGCTTCGCCGGCAGGTTCACTCCTGCTGCTAGCGTGGACGTGCAGCAGATCACGCAGATGTCGTTCGAGCGGAAGCCGTCTTCGATTATGCGCCTTTCTTCGGTCGTTAGGCCTGGAAAATTCGACGATTGTCAACCCAATGATGCAAATCTAATTCGATTTATAACCTGAATGGTGGTAGGCGATTCCGTATTTGATGGAGGTTTGTAGTATGTTGCAGAGTTTGCCTCCTTCGGCTTTTAGATTGTTTAATATTTGTTGTTTTTCGGTCCTTCGGTGGTTCTTTAAGTCGCTAAAATGAAGGAAATTAATTGGTTTAAGAGGAGAATTGTGCGAACGTACGGTTTAGAAAGTTTAGATAATAGACTAGCGACGTTTTCGCAGTTCTTTTTAGACGGGCAAAATACCAAGCAGGACTCTTGCGGGACGATTTCCATTACTAAACCCACCAGCATGTCGGGATCCAATTTTAAAACTTCGGGTGAATACTGCAATAGTTAAATAAATACAGGGTGTTAATTAATAAGTGCGACAAACTTCTGGGGGCGATTCTGCATGAAAAAATAATGATATTTTGCTATATAAACATGTCAAAAATTCGTAATAGTTACCTCTCAAAACCCACCATATTTCATTTGAATATCTCGTTTGGTTTCAGAGAAATAAATCTTCGGTTTTTATGAAGAAACTTTAACACCCCGTATTTCGAAAACAAAGCATTGCTATGTTTATATAGCAAAATATCATTATTTTTTCATGCAGAATCATCCCCTGAAGTTTGTCGCACTTATTATAATTAACACCCTGTATATATTTGACGAAGAATTTTATAATTGTACCTGAAAGTTGATAGTTTTACAATCCACTAGTAAATCTTCTTCGTCTTTGTACTTCCAATTGATTTTCGCCAATTTATTTTCGCATTTAACATACTCCGTCAATTCGACCGGCCGGAAATAATTAGTGTAAGCCTCGGCGTTCAAGAACTTGCATATATCTGGTAAATTTCCTATTGTAGCGCTCATGCCGATTATTTGAATATTCGCTGCAAATACATCCGAAACTAATATTATATTACTGGATATTTATTAATAATATGCACCTTTTAAAACCAGGATTTTAGTTAAGGCGGCTTCTAAGGTCGCCCCTCTGCCATCTTCACCTATTAGGTGAAATTCATCTACAACTACAAGGCCTATTTCGTGCAATCTGTCGGTTTCTATAAGGCTGTTAATAAGCCCTAAGGCCTTTTCAATAGTAGCAACGTATATAGAATTCTTCCTTCTTCGTTTCCTGGGCGGGTAAGATCCTTTACTAGAAGCGTATTCTTCCACTAGGAAATCTAAAGCCACGCCGAAAGGAGATAAGGCCCAAACCTGTTACAACACAACGTACTAGTTTAATTTAAAAAATTATTACAGTTGACGAATTACCTTCTCTTGCACGATTGATACATAAGGTAAAATAAATATAGCGTTCCTTTTGTAGCACAATAATTCCCGAAACATGAGTATCTCGGCTACTAAAGTTTTTCCACCGCTTGTAGGTAGTGCATATATTAAATTCTTTTTTCTTTCGATTGCTGGTAGTTTTAAGCATTCGTCTTGCCAACCTGAAATGTATTTATTTTTAATATCATTATTGGGTAGATATTTAATTGTGTACCATATAAATTGTCTATTCCTTTGTATTGTTTAATTAGTTGTTTTACTCTTAAAGGTAGCCCGTAGAAAGGACCTAAATTTATAAATTCTACAGCCTTCTCCGCAAGGGTTAAATTCAAAGGTTCCGGTTTCTTTTCTTTGTTTAATTGCGACTTTGCTGAATTCGCGATCAAAGCCTTTTTAATGAGGGTTCCGAAGCTTAGATCCGCACTAGCCAATTCTTCACTTTTGGTGGCATTTAAGAATAAATTGTTTCTATCGTCCTGAGTGAAATCTGTGTTTTTATTAAAAATCAAGTCCAACATTTCATCGGATATATTCAATTGCGAATGGTTCTCTCCCATAGCGCAAACGGTGCGTTCGATTTGTTCGAACATTCCCACGATTTCTTGGCGACAATCGCTGGTGACTAGTTTGTTTTGGAACATCTGCAATCTCTTATCGATTTCGATGTTTGAGAATTTGTTCGATTCTAATGCATCTTTTGCCATATTTGATGTTGATTCTTTGGAATTTTCCTTGTTAGCTGTCGAATCTATCTCGTTTAGTATTTGCGTATTGAAAAAGGTAGACGATAAACTAACATCTTTGTGGTTGTTTTCGGGTGATTGTTGCTTCGGGAATTGCAAATAGTTTGCGAATGCGTCTACTTTCGGGGCATTCGATCTACTTTTATTGGATTTATTTATGATATCAGTAACATTTAGGCCGTCCAGAGTGTCTTCTAGTAATCCTTTTGCGAATGGTTTTTCGTCAGTTTTAATCCTTTTTTCGGGCTGGTTCGTTGTTGATTGTGATCTCTTATTTGAAGCAGGTTGTGACCAGTCGGGAAATTCAAATTCCTGTGAACTTACACCACTAGAACTCTTGGAATTTAAAGATTTAACTTTCGTACTCTCCTTTTTTGTATAAGTAGTTATAGAATCTTGATCAAACATATCTATGCTTTCTAGAAGGGAATTATCACTCTCTAATATATCTGCCGTTGATTTATTCATTATAAATAGTGTAATAATTATTATTTTTTTGTTTAAAGCTTTTAAGAATTCAAAAATTAACGAACATAACCTCAACTACTTTTCTTCTTCTTTTTGAGAATATATTAACTGTGAGCTAGTATGAGACAAGATCAGTTAATAATAAAAAAGAAGTAAAATCTCAAATTTTACTTTCAAAAATACTTTTTGAGTGTATATTTAAATCATACACCTAGAGTACTGTAACTTTTCTTTATTTTAATATAAAATATCACATTGATTTAATACAATAAACAGTAATCTTAAAATAAATTAAGTCATCTCCCATTATTAACAAAAATTCTCTCTTGAGTTAGCCTTAGTACGAAATTCTTGCGTTCCGTGGTGCCCAGACTCTGCCCCATTTTGACCTTGGCCCCCGGCGCTATCGAAAACTGAAAATTATCCGGCGCCTCGAATATCAAAACGATGGTCGAACCCATCCGAAACTCCCCCATAATTTCGCCCCTCTTCAAATCCACCTTGTTGCCCAAGCACACCTCCTTGTACTTCTTCCCTTTGAACGGCTTGTTCGTTTGCAGCGTCTTGTCGAAGTACACTCGCACCGTACCTACATTCGTAGCACCTACAACAATATATTCTAATAATAATAATTCTGGCGAATGAGGTGATTGTTTAGAACGTACCCACTGCTGTGTAAGAGAAAAATCCGTGCTCCCATTCGCCGAGGTATACGGCTCTTTCGTTCATCGCAAATAACCCCGGTAACCAACTGGCTATGCTCGGATTAACCGACAGCAATTTGCCCGAGAAGTGTCTACGGTGCGTCGGTTTCCACTCGACAGGTGAATGAAACCTACAAAAATTAGTACTCGTTATTAATGGAGAGGAGTACGGCTTTTTTTAATTTCTTTTATAAAACTAGGTATTCTTAAGAAGTCATTGGTGAAATTTTTAATTTTATCCGTTTCCTATTAAGGCCACAATTAATTTTTAAAGTATGAAATACGTCACATGTCATTAACCAATCACATTAAAAATTGGTGGTAAAGATCGTTTTTAGCGACGTTGTCAACTATAATTTATTTGTTATATTTCTTGATAGTTATGATTTATTCGAAAAATATAGAGCGAACTTATAATTGTTAAATAAGATAATATGCCTATATTTATGAATTACTGTAAATATCGAAAATGCTAAATTATTGTTTAGTAAAAATGGTAATGTGGCATCATCGAATCTATACTTTTGACTTTTTAAACATGTCAAATAATAAAAACAAAAACTTCACCTCCAACTAAATCAATTTATACAAGTTTAAAATGTCGCATCCAAAAGTAGTTTAAGCTTGTTTCATGCCGTTTTGTGAAAATTCTTCATTGTATTCTAAAAAAGTGTTTATTTTTGGTCCAATAAACTTAAAACAAAGAAATTATAATAACCTAACCCTAGATATGTCGTCTGTCATTTGATGTTACATTTCACTTTTGTTCGTTTCTTCTATTCTTCCGAACAGTTTCGTTCGAATTCTTATGTCACTAATGATTCAATACAACAAAGCTCTCTTGTGATTGGTTAGTGACTTTACACGTCACGGGTCAAAATTTTAAATTTAAAAGGGCTATATTTCCTAAATTATTGAATATTTTCAGCAACTGAAAACTGATTTGTGTTCTAATCTTTTCAAATATTTGGCTAAAACCCGTATATCTCAAATTGTACTCTCTATTGTAAATAAAATTGCACAAACTACAAACCTATGGTAATCACCCGGAGCTAAATATATAACGCATTGATACAGCCTGTTCCCTTCGTGAGGTCGTTCCAACAAAGCAGTCTTGAAGTCCCCGTTGCACACGTTTTTAGCTTTCGGCGTTTGCTCGCCCAGGAAGTCTCTCAACGAATACGTCACGCCTTTCACCTGTGGAATATAACGCGTAGAAATCCTTCTTCGAAACCAGGCTGGGAGAGAGGGCTTACTTGTTCGACTTGCTCGGTATCGACAGTCCCGAAATGGAGGACCGTCCCGTCACAAGGCGCCACGATGCTGCTGGCGGCGTCGATCTTCCTGACGCCCTCCTTGAGCGATCTGGCGAAAAAGTCCGCCAGACTGGGGTAGGTTCGCAGATCGTCGGCGGCCGCTTCGGAGAGATCCACGTCGAACACGGTCGAGTAGAGTTTGTATACGGGCGGCCTCAGTACTTCGGGCAGTTTTATATCTACAAATGGCAAAAAAGAGCGCGTATAGTCTGGATAGGTGCGGTTGGTTTATCGTGCGAAAATAGGAAAAACATGTAACCTGGGCGATAACCCCGATTTAATAGTAACGTGGGCGCTTCACTGGCGTTTGCCGTCAGTAGAGGCACATCACAGGTCTGAAATATAAGGCAGAGATGATTAAAAGGAAAACGGCGCGTCTACGCCAAAAATCCACAACCGTGTCAACATTTTTTTTTTCGTTTACTTTTCCTTCGATATTTCCAATAGTTCATTTTCATACTCTGTTCGCCATCAGGAGATACCAAAAAAACAGCAGAGTGACAACGAAAAAAATCCAAAACTATCCAAGGTGTTAATTGAGTGCCGAATACTTCAGAATGTGAATATTTGGATGATTTTAAAAAGAAAAGTTTATATCAATATATGTCCTAAACCTCTTAGTTTTCGAGTTACAGGGCGTTATTAGAAAAATAAATAATTTTTCTATCATAATTTTCTTATTACTCCAGATATTTTATGAAATTTCGCACGTGGAGGTCACTGACAATAGTAGAAAATGAATTTTTGTCCAAAATATATCAAAAAATATGTCCAAAATATCAAAAGCAGTCTCAAAGAATTTGGGAAAAAAATGTTTTGGTTTTTATTTTTTTACGCGAAAATGGTGCGTCATACGAAAGTAAGTCTTTGGACCGAATTTGCTACAAAATAAATAAGGATTTTAAAAATAATTTTGTTTTTTTAGAAAAAGCAGTGGCGTACCATTTTTTTAAACATATTTGGTTCAAACCCCGTACCTACGTCACTGGTAAACATTTAAAAAAATCTTTTGCCTCAAAAAATGCTCCTTAATAATTCAAAAATGTGTGCAAAATTTCATAAAAATATCTGGAGTAATAAGAAAATTATGATTGAAAATTAACTTATTTTCTAAAATTGTAACATCCTGTAGCTCGAAAACTAAAAGTTTTAGGACATACATTGATAAAAACTTTTCTTCTAAAAATCATCCAAATATTTACATCCTGAAGTATCGGCACTCAGTTAATTAACACCCTGTATTATGGCCTTTACCATTGTGTAATGTGTAGTGATATTTATTTAGTAGCGCCACTCTGTATACGGGGTGTATAAGAACACAGTGCAGAATGGTGCTTCCGGGAATCAAATAGATACCAAAAGGATGTAAGAAAATTAAAAATTACTTAAAATGAAATTAAAAAAAGCGTCATTGATATTTGTATCAATACCGAAAACTAGCCGTAATTATTACGGATAATTGTTGGTTATTTATCAAATTATGAATTAAATACTTCTTAATTAATAATTAGCGCGAAAAGGTTCTATTACAATTGCCTGTTAGCGAACGGAGTATATTTACATACATTTTGAAAACAGATTCATTTCGTTATTAACAAAAATTTTGTTAAAAAATAATAATTTTTGGCGAAGATCAATAAACAATGCACCAATAGAGAGGTAAAATTAAAATAACCGCATTTATCTCGAAATAATCTTAATCTTTAAAAAAACATCCTCGGATCTGTTTGTGAAAAATTGCAATAAATAAAAAAATATATAGGTATTTGACCTCTCGTTGGCGCTCAAGACAACTGATAAACAAACGTACATACCGCAATACATCTTCCTTTAAAATAATTTTTTTAACAACAATATTAAGCGAATAAGTGCAATATATCTCACCTGCTATGTATCCCCAGCACCTGGACACCGTCCTCAGGGGCAACAGACAATAACAGCTAATCTCCCATTTACTGGCAGTGTAGGATTCGAGGCTTTTCTGCCGCCTCCTGAACGCCCGCCATTGCATAACCGCTATCAGGCAGATTCCCACCGGCAGGAATCGAGTGAATATCGTCTGCCATTGAGAACTACCTGCGAAACAAACGGACCGTGAAAAATTCATTTTTTTAACACAGATATTTTCACTGTTAGGTTAACCTGGAAGTTGCAGTTTCGATGGAAGTCAGGTATTGTTAATTACTCGTGTAGAAGACAAGTTAATGAAGCAGATAATAGAAATGATTGGGATATCTGCTTCGTTCACTCATGCTCTATAATCGAACTGAATGGTTCAAAATAATTTTTAAATAAAGAAAAAAAATATCCCCTTTAAGGTAAATAACAAATAATAAATTTTACGTTTTCTCTTAACAAAATAGCTCGATGTTTCGTAGAGAGTATTTACAAAGCGAGATACCGAAGAATCTAATCAATGCAAACACTTTGGGGATTTTGGAATAATAAAATTTACAATTCGGTTTTAGAAACTACCAATAACACGAAAACGAGCGCACTTAAAACCGATAGAAAACCGAATGGTAAATCTCACCTCGATATTCGAATAATTAACATTACACGGACTTCTCGGCGCACCGCAAAGAATACGAAACTCGAAACTCGCCACTCAAACGCGCCGCAAAATTAAGGTAAATTCAAACAAATTCGTCCAGACCTTCGATCAAAACGTATGCGATCAGGAAAAAGAATTCGAAATCGAATTTCTCCATCGTCGATTTTGTGTATTTCGAGTGCGGAAAAGCCGTGAACTGAAAATTGTGCCGTTCGAATTCGACCGCCGTTTTATATACGAATATCGTCGAAAGGAGGAAGCGCTCGGGTCATCCAGACTAACCTCTTCTTATCGAAGAAGATGCGCGGTGGGAGTTTTTACTTACTCGAAGATTCCTTGGTACTGATATCTCTTTTGACAGCTGTCGTGAGCGACAACCTTGAACTGAGCGTCGTTTTTCCCCGGGAAACTGACACGTAGCTTCTGAATGATATTATGCGGTAAAATCTGAAACCACCATCGGCTAGATTAATTTATCTTCTCGCAATTGGCCGGGAAATAAGGCCCAATATAGTAGGTGGTTATGGGGATTTTTTTATTACTTTATGGTGGAGGAGAGTTTGGAAATTGCAATTTATAAGAAAAGTGCAAATTTGTTTGCAATGTGGTCAATTCTATGAGTTGAACAAAGGAGGATTGTTAACATAACAGTGGTTATAGAGCAAATTGCAATCTTACAATGACATTATCCTTGTTTCACCCATGCAATTTGCACTTCTGCACTGCATATTAAACTGAAATTGCATTAAGAAATAATTGTTTTACCACCTACAAGCAATTTCAGTAATAGAATTTTGTTTACGAAATCTTCACAAGGGGAATCCTTTTTCTCTAAAGTTTGTTTGGTCTGCTTAAACTAATCATTACTTTGTGTTTACAACTCAACATAAAGTTGACCCCGTTTTTCTTCATTCATTTCCATTCATCGAGGTTTTCCCGATTTCCACGCAAAAAAGCTTACTAATTCCGTGTAAATGACACTTTCTTATAGATTTTTATCGATTGCATGTTAATAAAAATAACTGAATTAGATCGCTTGTGCTTGTTCGCTGAGGTTGTGGGAATGATGCAAGTTCAGAAAAGGTCAGCTTCGACTGATAGCATTTTTAACGGTTTAGAGAATGAGGGAGTAAACACATTAAATCTCGGAAATAAAAAGAAATCGCTGAATTATCGAGTAAATACAATTTCGTCGCATTGTTTGGCTACGTGTGTGCCGTTTCTGAAAAATTATTACAAACAACAACAATAACGTTGTTTATTTTGCTTTCGGGGTCAAAATTATTTAATATTTAAATCGAATTTAACTAATAGCAGTACTAATTTTTAATAGAATTAATGCAGTTTCCTTGGGACATGTGCAGTAAATTACAGTTACTCATGGATATTAATTACAAAGCGTTTTTTGATTGGAAGCATGCAATAAATGCAAGATCTAAGCGAAATGCTTTTATCTTATCAGGTTTTTTTTGAATTGCCAAGTAATTAGAAAAACCCGATGCATTTTTATCAAATGAGATGTTGCTACTTCGAATTGAAATAATATTGGTAAATCTATTCGAAGATTGAAAAATATTTGGAACGATTTTTTTAATGTTAGAAAAAAGAGATTTTGCAATATAGTGACCTCTGTGAGAAGGTATTTGGAACCTCGTATTAAGAACGAAAATATGTGCACGACGATGTAAATATTTTTTTCAATATAAGGTCATTTCTTTTCCAAATAAGAGTGTTACAAAATACTTATTTACGCATTAACAAAGAAACCTAATTTAACTATATATCTTCTATCTACTTTTTGATTATGTGTAAAATTTTGATTATGCACGTTCTTTAGTCCTCCTTTCTGCAAACTTCTTCATATTAATCTATTCTTTAGTTCTAACTGGTTCTTAATTTGTTCATTATAATCTATTCTTTAGTTCTAACTGGTTCTTAATTTGTTCATTATAATCTATTCTTTCGTTCTAATAAACAAAATAAAACTACCTGATGGTTGATAAAAACTTGTAGTGATGTAATTATGTAGTTAAAAAAAATCCCTTATTTTTCAGTAAACTATAAAGAGATAAACAATTCTGGGAATTCGGAAATCAAGATAAAAAGATGAAGCAACAATTTAGTGATTTCCACAATTTTAATTTAAGTCTAAACAATGTTATTTGTGCATAAATAAATATAGTGAATGGGGGGATTTTTAGATAAAAAGGAATTTCGTGAATTTAATGTAAGACATCAGGTCATCTTGTAACCTCTATGCTACTGTTAAATTTAAATCGCTATCGATTATATAATTACAATCGAACGTATTGGTATTAAATATATAAAATAATACTTACAATGGTTTAGTTCTAACTATGATAAAGGACATCTTGCTGCGTGATATCTGAGTGTTGCGACACGACTAATGTTTTAGGCAATTACCATTTTAATGAATTTAAATTGAAATTTCTCTTAACAAAGCATCGAACAAAAAAATGATAAGGGGACAAAGAATAGAACTAACACACCATTATATTGTAAACATAACCTCTACGGAAGTAAAACGCACTTTGCCTTTGTTGACGACATTGACGTAAATGACAGTAAATGTCAAAGTCAAAGTCAACATTTCAAATTCTCACAGATGACAGATAATTCTGTATAGTCGAGGGGCTTCCGTTAAATATTCATCCGTTCAACAATAGTCTGGTTCTAAACACGATAAATTTGGATATGTATGAATTATTTCGTTAGGGTAAAATAATTAAATCGCATAAAGAAAAATATATTTTTTATTCATTACTTTGTGACAATAAACTTTTTAGACATTTTCAGACAAAAATTTTAACTTCCAAACGAGACTTTTATCAATATACACCGAAATTTTAATCGATCCACTGGACGACACGCTATTTTAATTTCATTAATTCTGCAATACTTGCGAAATTCAGTCAATAATGGGCTGCAATTTGTCTAAATAATCCTGCAACTCATCGTAGGTGGGATCGTCCTTTTCGTGTCTCATGTCCCTCAGGTGGCAATGCTTACACTCCGGTACTTCCTGCTCTTCTGTCGAATTACTCGAATCCTACAGTGAGAATTTTTAATTCGTAGAAGACAGAGTAAATTGTTGATTACCTTCGGGGGCTCCTTCACCGCCTCCTTTTTCGGCTCCTTCCCCGGCACGCTCCTCGCTCTGGAACTGTGAGTGGGTGTAGACAACCTGGAAATGATTTTATCAATCCTCTTCATCCTCTTCCGTAATCTGGGTATCTCGTATTGCACGACGGGCGAATCGATTTTGGGCAGCACGATCTTCTTCTTGGTGAGCCTCGGATTCGTCTGGACGCAGTTCTTCTGCGACCTCGTCAGAATGTCGGTGAACTTCTCGGACTCCTCTTGGAGGTTCATCTTGAAGATTTCCGTCAAGGGCGGCCCGGACACGTTGGGCGTGTCCAGCTGCTTGTAGAAGGGCGACACGAACTGGCGAATGTGAGCGCTGGACAATTTGGACAGAATCGGCTTGGACGACGGTTGGACCAATATCGATACGTCCTTCTTCTTCTTGCTGGCGAAGAAATGCTCGCATTCCGGTATGGGCTTCTCGTTCTCCCTTTGAAGCCTGGCCAAACTGAATCTGTGCAAGCTGGGCGACTGCGTGTACTTCCCTTGTCTCTGCGCTTTTACCGGCTTGATTATCACCGGGGAAGGATTCACCAGGACCAAGTTGTCTTCACTGTCGGATAGCTGGTACACTCTAACAGGTTGCCGGACGAACTTGTCCCGCGTCTGAGTCGAACATTCGTAACATTCATTCTGTAAATATCGAAGCGGAATATGACTTTATTTGAATAATCGCCGGTGTCGTTTTTTGAAGAATTAAGCGAATTGGATATAATTTTTATTTCCAAACAACTGTTATCACACAATTATCACATTTCTCTTCAGCATACGAGAAATCGCGAGGAATCGGCTCTAACAAAATCGTTAACGAAGCTTTCCATTTTTAACTAGCTTCTTTAGGCTTACAACAAACAAACATCGAGTTGAATATACGATTATAAATTACAGTAGAGTTTAAATCTTATTTAACGCGCAACAAAATGTAGACAAAAACAATTACAATGCATTGAAAAAAAACCAACGTTAACTTCATCGAAAGAGCCCCATTTCTCGCGATCCAGACGCCAAATCGAGTACACTAAATCGACATCATCATGACGTTCGTGTACGTTGGAAAGCTCAAATGCGTCACGGTAACCGGCACTTGGTGCTTTTGGAACACTTTGCTCCTGACCAGCTTCAATCTAGGATACACCGGTATCCTACTCGACGTGTTCCTTTGCCTCACCACTTCGTCAACACTAAAAAAAAATAATTCACAATCAGACTCGCTACCAAGAAGGTGGGTAGTAAAAGCAAGCCCAAAGGTGGTCCCAATAAACGATTAATAATGGAGGATGAAGGAATCCATGACGTGGTGGATGAAGATAAAGAAGTGCACCTTGTGTACGAAGTAATACACCTGGTGGATGAAGATAAAGGAATGGACCTGGTGGTGGAAGATTGCACCTACTTGCTTCTGTCGCTGGGGAAACTCCCGTCTCCGTGGCCGCCGTTCGTAATGGCCTGATCGGAGGCGATCAGCTTCTGGCGCTCCAGCGTCTTGGTGATGTTGCTGATGTAGCGCGCCGTCTCCTTCCACCAGCACTTGTACATGCTGCGCTGGCAGTGGTCGCGGCCGCACCTCGGGCACGCCTCCAACTCCGAGGCGGATTTGGTGTGCCGCAGAAACGAGAACGTCGGCGCCGCTATCCGTTGGATCTGGAATCGGAAACGTTTAATTTTAAGTCTGGTGCGTCCAACGGGTCCGTTACCTTTTGGCGGTTTCTATTACGGGGTTATTTTAGGGTTTGGGGGGGGGGCGGAAACGCGCACTGTCGTCGGCGAATCGAGATAGTCCAAAAGGTTGTGAATAATGGGTGAAACTTACACTAATTTGCACATTAAAATAATCAAGCATAAGATTTCCTTTGTTTGAGGCACGGTCATGTATTTCTAAGGTCTGGAAACATAGGTCGAAAAAGTGTCCAGTTATTTGAGGATAAAACAGGGTTCCTAAAACGGCCGCTAGGAGGCGATGTTGTAAAGGACCACGGTTTTTTTGCTAACGAATTATATAGAATTGGCATTAAGAAAGGTTATATTCAAACTAAAAATAGATACAAAATATAAAAGTATACTTAAATCAGCGATGATATTGTTGTTAACATCATGCCTCACGTATCTTCGGTTAATGTATTTCTCCATTTCCTCCTTGAAATGTCAAAAAACAATTTTTGAAGTTTTGACAGCTTGAACTGTCGTTTCACACAACCGCGATTTATATGTAGCGCGACGCTGATTGGCTGAGATAAGTTGGTCCTCCGATCGTTCGCCACGGTGCGGCGCAAAAGTGAAGCTCAAAAAGTCCTCAAATAACGGGACACCTCTAATGCATAAGCATAGGCTGTTTCCAGATCTTAGAAATATACGGCCGTGGTTTGAAGGGTCCTTCACAGGATTAGGTCAAGACTTACTCTTTTAATAACGATTAAAATGTGTTTTTTATGAATATTCTTACCTCAGTATCGGCAAATTTCTTATGCGCGACGTTAGTTTTTTCGTCCTTTTCGATCTTCTTCCTCGACGTTTTCGATGATTTCGATTTGATATTGGCGTCGTTCGATTGGGCGCCGAATAGACCGCGTTGCTCCGCCATTTTGATCATATATTTATCGTCCAGGCGGATAACTTCCTACAAACTTGCCAAAATTAAACTCCATCTTCCAAATTGTCTACGAGATACTTTACCTTTCTTTTCAAGTAAGCCAAGTAACAACCCGGACAGGCGAACATCTTGCATTTTTCGTTATCGCACAGCATGGGTAAAGGGAATTGATCGAACTGATCCGTATCGGGCACCTAAAACAATGTTAAGCTTCGTACAGACTTGAACGATTTGCCAAACAACGAACAGAAAAAGAACCTTGGATTATGGATTCGTGGATCATAGATCCTTGGACCACATATCAATGGACCATAGTTTTATGGACCACAGATCAATGAATAATAGATTTGTTCAGCAGCATGTTTTGTGTTGTTACGAACATTGTGAGCATTCGCAATGATTTTAAATCGTTCCAGCAGCGTGTTATTTGGTGTTCTGAGTAAATGTTTGCTGTTCCGGCAGAATTCGTATTTTGTTTGGATCATGTTCGACATCTGCCAAACTGTTCTTGTTTGAAGTGAGAACATTTAGAACAATTCGAAAATAAGTATGGTTATATTAGTTTGTTGTTGGTCATAAATATTTGTTTAGTTACAATTTAGTTTTAAAATATGGAAATTATTGACTTATTTGGAGTTATAGTCGAAAGTAGTTATGATTAGTTATGATGAATTATCGGTAGACGATTTTGAAGAATTGTTGGAAGAAACGCAGAGGCCAAAAAATAAAAATTATATCGAGGAAACCGTTCTTCATTATTCGGAAAATGAATTCAAAGAACATTTCCGTATTACAGGATACCCAACAACTGCTCGAGTTGTTCCAGCAAGAAATGTTCCAATCTTATAACGAATTTGTATACATCAGGGCATGCGCAATACAATACTGACACAAACATAATTTGAACATGCTGCTGGAACAAACCTGCTAATGCAATCGAAATTGATACCGAGTTGTTGTAAACTTACTTGGATAGATTCCAGGAATCTCTCTTGCTCGTCGGTCATTTCGGATAGCACGGTAATCTTAGAAGGAGTCGTCAGAGACGATTCGCTCGCTTCGTCATCGTAGTACGCCAAACCTTTATACTAAAACCGATCGCAAAATAAATCGTTAGGAAAACACAACTTGTTCGATAAGCGAGTACATACATCTATGGCGGTTTCGCTCGGATGGGGCGCGCACAGTTTCCCTTGCAGCGACGCGTGGTGCAGCTTGGCTATCTTGTTGATCTCCTTCAGCGTCATGTTCACCATGCAGCAGTTCTCGGCGTCCAATTCCGAGTGGGTCTCGTACAGCACGAACTGGATCTGCGGCCGCGACATGGCGAAGCGCAGCGTCTTCTGCTGCTCGTCGAGGATGGCGGCGATGCGTTCGCGCGCCTCCTTCGAATCGCCCGTCTCGGTGAGGATCTCCAGCATGGAGAGGTCGCCTCCTCGGCTGCAAACCTGCGCGGAATCGAACAATTTAGGGTTCGACGAAGAGGACCAAACTCGCTCACCAAGTCAATGGGATCCGCTACTGCAGAGTAACTGTTGGGCGGCGTGGCGTAGACGGCCACGACTTCTTCCATGTAATGGGCGTCCGGCGCCGTGTCGATTAATCTATCGGAGAATAATTTGATGTTGGACATGCCCAGTTCGTTGAAGTACATTTCGTATTCGGCTTTCCTAAAATTGCACAATCGAAACTGCTTATGGAGGAACTTGTAGCGTTGGAGTAGGCGAGATGTTAGGTAATTATTAACGATTTTTTTACCTTTTACCTGCACTGAACGCCAACAGGTTCTTGATTTTATCGTTTTGGGATAGCAGAGTCGCCAAATAGGCGGTGGTTCTGGGCGAATTGACGTGCGTTTGTATCACGCTGCCCGTCAGCTCCAAATCGGTCAGGATTTTTTTGAAAGTAGCCGGACCGAAACAGAACGATTTATCCTAAAAACAACCAAATTACCATTCTTGGTACAACCGCAAGTAACCAAATGGTATAGGAGCATCACATTGAAGCTTAAGATAACAATGTTTACACGTGGTAGAAGTTGTAAGAAGCCATCTTCTAATCGTTGCAAAAATTTTGTTGTACAGGGTGGCCAAATAAGGATGATAATCTAAATCTTATAAATAAATCGGCCAAAAGAAAATGCTGGAAATAATTTTTAAGTCTCTAAAATGGCAGCTAGGGGGAGTATCCGCCATCTTGATTTTTATAAGTTATTTTTTTCAAAATTTTCCTAAATAAATGTATCAAAAATGTGTTTTATTTTGATAGTTAAGATAATTTCGATTATTTTTTGTTATATATTTTTGACTCTATGTCAAATGTAAATGAAAAGAAATATGTAAATGAAATTGTCGAAAAGGGCTTTCTTTGGTCTATAATTCACACTATATAAGATATCATTTTAAATGCTTGCTTGGCCTCAAGATGGCGTTTTCCGACATTACTTCAAAAAACTCCGATTTTTTTAAAAAAATTTAAATGCAACGATATAACTTTTTCTAAGATTTTTTACCGCAAATCTCTATGACTATTAGAAAGCCATCCTTATTTGGCCATCTTGTACAAACGAAATTTACCTGTACTATGATAGAGTGATCTTTCACGAAGCGGCTCTTGGCCAGCTCGGACCTCAGCGCCGAATGAAACACCACAGTTTCCGGACAGTGCCTGTCCCATTTGTACATGTGCGGATTCAACACGTTATCGGTCACCCGTCGCAAACCGAAACACCTTTCGATTTCTTGGCACAGCAAATAGTCGTTCCTTAAACAAAGAAATAACAATCGTAACCATTTAGCCATTGTATCACACAGAAAGATGAGTGTAGAAAAGGGGAAAGGATTGGCGAAGGATCGGAGAAGGATCTTTCCATCATCCCCTCAAAGCCAGTCTACAATACAACCAGCCATACACTCAGAATTCTACCCAGTAGCCATTAGGAGATAGCTCGAACTTACTTGGTTTTCTGCAGATTAATCCAGCAACTGACCGGCCTGGTGTTGGCGTGCTTGGTCACCTTCTCGTCTTTGAGATGAGGCGGCAACATCTCGCTCAGCGATAGGGCGTTGTTTTTGATGCGCAAGCGGGCGACGGCGGCGGCCAGCCGGATCTTCTGCGACCAGAGCGCGTTCTCCGGGTAGCTGAAGCCGTGGGCGTCGAACAATTGGGCGGCCAGCGGCGCCACGCAGGTCTCGCGCTTGTGGAAGTTCCTGTGGTAGAGGTCGTAGAACAGCAGCCAGGCCACCGCTTCGTTCGAAGATAACTAGAAATGATGGTTTATTAGATCGAGAAGAAGAAGATCTGGTGGTTGTAGAAGATTTGTTGGTTGCCCTAGTTCACAATGGTCCGTATTCAGCGCCTTTGTTTAACTTTAGCGTGACTCTAAAGTCGCGTCTCGAGTCCCTAGTTACTCTACAACAACAATGTAAATCTCTCAAGTTAAAGACCCGACCTTAGAGTCACTATAAAGTAAAACAGCTGAATACGGGCCAATAAGTTTCCAGTCTTTCCTCATGTGGTTTTTTATGTACCTTTGCGTGTTGTTGACTCAAATAAGCTGTGTTGAAAAGACCATTTCGTGCAAAAATAAAAAAAATGCAAAACTAATAAAAGACTTCTATTTAGCGTTTCTTCGAATATCACGACATCGGGCGTTTCGTACGGCGTTGGAATTATTAAAACGAGCAAAAAAAAAGGCGAACGCGACTGCACTTCCAGGTGTACAGGATAATAAGTAAATGGATCGGTTTTTGCACGAAAACGAACCAACCTTGACCGAGCAAGGATTTTCGCAAAGTACGTACGGGACTTTTGGAAAGTTTGAAACTAAAACTAGACGGGCGAAAATCGATTCTCACCTTGGGGAAAGTGGCGAAGAAGTTGATGTCGTTCAAAGCTTGCGTTAACACGTATTTATCTGGAATTTATGTGTAAAATTCTGGAAGCTTCTGCGGAATATTTTGCACTTACACCTATACACGTCGTAGATGAGACTGTACACTCGGCGCATTTCTTGTTCGTCTTCGAAACTCGTTTTCAACGGGGGACAATTAAGCAAACAACCAGCTTTTGCTATGTCGCTAACCGTCCACGTTACAGGACCATGTCCTGGAATTTCACGAGAATTAATGCACTTTTATGCCTGATTTCACCAACCAGTTCCTAAAGTTAGGTAATACCTAAACCAGATTTAGGAATTCCTAAATACAATTTGCGTTTCACCATGCACTAAGTAATACCTAAAGGTAATAGGAAATGCCTAAAGTTAGGACAGCTCCTAGATGAAAATCTAAAATGAGAGGACTGTTGAAACTGATTTTTTCGCCTTTTTCGATACATAAAAATACGGCATTACAAATAGAAAGAATTGAAGACGATTTTTAATTTGAAACACAGGAAGTTTTTTTATACAAACTGGAGATTTAGCAGGTGTGTGTCCCAACACAAGTAGCCGAGAGTAATTAAAAAGCTAACTGCAGACTATCCATGTAAAGATCCATTGTCCTGGAGGAGTAGATGCAGAAACATTTAGAAATCGGAAAAGCTATTTTTCTATTCATGTACAGACAACAGCAGGTTTAAAAATAACTAACACAGTTTAAAGACGGCAGGATCATCCCGGATCATCAAAATCTCTTCTTTTCTCTCAACATATTCAATTACGATCTCCTCTTATTCGGTTTACACGTCAAAATGAGGCAATGCTACCAATAACATTAAAAAAAATTGAAATCAAATTTTTACCTATGTATTTCTTAGTAAGGAATTTCTAATGTTGGTGAAATTCGATTTAGGTAAGTATTCGATTGAAGTTCCTACCTTAGGAATTACTTAGTTAGGAAATGCCTAAGAACATGTTGGTGAAATCGGGCATTAGTGAAACTTTTAGTTTAATTTCACACTACCTTTAGGGGGTTTTTTCATGCGGCGGAAGTTCTCGTACCGCAAGTCGCATTCCACGCTCTTCGGCTTCTGGATGATGTTCCATTCGTGCAGCCTGGGCGGTTCTTGGATAGCCAGTGGATCGAACATTATACTAGAACAGACTCGGACGTTAGTTTCTACATCGTTTCGCGCCGTTTCGATTACCTGAAGGGAAAATTTAATTTCTAATTTAACTGCATAATTTCTAATTCTGCCAAACGCGGTGACAGTTCACCGGAAAGTCACTCGTTCGAGTCACGACGGCCGGGATTTCCCATCGAAAATGACGCGAGAGCAGTTTTGAGGTTATTCCCCGCGATTTTTCCTAGTGCAGGACTTACCATGTTGTGCGAGCTGAGGGAGCATGTGGAATTCCGTGGAGTATGAGAAGGAAAATTCCGCCGGTAATTGTTGGTTGGATACCATCGTGAACGCGTACAGGAAATACAAGAGGCGGCTGTTCGGGGATTCCAGGAAAGATAAATTATTAGATTACACCGTACGTCCTAATTATAAACTAGTCTTCGCTAAATACAAAGACGGGTTTTACAGACCTGGATCGCTAGTAGGTACGATATCTAAACGCGGAGTGTAGAGTTCTAAAAAACCTCAGAGGTTGCGGAATTTTTCAGATAGAAACAAAAAATTGAGGACCTTCAACGTGTACTTCTACCACACGAAGAAGTGCCTCAGCGTCCAGCCGAGGAACATCGTCCTGAAGCACGACAACCTGCTGGAGCGGCGGGTGTGCTTCACGTGGGGCGGCCACAGCAAGCAGGGCACGGTGTTCGGCAACGACTCGCCCGCCAACGGGGGCTTTCCCTCCACCTTTTTCATCAAAGGCAAGCGGAAGCCGAAGTGGTACAAGGTGAATTTCAAGCACGTGTTCCTGTCGAAGAAGCAGGTGGTCAGGATGCACGTCCGCGACGCGGGGAAGCGCGGTTTCGCTAAATGTAAGGTTTGTAGGATCGGGTAGTTTGTGTGTGTTGGGTAAATAAAGGATGTATCGAGCTAGATGAGAAGTTCATTGGTAAAATTAATTCAGAACGTGGCATTGGAAAAACTGCACTTGTTCGAGGACGCGTTATCCGCATTGGAAATTACGCCGAATCGCTCCTAAATCGGGCATTCCTTTTGGAAAAACTCATTTCCACACATGCACATCTTCGCCGAATGGAGTCCCGTTTTGTATTGTTATGTAACACGCCAACGTTGACCCAGTTTGCGAGAATCCGAGGACTCGACATTGCAATAAAATCAATTTAAATCGGCGAAATTCGATTTTTTGGTCGGTGAAAATTTTGAATTATTGCATCGAATACTTGGTTGCCCTTTTTAGCTAATTCATGCTCGATTTATAACTATACAGGGTGGAAACGCCAAATGGAATAAATTCATTATTTCGGTTAGTGAACAAATTTATAGAAAATCCCGAAACACGTCAAATTTTAATTATAATTTGACATTTGGGGGGGTTGAAGATAGGACTCACATTTTGACGTTGACAAATGTCAAATTATAATTAAAATTTGAAGTGTTTCGGGATTTTCTATAAATATGTACAGTAACCGAATAAATAATGAATTTATTCCATTTGATGTTTCCACCCTGTACAAACAATTCGAAACTAACAATACGTTAAATGAAAAACGGGAGGTACATCTTACCTAAATTATTCGAACTTGGTCGATGATCGGTGAAAAACTGAACGCTTTCCTTGCGTTTGCCGTAACAATTGAGCAACTAATTAACGTACCCTTTAGCTTTTAACGTGTGTTACGTGCAACACTTTAAAGGTTAACGGGGATTTCGAAGGGCCGAAGCGGTTTAATTGCGCCTCTTGCATCACGCGATGCTTGCATATCTCGCTATCCCGGGGCTCGCTTTAATTAATCAGTCGATCAAATTTAACCGAGTTTTATATACATCAACTTGTTGCTTGCATTAAATAGGTAAGTACAAAAAAAGCTCGTTAATTGTTGTTGGAGTAAATGATAACTGATTATTACGCAACGATTTGTTAATTAACCGAGATTTACTTTCTTATTCGTTCACTATTATAATTCATCAACGGTTTTATTGTTTTTAACGAGTCATATTAGGTGTAAGAAATTGATATTAGTTAACGGTCAGTTAAATCGATTATAACGGTCCGTTAAATAACCGAACATATCCTTCGGTGCACCAGAATACCCAGAATAATTCTCATTCTTACCGGAGTTCTTCACCGAAAAATTACAAAACCTCATTGAGTAACTGAAAACTTAAATTTAACTTCTACAAACAAATAATTTGGAAATATGTGAAGTGAAGGTATGTAATATTAGAGAGCAGAAGAGAGCAAAAGAGAGCAGAAGAGAGCAGAAGAGAGCAGAATAGAGCAGAAGAGAGCAGAAGAGAGTAGAGAGCACAAGAGAGCACAAGAGAGCAGAAAAGAGCAGAAAAGAGCAGAAGAGAGCAGAAAAGAGCAAAAGAGAGCAGAAAAGAGCAAAAGAGAGCAGAGAGCAGAGAGCAGAGAGCAGAGAGCAGAGAGCAGAGAGCAGAGAGCAGAGAGCAGAGAGCAGAGAGCAGAGAGCAGAGAGCAGAGAGCAGAGAGCAGAGAGCAGAGAGCAGAGAGCAGAGAGCAGAGAGCAGAGAGCAGAGAGCAGAGAGCAGAGAGCAGAGAGCAGAGAGCAGAGAGCAGAGAGCAGAGAGCAGAGAGCAGAGAGCAGAGAGCAGAGAGCAGAGAGCAGAGAGCAGAGAGCAGAGAGCAGAGAGTAGAGAGCAGAGAGCAGAGAGTAGAGAATAGAGAGTAGAGTAGTATGCCGGGGAATTCCTTCGTGGCATTTTAATATACAGCACGCAGATAGAAAAAATTGGCGTGGGATCCCTCCATCGGAGTAAAATTCTGGTAAATTTGGTGCGGAGTTCCTGTGCTTTATCCAGCATAGATACACATATCACTTACTCATCGCCGGTCTTGTCGATTTGCCTCTGTTTCTCGACCAATTGATAGTAGATCTTGGTGCGCCACGTCTCGTCGCTGGGCAGGACGACGTCGTCGAAATCGTCGACGGCCATCGTCAGGCTGTCGTTCATCATTTGCTTGATGATTTGCGGCAGCACGGCGAAGATGTTGCCATCGCCGAGCGAACTGAGATTCACCCATAGGGCGTTCGTGTCGGCCGGTTCCTCCATGCTTTCGGCTGCCCGAAACGGGCCGGAGAGGGCTCGGGAAAAGGGAAAAAATTCGTTATCGAAAATCGTAAATCACGTATAAATCGCGATAAATCAAAAACTGAACAGATTGGAGATCGGACGCGATTTGTTGTACCGGGTCGGATCCGTATATTTTTGACCAATCGCAGTATATGAGTTGAACAAAGAAAGATTATTCAAACTACAGTGGTTAGAGTTAGAGTGAGTAAAGTTGCAATTGCACCATATCACTCTTTCTTTTTCCTTTACATAAGACCAATGGAAGTTGTCTTTGTTGCATCCACAGATTATATTGCGTTAACAATTTTACACTTATGTGTATAAGTAAGGGGTGAATTAGGTAACAGTTTGTGAAACTTATTGTGTAATTAGTTTCCTCGATGCAGTAGGAATAAATTAGAAATAAATTGGTAAAAGAAGATAAGTTTGTGGGAAGATTTATAAAGAAACGTGGCCTCGTAAGTTTTTATCTGTAATGTAGATCACGCGACGTCGACGAATATTCCGCAGATATAATATGTCGAAATTGCGATTCGATTTGTATTAATCGAAATTAACAATCGGCATTGGATGGTTCGATTAACCGAGTTTCGGAATGCGATCATGAAAAGTTTTTTAATTCGAGTCGAATGCTAAAATCCAATGAAGAGCTTAATTTAGGGTATCGATAGCTATTTTTGTGATTTTCAAAAGTTAACTGCAGTTGGTGCAAAACCACATACCCAACCAGTCATTCATAAATTCAAAATTATTGTTTGTCTCGTAAACGGTTCATTTTATCGGCAATTGAGAGGAGTACCTTTTTTCTAGTTTAAGGTTCAAGCTTTCCAGATTAATGTTTTTTAAGTCTTTATCATACGGGGTGTTGAAAATTTAGGCATTAAGGTGTAAACCTTAGCCCGGCCCTGGTAAACTAAACAAGTTAAATATGTTTCAAGAACACTATTTTGTGAGGTCCTAACTAGTGTCCATCATATTAGATTTTTGTGAAATTATTTCAAGTACTTTAGACTTATAAAACCTATGTATTTAATGGAAAATAAGGCAGAAATATTTATTCATTATAGAATTTTATCAGAAAATGTTCAAAACTATCATCTTCAAAACTATTAGGTTTGGGTATAGGGAAGTAAACATGAATTTCCCTTATTTTTGACCGCTGATTTCCGCATTTAAAGCAATTTGATATTTTTGAAGTTCAACTTTTCACATTTTTTATTCACACCCTGTATGAAATAAAACGTTTTTTAACACAGATTCAAATACCTTTGACCTTGCTACCCCCTACAGAAACCGTTTCCATATCTTTAAGGGGTTCACGTAAAAAATTATAAATTTGTCTCGTGCGATTCGAGTGGAAAACACTTTCGAATAAATTTGACGCACAAGAGATATATTCTGACATAATATAACTAAAGATGGTTTGTCACGAAATGGTTGTATTGATCTGGTAAAATTATTTATACATATCTATGTATTTTTTACAGAAATAGTTCAAATATATGGACTCACTGGAACTCGTATATTTGAACCAAAAAAAGTCTTGATTGAAATTGTTATCCTTATAGTAAAGTATGTAGGTGTTTCAAAATTGCCACAACGGAGTTGAAATTAAGATTCACATGAAGGAAGAAAAATTTTCGATGTGGCTCAAAAAAAAATTCTCGAATAATATTATTTCAGGGATTTGAAAACTTAAAAATATTAAGAAAAGAAAGTGGTTAAACTTAAGTGTCTCAAAAAATAAGAGTACTAAGTTACTCTTAAGTATATTACAGATCCTGGCAAATAATTTTGTCAGTGCATTGGTGAACCAAACTTTATTAAAATAATAAAATAATTTATTTAAATAACTTACATATTATTCCTCAAAAAAAAACAAATGCGCGGCGAATACGAAGTATGTACCCGGGTTCCGGGTTTCCGGATCGCCTGATAACTACTAAAGAGGCGTTTGTTGAAATAGAGCCGCGTTATTAGAGCTTCCGTGAGTGTCTCTGTGTCAGTCTCGACACCTGTTAATGCTCACCTTCACCAAAGACACGCATACCGTCTTTTTTTTAGATTTATCGCCCCATTTTTTCTATTAAATTATAAATAAACAGTCAAATATTGCTGTTAAATAATATAGGACACAGTTCTGTTGATTACCTCCGAAATTATTACAAAAATGTTGATTATACTAATTTGATTTTATAATAGGAAAAAAGTACAAAAGAGAAGGTCAAAGCGACCGCAACGGGTGAGAAATGAAGATTGAAATTTATTTCGAAACTTCAATTATCTATTTAATCGCGTAAGGGAGATTTGAATTGTATCAGAACCATCCCGAGCGATCCGTACCTCCTCCGATTAAATTATCATAACCAATTGTATTTGTACCATACTCTACTAAACATATGTGCGCGAGAGGTAAATAGCTACAACTGTATAGGGAATTGCATAACTTTTATTTTTTATGCGTTGGAAATTAGTAAACTTAAAATATGATAAAGAGCCAAGGCGGTAATTTTTAAGTACATTTTTTCAATACATCTTTTATGCATTTCTCAGATGATGTAATATACAGGATTATCCAGAAGATAATCGAAACAATTTAGAAAGTATTTCGAAAATATAAACATTCTTTGCCTATCATTTACTATGTTTGAAGCGGATGGATTGCCAAAAATTCGCATGTCAAAATCGCGGAAATTAAAGAAAACGAAAATTTTTCGATACTTCCTCGAGTATCAGATTCTACATTAACCCCGAAACAAATATAATCCAATAAAATCCTTGGAATACTTATTGATATCTTAGTGATAAGGCTAAGAAAATTATGAATAAGCATGTAAGAATTTTTCTTTAATAAGTTACGGGGAACCGAATAGCGAAGTTAATCACTCGGTATGCTGCAAAAATACCGCAGAAAATGCAACAAATGCAACGAAAAAAATCAATACTAAAATTCTGTAATTCCTTTAAAATTCAATACATTGTTGGAAAGTGATAAATATCAGATTGTGCTCTTAAACATCGTCAGTCAGTGTTAACAAATCATCAAAACATGGCAGCATACGCAGAGAAAGTAAGTTGAACTTTTTTTTTCCTTTTGTAATGTACCTTATTATTAGAAAATTTATTCAACGGTAAAGTCTGTAAACACAGTGGTAATGCCTATTATTACATGTGTATTCAAATTAGAACTTTCCACGCATATTAAAATTATTCCATCAGGATCCCTTCGCTTGGCCCTTCCAAGAAATCCAGCCCGAGCAAATCAACGTCCACTCGAAGAACTACTCCACGTTCGTCGACTTTTTGCTGTCGAAAATCCAAGAAAGCAAGCAGCCCGTCTTGATCTCCTCGTCCATGAACGTCCTGTCTCCGGAAATCTCCCTGGACGACTCCAGCCTGATCGAGAACGGTTACAGAAGTCACCAGGACGATTACACCGGGGAGTATTCCAAAAGCGAGACTACCTCCTTGTTCAACATCGAGCAATCTACGGAGGTCACTGACACAGCCTTCTACTACTCGGACAAGATGGTCGATAATTTGATGACTGCGAAGCAGAAAGTTTTCACCCATGCAGAGCCGTGTCTCGACACCATAACTACCACCATCAGGACGACTTTGACCGAATATATCCAGGTAATATTTTCCTATGAAACTTCCTGTATTTAAAATACTTTTTGGAAACTATTTTTAACAACCCTGTTCGAATTAATTATTCCAGGATCCATTCGCGTGGCCTTGCAAATCCGTCAAACCGCAGGATTTCCACATCAACCCGGCGCCCAATTTCAAAAGACCCGACCACGAAACCACCACCGAATTCTCCAATTTCATCGGCACCATACGCACCAAGCCGGGCTACTTCGTGGCCGAAATATCCAAACGAATGACCGAAACCCTGTCCAACAGCACCCGATCGTCGCAGGCCACCGACCAACCCATCACCTCGTACCTGGGCCAGTCGCTCGACAACCTCATGATGGCCCAAAATACAACGACCAACTCGACCTCCACGCTATCCACCACCATCACCTCCGCCTGGACCGAAGGCGTGAGCAGCTCCAACGTCTCTCTGCACTGGTCCTCGCTGGTCTCCGCGCAAATCCGGCCGCCCATCGCCGATTGGAAGAACACCACGCCGGTCACCACCGCCCGCGCCAACCTCACCACGCTGATATCTCTGTTCAAATTCGAGCACGACAACGACAACGTCACCACCGCCAGAAACAACGACACCATCGTGTCGGAGATGCCTTCGGTGTTCCGGAACTTCAACAGGAAGTTCATGGAGGCCGTCGAAGAAACCACCGTCGATAGGGGCGTCGGGAGTAACAGCACCGCGACGCCGAACGATAAACCGACGACGTTGTTCGAGATCAATTACGACGAGGTCACGACGATGGGGTGGAACGAGGACGGGAACGGTACAGTGAGATACGTCCAGGATGTGATCGGTGCGAGGACCAACGAGGAGGTTTTGGTGTACGCCATGGAGGAATCGCAGGGTAAGGATTGCTACTTCTACATCCTGCTGATCGTCGTGTTGGTTTTGTTGCTGGTCATTGCCGGGGTGTTTCTGTTCTACAGGATGGTCAAACGCAATAGGGGCTACGGGTACAAGGTGTCGCAAATGAAGGGGTACCGTAACTCCGAGAACGATAATGATGTTATTATTGTTTAGTTTATCATTATGTTTAGAAAAGAATCAATATCATATGAAGATTTAGGTTGGTTGGGTATTTAGTTATTTATAAATAAGAGCTTAAAATAATTTATTGTAGAGCCTTTACATATAGCGTTTAATGACTATACAGTGTGTCCCAAAAAGTTATATACAAATGGGGAAAAATTTCAGAAAAAAAATTATTCTTGATAAAATTCTCTGCTTGACTTGTAGATCCATAATCAGGTACAATTTGTTTAAATAATTGCATGGAGGAATACAGGGAGAACAATAAATTATGATTTGGACTGAGAGAAAAATACGCACAAACTGTAGTGGAGCAAAATGTTCATTGAAATTCTGATTAAGTAGCAAATAATTATGCACAATTTTTTATTATTGATATTCCCATCATATAAAATAAAGATATTTTAATGTGCGTTTTTAGTGCATTATTTTCTGTTACTGATAGAGTGCTTTTTGAATATTTGATTAATACCAACAGCTCAACAGCTGTCAGTAAGTGTGTGTTTGCAATGATTAGTGAAATGCCAGTTAAAGTGTTTCAGATAAAATTGAAATTGTTCTCATAGTTGGAGAAAATTATAAAACATGTAGGGAAGCAGCAGAAATATTTAATATTAGACACCCTGATAAAACTATACTAGTTTCCAGTTTGGAAAAGGACGGTAAATACAGTGAAGTTCCGTAATATTCAAGTAATTTTACATGTTCCCTATTAAAATTTATTGTTTCAGTATTATTCATTGTTATCAAAGTTTTATAAAAATAAATTATCTAACAATTTCTGAAATGTTTATTGTCTTTTAATTTTTATCCAGGATTATTAATAAAATCAATAATTATGCATATTTTTTTACTATTTAATCACAATTTCAATTAACATTTTGTTCTCCACTACAGTTTGTGCATATTTTTCTCTCGGTCCAAATCATTCTTATTTGTTTTCCCTGTATTCAAGGCAACATTTTATGCGTGATTATGGATCAACAAATCATGCAGAGAATTTTATCAACAATATTTTTTTATGAAATGTAAAGTAAACTTTTTCCCCATTTGTATACAACTTTTTGGGACACACTGTATGATAAAAAATATTGTATCTTGCTAATGGATCGCCCAGTACTTATTTAAGCGTTTACTTTTTTAGAAATAACTCCCTAATATACAATAAACCTATTATAATGTGAATAAATTGAATATTTATTAGTATCTAATTCATAAATATCTATAGATATACAAGTATACTTGTATTGGTACTAAAGGTAGTACCAGAGTACTACTTGCAGTCAGGCAACCAAATGTGCTGTGATCCAATAAAGTACCTTATTCAATCTATCTATTATGTGTGTGAATGACACAAATACGTTTATTTTTATAAAACCTGTTAATAATTCCTGCTGTTTGTAAATACAAAACATATGAGACACCAATGTAAAAGTATGCGTAAACGCGATTATAACATATGTAAATGAATGATTGTCGAATGAATCACGAACGCGGATGATTCACGGGCGGTTATTAAAAATTCAGAGTTCAAGATCAGCCGTGCACGTGTGTAAAATGTAAAAGTAAATGCACTTGGGATTGGGATTCGTAATCGGTAGGTGTCCTGTACGTGCATCTTTTCTTTTGAAAAATGTTTCACTTTCGATTTGGTCGAATCGGTTTCGTGGAAATCGCTTGGAGTGGTTGATGTGGCGTTGAACGTGTTAAAGACAGGAAGAACCTTGTGGTTGGGAATTATTCGAAATGCGAAAAGGTCGGAAACTTGATTTGTTTACTCGAAGGTCTCGTGTATAGTCAAAGCCGAAAATGGAGGCTTTATAAGGAATATATTTTTTTATTATCTGCATTAAACCTTTCAGTTGAGGACGGTAACAAAAGTGAATAATAAATAACTTCCTTACACCAATGAGGAATATATTGTATAATTTTACGGGGTGTTTGATTTTTTTAAGAACAAAATGGTGATTTTTTTTAGATATATTTCATAAAATGACAACTACAAACTAATTTTTACACGATACACTTAATTAAAAATAGCATTTTCACAGAAAATTAAAATCGTGGGAACTTTTTTATATATCTATCAATCTGCTTCGATTTTGGCTCTGCCGCATAATTTCTCCAAACCTCCATCAGCCCTGAAAAATTAACAGAAAAATTTAATTATTTCATTTTTTTACAAATCTTAAATACATAATATTTTATAATGAGTGAAAAAAATATTTCCTACACAACAAAATTCAAAATATCCAATTTCTGGAAGTTTAACTCCATGTTTATGATACAAAGGAAATTCGTAACATTGAAAACAATAGTAATTTAATTATCATTACGATATCCACCCGATTGATTATATTAATTACATTGTATTAAACAACTACTTATCACCGTAAGGTAGAAAACAAATAATTAACGATAAGATATGCTCATAATTAGAAAGGATGATTCATGCCCATTTTTAATTAAACCGAATTATCTCGCGTATTTATTGCACATATTATTTTTTCTTATTGTAAACAGAACGGAAATACCTACTTTTAAGTAGATCTGATATGATACTAAACAATTGTATCAATAATAATTAATGTTTATTGCAAATGCATTATTTCGTGTATGCACACTTAAATAAATAACGGAACTCGTATAAATGCGTCACAAGAAAGTGATATGGTTTAAAATTAAATTTAAACATTTTTTATTACTACGTCATATAACACAGGGTGTTTTTTTGGGAAAGGTCAATATTTTAACCCTATGTAGAGGTCACCCAAAATTTAAACGTTAAAAATTATGAGAATTTTAGTCCATGTAAAATGTAATTGAAGGGATTTTAATTATTTTTTCTTTAATAAAACCAAGTTTACTTAACTCTTTCATGGAAATTCCTGAAATGAACCTATTGAACTTGAATTAACATTCATATAAACCAATAAAAATTACAATTAGAGATCCGCATTTAATAAAATTAAAATGATTTCAATTCATTTAATAATTAATCATTGATTAATTAATGTTTACATTTCTACATGATAAAATTCAAACAGACCTGTGATCTAATCATTACGAATGTTTACGAGGAAATTTATGTAGGTGTAATGAAAAATCTACTCACGCAATACTATCGATGATTTTATCCAAATTGTTCCCCTTTTTCACCCTATTCTTCGGCAACGTAGCCACATACTCATTGGCTTTGTCATGATAAGCCCCGTACATATTCCTCAAGGCCCCATAAACCGCTTTCTTCACCCTCGGGTCATTCTGGTCGATAATTTTAGATGCATTATTATCGTTACCGTTGATTTGAATTTTCACCGCTCGCTGGCACGGTGAATTCGACTGGATTTTACTGGTATTAGTAGTTACTGGCTGAGGTGAAGCTGATACAAACTTTCTTGGTAACGACTTGAAGTTGGGTGGTGCAGACGCGACTGTCGGCAACGGGGGCGGCGGAGGCGGCGGTGAATTGCAAGGAGACGGCATCGAATCTTCTGATGATGATATTATAGATGGCGGTGGAGAAATCGATGAAAGGTCGAGAAATTCGCTTGATACAGAGTGGTTTGGTGATGGTGAATTTGATGTTGTTTTGAAGGGTTGATTGGAATTGATCGAAGAAACTGTGGAGCTTCTTGAAGAAGATAACGAACCGTTTCCAGCTAAAGGAAATTCTCTTGTCATGGAGTAGTTTGGTGATGGAGAATTCGCTGTCGATTTAAACGAGGAATTTATAGAAGATGCTGTAGAACTTCTCGATGATGATGATATCGAACCGTTTCCAGTTAGAGGAAATTCTCTTGTCAAGGAGTTGCTAGATGATGAAGAAATCGAAGAACTTCCCGTTGATCTTGCGGAACTTTTTGCTGGGTTTTGCTTGGTGAACGATTCCAGCGAGTTCTTTTCGAAACCCCTAACGATACTATCGATGTTCGTCTTGCACTCGTCTTGGATCAGTTGCTGTTGCTGGTTGACGAACGCCGGCCTGACCGATTTGAATCTGCTGCTGTTGTAATGTTCGATGTACTGATTGAAGGGCTTCAAATTCGATGTGGCTTTAACACTGCCATTATCGACGGCGTCGTCGGGTTTATTTATAGCCCGCCGATTCGCGTTGTTCTTGTAGCCGTCCAAGAAATTCACGTAGTCCTTGTACTGCACCTCTTTAGTGGACATTTCGATTATGTTGCACTGGCTTTGGACGCGATTGCGGCTCGACTCGTTTCGTTTTGATGCGGCTCGGACGCGGCACGTAAATGGTATGTCGGGTTTCCGTTGCGTTTGCAATCGGTAATCGAACCAGGAGGCGACGATAAGTCGAAAACTCGAATATGATATCATCTTCGAGGAGGTGGGGGTTTCTGCGAAGCGGCGTTTTGTTTCCTTTCCTTTCGTCGAATTTTTGAAATAATAGCTATGCATTTTTTTACTGTTTGGGTATTAGGTAATTTTAGAGGTTGCCAGATTTAGTTGAAAAATCAGTAGGTTTGGGGATTTTGAGGATTTAAAAGATGCCAAATTTTGGACATAAAAGGGAAGGGTAAACGAATTAAATCACTTTCGTTTTAACAATTAATTAACTTTATTTACATATATATGTTATTCACATTTTTTATACATATAAACATTAAGAAAAGAGGAATTATTCAAAATTTGCTTCTACAACGAACTCAAAACTCGCACGCGCAGCTTCAATTTCACCCTTAAGCGTATGTATTTTTTTAAAAATTCGACGATTATTATAAATTAGTACATATAAAGGTAAATAAATTAGTCTACTTGTGGCGAAGCATCTTAATAAATTTCTTCCCTCAGAAAATAACAACTAATATCACCACCGAAACACTAAATTCTAAGTATGGCAACGAAAAACGCACACGAACATAATAAATATTTATCACAAATTAACATCGAAGACGTGAATTAATCATTCAAGAAAATTAATCGATCAATCCGATTTAAAATTCAAATAACTCCTCCCCGAACACAATATTTTTTGTCGAATGATATCTTTTGTTTTGTTATGTTAATTATATTATAGGAACATAAAACAAAGTCGGTTCTCGTTCTCGCTAGCAATTAATGGTTATTTCGAGTCTATTTCACAAACACAGTTGTCTCGTAATATTTTCTCATTTAAAAAAATATACAGGATATTAATTAATTGAGTGCCGATACTTCAGGATGTGAATATTTGAATGACTTTAAAAAGAAAAGTTTATATCAATATATGTCCTGAACCTCTTAGTTTTCGAGCAACAGAATGTTACAATTTTAGAAAAAAAAACTTTTCCTCATAATATTCTTATTACTCCAGATATTTTTATGAAATTTCGGACAGGGACGTCACTGGTAATAGAAGAAAATTAATTTTTATCAAAAAAAAATGTTTCTATGCACGGTGGGTGCCTACCAAATTTCAACAAAATATCAAAAGCAGTTTCAATAAACTTGGGAAAAAATTATTCAAAATAATTTTGGTTTTTAGAAAAAGCAGTGGCGTACCATTTTTTCTTTAAACATGTTCAGTTCAAATCCCGTACGAACGTCACTGGTAAAAATTTAAAAAATCTTTCGCCTCAAAAAATGCTCCTTAATAATTAAAACGTATGTACATAATTTCATAAAAATATCTGAAGCAATAAGAAAATTATGATAGAAAATTGTTTTTTCTAAAACTGTAACACCTTGTAGCTCGAAAACTAAGATATTTAAGACATATATTGATATAAACTTTTCTTCTTAAAATCGCCCAACTATTCACATCCTGAAGTATCGACACTCAAATAATTAACACCCTGTATTTGTTGTGTTGTTTATAAAATTCTAACATCTAAATGTTGCCCATTTCTAAAACTTTATATTTGTTTACTGTTTTCTTTTTGTTCAAACCATTCTACTAATTTATTTACATTCCCTTTTTTCCCTAATTTATCCGAAGGTTTATAAGAGAAAAAAAACAATAAACAATTATGTGTGAGCGAATTGGAAACATTGTAATGGAAGAGAAATATAACGAAACTTCTGCATTTTACAATATTGAATACCTCTTCAACAATCCTTTGTACACAATATTAAATTCGATGTAAGATGTAACACACAGTATTTTATTTAATAGACATAGATGATAAAGTATGAAGAAAGATTCTTGCTTTCGAAGGATTTGACTAATAAGATAACAAAAAAAAAGCACTAAAATTTCATAAAACTATCAATTGTCAATTAAACATTCATCACAAGTACAATTCCAATAAAAATTTGACAATATTTTTAATTGACAATCATTATCATGAACCTCAAGTGCTTTAAATTTACTGAAATTTGGTTTCTCTTCACTTAAAGCGCATTTAAAAGTACAAATCAAATCCTTCACTTTGCGAGTTACAGATAGATATGAGACTATCACAATTAGTAACATTGAGAGTTTTAAAAAATTATACAAAACTTTTGATATATTTTGAAATCTCAAAGTGCTCTAATTACTTCAGATTCATTCAGTGATTGGTACAGATACATTGTATTATCAACTATTACGAAATCATCAACCTTATCATTATCCTACGTAAGTAGAAAATACTTCTCAAATATCTCTCCTAAATTCTCCACAGGACTCATATTGTATTGAATAATTTGATTTAAACATGTACACAATAATTTACAAGCCAAAATGTACAAAATTCCATAAAACGGCTAATTTCAATCAAGCCTTGATTGCAACAATTACTGCTATAAATACAATAAAAATACAGTAATAAACTTACAATCAAGAACGCGTTGACAAAAAAAAAGTTTTATAAACTTTATCTCGGTATGATTTCAGTTCGATAGAAATTAGTACCATTCATTACTTCGGAACTGTCTAATAACCTTTACAATGTGCAGCTAGAAAAAAAATAGCACTCTTAACCCCCCCCTGAATCCCCGCGTATTTTTTCAGAACGATTCGATAGTTCGCACGATTCCAACGATCCTAAATTCATCTACCGGTAAATTAACTCCTATCGGGACAAGAAGTGGAGGCGATACGAGGCTTGACGGGCGCCCCGTCGGCCGTCCCCAACGCCGTGTGAACGACGATGGAGGGCTGCCCGGGCGACGGGGGGTGCAGCTCGTGCGCGCCCCCCGGACTGAGGGTGGCCAGCGCCGCCAGCAGGTCGTGGTTGATGATGGGCTCGCCTTCGGGCCGGGGCTCCCAGTCGACGGGCGGCGAGGCGGGCGGCGAGATGAGGAACTGCTTGTAGGGGGCGGGCGGCTGCAGGTTGGGGTTCTTGACGGGCGTGACGGGCTGGGCGAAGTAGCAGGTGATCACGGATTCGTTGATCTTGTATTGGTGGAGTTCGATGCGGGCGCTCGCAGCTGCGAGGGGGGTTTTGAAGTTCACCCGGAGCCTTCGGAAGCTCCGGAGCCATTGGAAGGTCGCGTCCGGGTCGTACTTTTTGAATAAATCTTCGAATTCTCGTTTTTTGTCTAGAAAGAAAACGAACCGTTTCGATTACTAACTCGTTTCTCTTACTAATTCTGAAGATAGTTTACCTTGAGAAGCGAACACGGAATCGTGTATATTGGTTACTATTAGAGATGCTGGTAGGTCTTCGAATTCATCATCGGAATGGTGTTCAGGGCTGTTTACTTCGGCTTCTGCTATCAAATTGGGGTGTACGTTAGGCAGCCCGTCCTGGTCGTTAATAATAATATCGTCATCGCTTAGTTCTCCGTTACTTTCAGCCATTATTTGCAAGTAACTCTAAGCACTTGTATCTGGAAAACATTTTAGAGCGAGTGTGATTATGTCGGCGAATAATTACGAGAAATTGTTATAGCTTTTAGATTTAATTGATGCAAACTGTTACCTTTCGTTAAATTGTTGAATACAAAAACGCTATTTGTTTAAATCCTTATCAAAAGTACAACAAAAACAGCTCCAATCACTACCCTACCTACTAGAACGAATCATCGAATCAAATGTCAAATGGTCACGCACGAATTAAGAGAAGTAGGAGCACGAATTTGTGTTTACGTTCGATTAATGTAATAGAATTCTATTTATTTCTCGAAGTCTCTGGAATAAGTGAATTATTAAAAATCCGATAATTAGGCATTTATGTTTCAAATCTGATTTGTCACATTTTAGTGCAAAATAATTAAAGATTTAAAAATCATATTTGATCTATTACATAAAAGGCCGTTTTACATAAGAAAGATACAGGAAGAAAAGCGATCTGATTGGTCAATTTATACTGTTGTTTACTTTGATTGGCTGAAATATTTGACAGATAACAACACCAAAAAGTAGCAGAGTTATATTTGTTAAAAAAAGGTATTATTTACGAAAATTGCAAGCAAAATTTTCAATTTTATTATTTCTTATAGCTCAAAAAGTATTTTATAACTTTTTTTATGTTTGTTTGACACCAAAATATGACGGAAAATCTAGGGAATTTCAATTTTATCCTATTGGTACCAATGCGATTGAAAAATGTCATTTGTCATTACTTGTCAAATTATTTGTGGTTATGTTAAGTATTGAAAATCTCAAACTGAAACTTTTCGTTAAACTTTAATTTTCGATTACTATTTTACGAATTAGGACATAAGAGTTGTTGTAACAAAATGACCTTCGCTTTTGGAAGTACTTCGCAACCAGCCTTTGGCAGTCAAAACAAAAGTAAGTAGAAATTTCAATTTTTATGTTATGATTTGTTTTATTATGTTCAAGTGTAATGTGTTTTTTCTTTATGAAATGAAATACTTCACTGGAAAATTTATTTAATCATTTTATTTAAAATGAATCGAGCAACAAAAATTATACAATAACACAACCATAATGCAGCATGCAGAATTCCTTAATAGTAGTAGTATACATATAATTTCTTTTAATATTGTAAGCTTTGGCATATATGTATAATTTTAATAATTTAAATATTAACCATATCGTTATCAGTTTCATTCGCGTTTTTAGCATTAGTGTAGTCCCTCATTTGAGACACCTGGTATCCCGAACCTTTAGCTCCTTTAATTTTCTTATAAAACAAAAACACTCCAGCTATGACCGATAACAAAATCAATATAACAACTATTAGAATTATGTAAAAGTAACAATTATTAACCTCCGATTCTTCCATGGCGTGCACAAAAACCCTCTTGTGCTCGCTTGTCGTATTAATCACCGCCTCCGTGGAACTACTGATTATGGTAGAAGTGAACCCTTCGTTTTCGTATCCATTGTCGTTGTACGGAGTAGTGATTTCATCGAAGCTCATCTGGAATTTATTTTTCAAAATCGGCATTTCGTTTAGCCCAAAGGAGTTGTTCATCCTATCCATCTCGAAGGTATCGTTCGTATTGTTCATATTGTTCATATCGTTCATATTGTCTAGCCTAAACGAATCCGTCGTGGTTTCCGTTACGACCATCGTAGTAGCATCGTTAACGAACGAGTGATTGAATTTCTTCTCTTCGACCAACGTGGTGAAGTCAAAGTAGTTGTTTTTGAATTTGTTGAATATCAACGGAGTATCCGGCGGTTTCACCTCGCAACTAATCGCCGACTCCGCTGAGTAGCCGGCCTTTTTCTCTTCGGATCCGAGATTGAACAGCGACGCCAGCGTGGTGGTTCTCGAGCTCGCGGTCGCTGTCCTATTGGTGCAGGTGGTGTACAGCGTATGGACGCCCTTCGTGTCGTTCAGGATGCTGTCGACGATCTTGTCCGAGTAGAGGAAAGGCTTGTCGGTGACCTCCGACGATAGGTTGCTGATGAACAGGGACTCGGTGGTCTCGGGATCGGTTTTGAACACGCTGGTGACGCTCGGGAAGAAATTCCTCGGCACCAAGGACGTCCTGCCCTGTCCGCCGTCGGCCAGGAAATCCTCCTGGTTGGCCTTGTAGATGCTCTCGAGGGAGCCGGAGGCGGCCATCTCGGAGGCCATTTCGGTGACGGCGGTCTGCGTGGGGGCGACCGTGCTGGTGGGTTTCTCTTCCTTGAGTTTCCTCAGCAAATCTTCGAAGAAGTTGGAGGAGTTTTCTTCGTCGTTGTAGACGGTGGAGTCCTCCTTTTGGTCGAAGTAATTGCTCATCGTGTCGACGTGGTAATTCTCCGGCTGGATTTCTTTGAAAGGCCAAGCGAACGGATCCTGGAACAATAAAGATATTTCTCCATCTACAGAACATTCAAAGTTTTTGTATGGTTTGTAAGAATACCATAAAAACCATAAGGAATAGAATACCGTAAACGAGTAGAGGGATAAGATTAGTTTGTAGTTTGTACCTACCAGTTATTGGTTGAATATAAATAATTAAACTACTTTAAACTATTCATAACTTACCAATTTGGAACGTTCTGTATAGAGGGTGTTAATTATGTGAGTACCGATACTTCAGGATGTGAATATTTGAATGATTTTAAAAAGAAAAGTTTATATCAATATATGTCCTGAACCTCTTAGTTTTCGAGCAACAAGGTGTTACAGTTTAAAAAAAAACTTTTCTATCATAATTTTCTTATTACTTCAGATATTTTTTCTTAAAATCATCCAAATATTCACATCCTGAAGTATCGGCACTCAATTAATTAACACTCTGTATATATCAATAACTTTTGTGTTAATTTTTAAATGGTTAAAAAAATTAACTCACGACTGAGACATTTGTGGATTTAGAACGCTTTTCCATTTTACACGCTGTTATTTTGAATTTGTTTTCTTTTTTTAAATTGTTTGTATAACTAGTGTTTTCCCCCCTGCTTTGATGTGAAATGAATAAATTCGAATGCGTTCGTTCGAAAATAATCAAAATTTATTCCAATCCAATCAGCGTTACTCACTAAAAATATGGGGATAAGGATTTTTGAATAATTAATTAGATATCAATTAAAAAACTAGATAATTATTTATATTTTTTAAATTGTTTTTGTATTTTGCTGTTGAAAAATGGTTCTTAAAACTTCATATTTTGTTTTATTTAAGCATTTTATATCTCTTCCTATTCGAAAGCTTAAATTTTCAATTAGCTAAAGTCTCCAGTTACTTAAAAACGAACAACATTAGGCAACATTGGTTTTGACATGTTTGTATAATATTTTGACAACTAAAGTTTGGATACAAGTTATCAAATGTCACCACTTTCTTAATTTACATAGCCAATTTTTTACAATGACATTAACATTATTGATTAAACATTGACATTATTGATGTATAAATTGTATGCGAGAGAAATAAATAATTATTTGCAAAAAGGTTTCGACTTACTGAACCCGTGTATGCAGCCATACTTAGACGATTTAACAGAGACTGACGATGTTTAATAACTCGATCTGATATTTATCACCTTCCAACAATGTAGTATATTTTCCAGCTATCGAGGAATTTCGTTAATAATTTTGCATTTTTTTATTTCACTTCTTCCATGCATGCATAAGGTTTCGTGATTAATTTGAAAGTGTCAATTTTAATTTTTTGTTATGGCTTTTTTCCGAATTCTCACGCATCGAATTGTCATTTCGGTATTATTTTTTAATCGAGTGAATTTTTTTCGTCGAATTTTCCGACTATTTTTGGAAAAAAGTCATGCTCATATTAATCTCTCATTTCGATGTAATTTGCCTATTTCTATGTTTTTTTTACTTACTACGATTTGCGGAAAATTTTACATATTTTTAAACAAATGAGTAACGCGAAAGTAAAGTAGGTACAAAAATATTTTCTATATACCTGGACATCATCAGCATTAAATTATTTCGACGCTTAATAATTGCATACATTTTTTTTTAAATATATTTTTCAAATAGTCGAAATTCTCCGAATGTGAGCGTTCGCGGATTTCATTGCTCCAAGGTGACTAAGAAACCGTGACACGTGGAAGTAACGACATGTTTGCTTGATTTTTCACATTTTCTAGCCAGAATTTTGTTTATTTGTCAGAATAATTAAGTCGGTTTTTCAGTAAATTTTATAGATGATTTTTGTTATTGAGGCGTTTTGTAATAGTATTTTTTGGAGAATTTGAATTTGGTAGTATTCTAGAATTGTTCGTTCTCTCCTCTTCTAGTTACATGGCCTCTTGCTAAATACCGCATCCGGCCACTAGAAAATTTTTAATTTAACCGTTTTTTTTTTGTTGTCATAAATATAGAATTATTATCGGTTACAGTCGCAGGTTTCGGCACCGCCTTCGGTACGACGCCCGCCACCACCGCCTCCACAGGATTCGGCGGTTTCGGCGGCGGCTTCGGATCCACGACGTCGGCGCCTCAACCGACGGGCTTCGGCGCTTCCTTCGGCGCCCCCGCGTCGGCGCCTCCCGCCTTCGGCGCCGCCGTCTCCTCCGCCCCTCCCGCCTTCGGATCGACGGCCACCCCGACGTTCGGCGGCGGTTTCGGCGCCGCCCAGCCCGCCCAAACCGGCCTGTTTGGCGCCGCGACGACCACGACGTCGGCGGCGGCGCCGAGTTTGTTCGGAGGCGCCACCACCTCCACTCCGAGTTTGTTCACCGGCGGTACCTCCGGCGGCGGTCTTTTCGGAGCGTCTGGTACTACTCAAACCACTGGTTTATTCGGTATTATCTCCTTGTTTTAAATTATTATAACATACTAAATTTCGATTTTCTTTTGTAGGTACCACTACGAGTAGCGCGCCAAGTTTGTTCGGTACTACTCAAACTCCGTCTTTGTTTTCACAGCCTGCTACCAGCTCGGCGCCTAGTCTGTTCGGGGGCGGCGGTACTGGGTCTACTGGGTTCGGTACCGGTTTGTTCGGTACTACCGCCACCACCTCGACTCCGTCTTTGTTCGGAAGTGGTTTCGGTACTACGACGGGCGGCACGGGAGGAGGATTCGGTTCCGGAGGGTTCGGTACCGGTTTCGGGGGTTTCGGTACTCAAGCTAGTACAGCTGGGTCTCTGTTTGGAAAACCTGCGGTACCGCAAGCTGGTAAATATGTAGTGATTACTTTATTATTGAGTTGTTTAATTTTAATAGTTGGTATTTGTCAAATAAGTGCCAAAAAAATTACCAAATTTTGGGATTCGTTTTTGTGGAAAGGTGTTTTTCAGTTTGGAATGTTGGTATGTTGTTTATTAATATAATTTTTTGATATTGTTATGGTGATCAATCGGTAAATGGTACTCATCATTTCGATAAAATATTAGAAATTCATCTTTTTGGAATGCGAGGAAAATTATCAAAACAAAAACTGATTCAAAATACGTTGATTTTTTTTTAATCGAAAGTGTTAGATATTTGGATTAATTTCAACTATTTCGAATCTCATCTAATCAATTTTAATTAAATAATAATAAAATCGATAAAATGCAGATATTTACTAAGTTACGATTGTCCAAAATTGATATTACCAAGCATTGGTCAATCCCCTACATGCAGTGATGTTAAAATTACTTTATAATATGTAATTAATTACAATTACAATTACTTTTGGCAATTTGTAATTAATTGCAATTACAATTACAAAATTTGCGAAGTAATTACAATTAAAGTTACAATTACACTCACAATTACTTTGCTTTGGTGTCAGTTTTAAATAATTATTTAGGGATTTGCAATCGAAATTAAACTTTCCACGTATTGAAAATATTAAATAAGTACTTTTGTGTCCAATGTAATTGAAATGTAATTGTAACGAAAGGAGTAATTGAATTACAAATGAATTACAATTGAGGATCTTGTAATTAATTACCGCCTCAATTACAATAAAAGTAATTCAATTACTTTTTCAATTACTTGTAATTAATTACTTAACAACACTGCCTACATGCCTTTACGACTCTCACACATCGCTCATACTCGTTAAATATCCTCGAATTTCGCGTATTCGATCGTTTTTCGCGTTCCAGGAACGGCTTCACAACAGCAAACGTCGAAGAGCCAACAGGCGATCGGGTCCGTGTACGCGGTGAACGTGTTCAACGACGAGCGGGACGACATCCTCAAGAAGTGGAACATGCTGCAGGCCTGCTGGGGCACGGGCAAGGGCTACTACAACGGCGCCCAGCCGCCCATCGAGTACGACGCCCGCAATCCCTTCTACCGGTTCAAAGCCATGGGGTACAACGTGGTGCCCGAGCACGACAACTCCGACGGCATCGTCAAGCTGGTGTTCAACAAGAAAATGGAGGAAATGAAGTAAGAAATCTAGAAATTTAGGACGAGTTGTCGTTCGTGTTTTGTATCTCGGCTTCTTTTGTATGCAAGTTGCTGGAAGATTCAATATCGACTCGCTGAACGCTCGGGAATGACTCGAACGCCTGTCGGCGTTCTACGCAAACACAGTTAAATGTTCAATGTCTCGCTCGCTATAAAGTATAGTTGGATGCTCGCTCGTTCGGTTTATGCATTTCTTTAAAAACGAATAGCCTTGTACTATATTTTAATTTAAATTCAATATACTTTCATTTAAGATAAAAAACACCCCGTATAAATGTCAACGTCTCCCGTAGTAACGGAAATGACAACTTTGACAGTTCGAAGTTTGTTCATCGCTGCTGTCATTAGTGTAGGTTTTTTAAAAATAATTGAACAAATAAGAACAAATGACCAAGGAACATTTATTTTTGCGAATTATTACAATTTCTTTTATTCTCGTCCATTAAAAGCGACGAAATTGTCTAAATAACGAAAAAGTCTCTCATTTCGGTGTAGTTCCGTTTAAACCAAACGAACGTTAAACAAAAATCAAATCATTTATATACAAATCTGTCAAAAATGTTTACTTTTAAATTCGATTTACGGCAAAAAAACGAATTTAGCTGGCGAAAAGAGCTCGATTTTTGTAATCAGCGAGGTTGTTACTTCTCCCAATTCCTTAACCAGTCGCTCTAACTCGGTTCTATCTTTATAAGTATATGGGAAGTTTGAAAGCCATATTTTGGTGTTTTCAGGAATCAACAGGAAGTTCTCAAGAACGGTATCGCAGGAATCCTGGGTAACAAGCCGAATTTAACGATAGATATTGCGCAAATAAAGTCCCTTTCGGACAATCAAACGGAAGTTAAAGTCACCGTTTCGGAAAAAGGAGTTACGGGCAACAGCAGGAAAATACCCGCCTCGGACTTGGCCTCGTTTCTCAATCAGCCAACTCAAAAGCAACAACTGATGACCGTAGGCGTGATTTCCATAGCGCCTTTCGTGACGCCTTCCAAGGCGGAGTTGGAGGAGTATTTGAAACATCCACCGCCCGGTATATAAGATTTAATTTTCAATTATATTTCTACGAATGCGCTATAATGATGGGTTTTAGGTATTGATGCGCAAATGTGGCAGGCGGCCGTGCAGGACAATCCGAATCCGAAAAAGTACATACCGGTGCCCGTGAACGGGTTCTCCGATTTGCGGTGCAGGATGCTCCATCAGGAGCACCAGACCGGTTTGCATCAGGCGTTTTTGGACAAAGTCAATAGCGACATTACCGAATTGAAGACGAGGCACTCGTCGTCCGTCGGGCAAATAGCCGAATTGAAGTCGAAGTTTTTGGAACTTCAACATAGAATATTGAGGGTAATAAAGGGATTATAAAAAATATTTGAAACTAGTAGATTGATGATAATAAAGCCTGTGATTTTCATTTTCAGATTCTAGTGAAGCAGGAATGTACTAGAAAAATAGGCATTGCTATCCAGCCGGAAGAGGAATTGTTACGAGGGCGGTTCGAGTTGATGCATCAACAATTAAATAATCCCAAACAATTTAAGGTAACTAATAAAAATTTAACAGTAGATAGATTCAGGAAACTACATACAGGTTGATTCATTATTGATTGCAATATAGGCTATAAGTGCGATAAAAACAACTTCCATTAGACACTTAAAGAAAAAAGAGTAGTAATATTTCTTTGTTCAACTCTAGAAAGGACCATATTGCATATTTGGTCTGAAATGAACAAAGGTATATGTATACTCGGCTAACTTGATATGCGAAATCTATCAAATTCCAAATATTAAACTAATAAAAATATGTTTAAGGGTCAAGTTAACGAGCTTCTGTCCAACATTAAAATGATGGCTGGTTGTTACAAACAGGCCAGTCCGTCGTACCGTTTGGACGGGGAAGCGGAGGAAGAAATCAAGAACTTGCTGAAGATCGAACAAACCGGCATATCGGAATTGATCAAAATCATTCAAACCGATTTGAAAGCTTTGAATATTATCTACGATGGTCTAAAACAATCGTTTCCGACGATGCAATAATCGATAATTGCGAGTCATTTATGTATTTTAAACCGATCGATTTATATTAACTAACTTTTTAGATAAAATTGGATCTATACTGTAAATCACATTGATTGTTATAACTTTTTTTTAGCTAAGAATGTGGAATATTTAAATGAAATAAAGAATTTTTAATATTACGGAAAGAATTTATCATAAAAAACAATTTATTTACATTGGCCCATATTCAGCGCCTCTGTTTAACTTTATCGTGATTCTAAAGTCGCGTCTCGAGTCCCTAGATACTCCATAACAACAATGTAAATCTGTCAAGTTAAAGACGCGACTTTAGAGTCACTCTAAAGTTAAACAAAGGCGCTAAATACGAGCCATTAAATTTAGATATTTACGCATTTCATTTCGCTATTAGTCCGGATTTCGGAACCAAATTGATCAAAGTATTACTATTTTCCGCCAATTCCGAAATGGAAACTCGTCCTCTTTGTTTGATAAATTTGGCAACGGCTTCCATTTCTTCTTGTGACACATAAATGAATTTTCCTCTATCGTCGATCACGCCAGTTAGAATGTCGTCTTGCTGTAGATCTTTTATCCTGTCTATAGCTGCTTGGGTTTTCAGCTTAAAATGCGCCGCTAAATCTTCTATTACGACTACTTTGTTGTTTTTTATGTAATTAACGAATTCTTGCAGCAAATTCTGACTGTCTCCTTCACCTTCCTCGAAGCCTTCTTCCTCCACCGCGAAGGCTTCCTTCATTTTTAGGTATTCTTCGTGCTCCCGTCTTTCTTGTTCTTCCTTCGCTTTCTTACGCTCCTCTTCTAATCTCTTTTCTTCAGCCTTTTCCCTTTCCTCCTGCTTCTTTCGTTCTTCCTCTAGCTGTGCTTCTTTCTTCTTTTTCTCTGCTCGGCTTATTTCTTCGGATTTTCTTGCGGCCTTTTTCTCGGCTTTCGCCTCCAATTTCGCCCTTTTCTTCGCGCCTATTTTCCCATCGGGAAGTTCCACTTCGTTTTCGACTTCATTGTCCCCCTCCTGATCTTCATCATCCTCTAATTCCTGGTGAGCTAAAAAACAAAATATTAATTGTGAATTTCGCAGAGGGTAAATGTATTTACCGTTTGCTCGTAACCTGACACCTCGGTTTCTGACGATTTGGGCTCTTCTAGGGCCCCCTTCTCGTCTGTTAACAGCTGCAGCTCTACGTACTTCGTTTGCTGGAAAACGTTTGCAAAAATTATGTATTTAATTGAGAAGTAGCTTAAACAGTATTTCAATAAATACGAAACAGATGTTGAAATTTTACCTTTGCCCTCCTCCTTTTTCTTAAGAAATAGTGTCAAACCAATAATAATTGTTAATAATAAAGCAGCTAGAGCTACTAACAATGTTACGTCCATTATAAATAGTTGATAAATAACTAATTCTTTAGTTTTCTTCGCAGTAAAATTTGTTTATGAAATTTTATAACCTTCATTAATAAAATTTCTTTGACATTTGACACTTTTGACGTTTCATGTTAATAAAAAAGAAGAAATTTTTACATTGACGTTTCAGACAAATTTTATAAAAGGGGTAATAATATAGTTTTTAAGTTATTTCGGTTAATTATGCAATAAGTTTACGACGTTATAATTTAAATTATTACTTTTTAATTTCCGCAGTGTTTTTTGCAACGACATAATTCGGTGTTTATAACGTTTCAATTTTTGTCCCAAAACACGAATCTTGTTTGACTTTTCCTTGTTTTTTACAAGTTCTTTGTGGAGGCGCCTTCGTAATTCTTCCGTAGTGGCAAATTTTATATCTTCCTCTTGCTTCTCATAAATGGGTATTATACATGCAGTCGATTCATTTTCTGAAGAGCCATTCAGTCGTTCTTCAATACCTTCCTTTTTAATACTATCGGTATTCATAATGTCACTATAGTCGACTATTATATGTTCGGATAAAACCCCACAATCTTCTTCTTCTACTTCTTCTTTGATATGTGTTGTGGTAATAGGTTCAGTATCGGAATACTTCACTATTATATGTTCGCAAGAATCCTCAGAATTCTCGGTAGTTTCCATCTTTAACTCCACATTCGGCTGCATTTTTTCAAATATTGTGGGTACAGCATCATTCCGTAGGCAGGTTTTTGAGCCAACAGTGTAAATTGAATCCTTTACAAAATGTTTTGAACACAGCCTACTATTCGCCGTCGGTACCCAATTTTTCATGTTCATATTATTTATCCAAACATCTCTTATTTGTCGATTCTTTTGTGGCAATCTAAAATAAAATAATCCATTACAATTTTATATTTCTAACGGTTTTTTAATTGGTTACACTTATTGAATATGAATTGAAATTAATTGATACCTATGAAAAGTAATTCCTGGCTGTTTCCTGTCACTGCGACTTTTACAACCGTAAGCAGAACACACCACCATTTTAGGTAAAAAAATGGTTTAAACAAAATACGTTTTTAAAATTTATTTCGTACTAAATCATTATATTAGCTGCGATTTTAGTAAACAGAAGAACAGAAGTGATTACAACATAACCAAACTTTACTGAACAGTTAGTCTATGACTCTATGAGCGGAAAAGAGAGGGCGGCGAGAGAGAAAGAAAATGTAAGGGCAAAACAAACAAATTTATACGTAACGTTAACGTAAAATTAACGTAAATAAATAAATACCTATTTGTAATCGTTCTCGGCTCTTCCTCTTGTTCACACTGTTCCATTGTGGACAATTCGGTTTGTTTTTCCATGGAGTTTTCACCAAAATCCGATCCTTGAGATGTCTTAGGAGTATCTGTAAATCATAAAACATTATTATAAATATATTGATGTTTGAAAACGCTTACCAATGGAAATAAAACGCCTTTTTAAGAATCTTAGAGGCTTTTTGCTAAGAAACGGAAATAGAGACGGTACTGCGTCTTTATTCAGCACTAAATTTCCATGGGGATTTAAGGAATAATCGCTGTCTAGAAAATGATTCCCACATATCACTGAATATTTCGAAGGGGCAAAATCTGGACGTATAGCCGCAATCCATTTCCCCTTAAGTGCCTCATCGGTTGGAAATCTATAATTGTAAATTAAAAATTATTCATCTTTTTTATTATAATTCGTAACATCTTACCTATGGAATTTAATGCCTTTCCTGTACCTTTGGGTACAATTATAGGCAGCACAGGACTGAACCATTTTCAAAAAATTAAAAATTTAAAAATTGAATTAGAACTAAGTTTTTTAAATAAGCTTTGCGTAACTGCACACACCAACACCAACAAAACACGAGGAACGTAAAACGAGAAAGGATTATAAAAAAACTATAATAATAAAAAATCGTTGAACAATAAATATTTAAATAATTTCTTTAAGGTTAAATTGTTCTTCATGTTTAAATTTTGCAGCACTTTTACGTAAAAATTAACCAGCTACTTAGAGAATGTCAAAAAGAAGTTCCAAACAATTCGGAGTAAAAATGTTAAAAAACCGAACAGAAGTGACGTTGCCAAATTACCTGCCTTTAATCACATTGGTAATCAACACCAATAAAAATACTTAAAATAACAATAAATTACGTTATTGTTTTAATGAATACGTTTAGTTTAATTTCCATGCACTTTTTGAATTGTAATTTATGTAATTGCACGTATAAAAATGGAAAATTCTTTTCGAGTCGTTACTCATGTGGCAACATCACACGAACTTGTTCTAGAACATCTCGGAAAATTCGGAAACCGAAAACTGCACTCCGGAGAACTTCGAGTTTCACATTAGTCTCGTCTCGTGGCCGGCATTACTTAAAGTTTTCTAGTTAAAGTGCTCGTCCGATTTAAAATTAAACTTTAAAGGTAACAAATTTACTTTACTCAATTTACTTGTATACTTTTATTTACCGCTGAACAGCTAGAAACACGTTTTTTAACGATTAGCACACACATTACCGCCATGTGCTTTTTTTCACCTCTTTCGTAACATTCCCAAACGATAAAACTATTTTAATTCAATTAAATCTTTTTATTTCATCATTCGGTACAATCAACGCTACCCAGTCAATTCAAGTTACCGAAATTCGAATCACATCAACTAGTGACCGTACGTCAATTTGTCAAACAAGTAATTCAGATTTATCGGCGATATATCAATCATTTTTTATATCGTAGATGTATCGTCTACCGAACGCCGTGAGATCTTTGGCCATCCGCAAAGCCCATCAGCACAACCAAATACAAAGATGGTATGCCAAAGACGTTAGATTCGGTTCCGAGGTCCGAGCCCTCATGCTTCAAGGAGTCGACGTTCTCGCAGATGCCGTTGCAGTCACCATGGGTCCAAAGGTACATTTAATAATCCGATAATAAACTAACGACCTTGCGTATTAAATCTGATGAAAAAAATGGTTAATTTTTTATACGAGTTCATTTGTTACTAGAATTGTATTGGAAGGTTTATGTAACCTTCCATTTAACGGGCTCTATGAGGTACATAATTTGGACTAAATCTATCGATTCTTGCTTCTTAGGGCAGAAACGTGATCATCGAACAATCATGGGGTTCCCCGAAGATCACCAAGGACGGCGTGACCGTCGCCAAGGGTGTGGAACTGAAAGATAAGTTCCAAAACATTGGCGCTAGATTGGTACAAGATGTCGCCAATAACACCAACGAAGAGGCCGGTGATGGTACCACTACAGCCACAGTTCTAGCTCGCTCGATTGCCAAAGAAGGCTTCGAGAATTTGGGCAAAGGGGCCAACCCGGTGGAGATTCGCAAAGGTATACTACATACTAAATAACCGTACTAATTGAGTATTTGGAGACTAGAATATTCGATTTTTTACGAGTATTATTGTTTTTGTAGGAATCATCACAGCCGTTGAGAAAATCACGCAGACTTTGAAAACCCTATCGAAGCCGGTAACTACGCCCGATGAGATATGCCAAGTGGCTACGATTTCTGCCAACGGAGACAAGTCCGTGGGTAATCTGATCGCTGATGCGATGAAGAAGGTGGGCAAGGATGGTGTAATTACCGTCAAAGACGGCAAGACTCTGAGCGATGAATTGGAGATTATCGAAGGAATGAAATTCGACAGGGGTTACATTTCACCTTACTTTGTAAATACTACCAAAGGTATAAAATCGATTAACATTTTAGCGAATTTATTTGTAAGACTAACGTTGTTGCAGGTGCCAAAGTTGAATACCAAGACGCTTTGTTGTTGCTTAGCGAGAAGAAAATTTCGTCTGTTCAAAGTATAATACCTGCTCTCGAATTGGCCAATTCCCAAAAGAAGCCTCTCATCATTGTGGCTGAAGACGTTGACGGTGAAGCTCTTACTACTCTCGTTGTAAATAGACTCCGCATTGGACTCCAAATAGCTGCCGTTAAAGCTCCGGGCTTCGGAGACAACAGAAAATCCACCCTTCAAGATATCGCAATAGCCACAGGAGGTATCGTATTCGGTGACGATGCCAACATTGTAAAACTGGAGGACATTAAACTATCTGACTTTGGTCAAACTGGAGAAGTAGTCATTACCAAAGACGATACTCTTATTTTGAAAGGTAATTTGTAACGCATCAATTAAATAACAATAATTGCTTACCTAATTACATTACCAGGTAAAGGCAAAAAAGAGGACATCGATAGACGAGTGGACCACCTTAAAGATCAAATCGAAAACACCACGTCCGAGTACGAGAAGGAAAAACTGCAAGAACGTCTGGCTCGTCTGGCGTCCGGAGTTGCTCTGTTGAAGGTCGGCGGTAGCAGCGAAGTGGAAGTAAACGAGAAGAAAGACAGAGTCACCGATGCCCTGAACGCCACTAGAGCAGCTATCGAAGAAGGTATCGTTCCCGGCGGTGGAACCGCTCTCTTGAGGTGCAGCAGCAGCTTAGATTCTATTAAACCGGAAAATAATGATCAAGCAGTAGGTGGGTATTATTGACAAGTTGTTTATAGGATTGATTTTATATTTATAAAACTTTAAAAGGAATCCAAATCGTAAAGAGAGCTTTAAAAGTCCCGTGCATGACTATCGCAAGCAATGCAGGTGTAGATGGAGCATCCGTTGTAGCTAAGGTTGAGCAACACGAAGGCGATTATGGTTACGATGCCCTTAACAACGAATATGTTAACATGTACGAAAGGGGTATCATCGATCCTACAAAAGTAAGTGTATTACAAAGTTTTTTAAGCGTTATGTAAATTCCATTATTTATTTTTAGGTTGTCAGGACAGCTATCGTTGATGCATCGGGTGTAGCCTCATTACTCACCACTGCCGAGGCCGTCATTACCGAAATCCCCAAGGAAGAGCCAGCAGCTCATCCGGGTATGGGCGGAATGGGAGGCATGGGTGGCATGGGAGGAATGATGTAATTCCGATAATTAAACCAAATAGACTAAATGTAAACCAGTGACAGCGTCTCGTGAGTGACAAAAACTGAAGGTTTCTGTCGAAAGTTTCCATTTTCATGTTTGGCAGAATTTGTAATTTTTTTATACATTTCTTTTTTAAGTTTGTTTGGAAGATTCGTGTGTAGTTTTGTTTATGTGTAAACACGAATTGAAGAATTTGTATGAATGTGTGAAATTTAAAATTGCGGTCGAAAGAGGTTTTTCAGTAAAGTCGAAATCGTCATCGTTTGCGATGCAACTGGAAAATTTGTTTTGATCGCAGAACTGATCTGCATTTAAATCTGAAGATTGATGAGAAATAGTTTAGAAATACCCGAATGTTTATATTGTTATAAATATATTGTTACTCTTTTTACCTTATCGTTTTATTTAAAATATTTATTTGAAATGTTAGTTATAAATAAAATAATACTCAACAATCTTAGAACTATAAGATCAGAAATAACGCTATTACAAGGGAATTAAATATCACAAATCATATTTCAAGTGAGCGGAGCGTTATCTGAGGATGAGGCTGGCAGTTCTCCAAGTTTCTGTTGCTTTTTCGCTCTGATGTCTGCCATAGTTTGCTCGATAGATCTTACGTCTTTTTTGTTTTCGCTTGGCACTAAAAAATGATTGTAAATTGAAAAAATTCTTATCAAACAATCCACTAATAAAATTAACTTACCAAAGCCATACGATTTATTTGTTACGGTTTTCTTGGCCGCCTCCAATGCGGCATCTTGTCCAATCAAATGTGCATATTTATCTTTGTAATTGGTGTTTGGAGTAAACTTCTTCGGTCTCTTATTGCTCGTGGATTCTTTTTCTTGCTCTAGATCCAATTTTCTCTGAAAACCCATTACTCATTACTAAGTTTAAGGGACTCATTATAGTTATATTCAACATACCTTTTCAGTTAGTCTTCTTTTAATATCCTCATTCCACGGTTCACCTCTTCTCCGAGCGGCCAGTTCATCTTCACAAGGTGGATTCTCCTTTCTGTAGATTCTAATGTATCTATCAACACCATCAATTCCAAAAGCATAGGAAAGAAGACCACAGGATTCGGCTAGTTCGTGCCTAAAGAAAAATACCAATAAATAAGTCTTACACTATACTAATTATATAATCTTACACAATGCTTCTGTGTATTTGATCCATGGGCTCGAATTTTAAGTAAGTGTTGTTGGGATCTTTGAAATACGACAACAACTTCGTTTCGACTCGTTCCTTAAAACATTTCAGCTCTTTCTTTTCTTCGTTTTGACGACGTTCTAATTCTTGTTTTCTTTCTGTAATCAAACACCAAGTAATGAAAAAAATCTAATCATGAGATTAATGTGAAGTGAGGCCTACTTTTTAGCAGCACTTTTTCTTTCTCGCTTAAACCCGGTGGTTTGTCCATTGAATTCATAATGGATCCCAACAAATCCATTTTCAAATCGATATGAAACAAACTTAAAAGGCCTTTTAAAGTTGAAAGATAAATTTATCGCTCGTTTAATGTCAAAAACGACATTTATGAATTAAATAACATAACCATAATTGTTCTTCATTTTTCTACGAGTGTATTAAGTTAGTCACGATTTGAACCAATCAAATCAGTTGTTTAATCGAATGGCCTTTTATAAAGATGAAGTTTGTGTTAAGAGTAACATCGATTTGAGTCTATTTTAAGAAATATCGGTAAATTTCTATTAATAATCGACCTTTTTGAGGACATTATTGCGTATTAAACGCAAACATGCACAGTCTAATGTAGATTAATAAATTCAAACACGCCCACATCGTTATTTGCCGAATGAGTAGCATGTTGCACTGCAGCCAACCAAATTGTTTGTCAATATTTGTAAATCGACTTGTCACTTTTTAATTTTGTCAAATACAAAAAAATGGCAGCGGAAATTAAACCAGCGACTCAAACAAATGAAAAATTTTGTACAACGAAAAAGCCTATACTGCTATCGAAAATAGAGGAAAGCACCGATGAAATCAACGCCGCAGTTATTATACCCGGCGAAGAAGGAATTATCAGCGTATCCGACGATAAGTGAGTTCGTATCAAAATTGTTTATCTTACAGGTTGACATACCTTGTTTTTTTTCACACCGCAGGACTGTCCGAGTATGGTTAAAACGAGACTCCGGCCAATATTGGCCCAGCATTTGCCAGTACATGCCCAGCGGGACCACTTCTATATATTACACCGTCGAAACTAGAGAACTATTTATCGGCCAAGAAAACGGCACCGTATCCGAATTCACCCTCACCCCGGACTTCAATAGAATGTTACCAGTCAGGGAATACCTGGCGCACCAAGCCCGGGTCACCGAAATCGTATTCGCCATTAATTGCGAATGGATCCTCAGCGTCGGCAGAGACAAGGTCTTTTCCTACAATTGCACGCAAAGCGGAAGGAATATCGGCACCTTCAACGCTGAAGCATGGTGCACTGCTTTACAGTATCCTTTTAATTCAATAATTAACAGCTATTCCAGCTCTTTCTCAATAATAGAATTGCCTTGATTTTTACTAGAACTACTCTGTACTAGAACTTAAATTGTTTACATCGAATTATACTTCTCCTTACACGTAATGTTAGATTCGATGCTCAAACGAAGCACGCCTTTGTCGGCGACTATTCGGGTCAAATAACCATGTTAAAATTGGATAACAACGGTGCGACTGTAATAACGACACTAAAAGGCCATTCGGGTTCGATTCGATCTCTCTCCTGGGACAGCGACAGGCAGATGTTGTTCAGCGGCTCCTTCGATCACACCATCATCGTTTGGGACATAGGCGGGCAGCAGGGTAACGCTTACGAATTGCAAGGTCATCACAATAAAGTAAGGCGGAAACATCTCCAAAGGGGCCCGTTTAACGATTGTTTTTAGGTATCTAGTCTTTATTTCTCGACGACGACGAAGCAATTGATAAGCGCCGGCGAGGACGGGGTGCTGGTGTTTTGGGACATGGCGCAGGCCAGGCAGGAGACGCCCGAATGGATCGAATCGGACCTGTGCCAGCTGTGCGGCCGGCCGTTCTTCTGGAACCTCCGCGCCATGATGGACCAAAGGCAATTGGGGCTGCGCCAGCACCATTGTCGCCATTGCGGCAAGGCGATATGCGAGAAGTGCTCGACCGGCAGGGTGACCATACCGTCGATGGGTTTCGAATTCGCTGTGAGAGTGTGCGAACCGTGCCATATTTTGCTTAAAGATAAAGAGTAAGTTTGGATGTCTCTTAATGTCTTGTTAATTCGTTAATAACTTGTTGTTAGGAGACCATCTTTGGCTACCTTCCATGATGCGAAGCACTCCGTAGTAGCGATGAGCGTGGATGAAACCAACAAAAGACTAGTTACTGTCGGGCAAGACCGTTTGATCAAAATTTGGGATGTAACGGCTTTGCTTTGAATATAGAGAGATGAAGAAACATATTAAATGTGATTGATCAAATTTATTTCGTAAGAAAATGTTTATTGCTATTTGTTAAAATTACATGATAATATTTACAGTAATGTATAGGTTATATTTAAAAAAATATATATGTATTATAATTATGCTATAGATATTATTTCTTTTAGTTTATTAATAAAACTGTTAATGTGTAAATTTCAAAGTTTCCTGTCCATAATCTTGGAATTTAGTAATAATTAATGTTTCTTAGTTATAAGCAGTTTCATATTCGTCAATTTTTAATTAATGGTATCAAAATTTAATAATTTTCCAGTAAATTAAAACTAATATAAATTTCAAGCTCATCTGATATTATAAAGATAACTTTTATTTTCATACATCGATTTATATGTAATTTTTCCCATTATTATTTTAGTTAGTATTTTAAAAATACCTCCTAATTCTTCTTTTTTAAAGTTAACAGAAATTTAATTTTCCTTGGGTTGGTACGTAAATTCTTCAATTTAAAAATATAGTTGGCGCCGTCAGCTGTCAGGTTGTTAAACTTAATTTATTTGTTAATAGAATAATGAGTGAATATTAATTAACAATTACCATGCTATTCGGGGAGCTTTAAATTAATTCTACGTTAATTAGGACAAAATTAGACCAGTTTTGATTTACTCGTCTAAAAAATACAGATCGGAAGGAATCTTAACCTAAAAAATTTAGACGCTGTCAAATAAAAAAACATTAGTTGAACTTTTTGGCAAAAATGGCTTTATTGTAACTAAAACATCGGCAAGTAAAATGTGGCCCCTGCTACTCGATATGACAAAAGAGGAGTCCGTTCAGAATCTAAGGAACTTAGGTAAACTCTAATATATAAGTAATGTACTAAACTAAACTCTCGTTGAATATTTTAGAACTGGAAGCGTACTCCAATTTAGTATCAGCCCTAAGAGCACAAGGCCCCCTCAATCCCGACAAACGGAAATTATTGAAGGCCACTAGTTTCATTTTAAACATAACCCAAGAGAGACACAAAGCCGAAGTTAGAAGAGCCATTAGCGATGAAAAGTTGAATACAATAGCATATCAGTAAGTATTTTTTATTTATGTCTCTTTAGACCACAAAATACAAGATATAATTGTACTTTTAGCGTAACCGGTCACACGGAAACCCTGGAAGAATGGGCCCAGGAGGGCCGTCGCCTCGTACCTCTCCTAACCCGAGCGACTCCGCAAACAATCTATTCCGCATTGGCCAACGACGCCTCCGAAGCCGCCGGTCAGATGAACAAAATGCTACCACTGCCCGCTAATACCGAACGAAAGCGACCCATCATCACACCCGTCACTGCAGTCGTGGTACCGGAAACCAGCAAAGGCGCCGCCTTCAGGATCCCAGAGCCCCCGAAAGTCGAAGACAACAAGAAGAGGAAATTGATAAGTAACGCGGAAAACACGAATATCACCCCGCTTCTTTTAACGCCAAAATTGTCTAGGATTCAGCAGTTGTACAGGTTAGTGAAGCGATCGAATATTACATCAACTTACATATAAAAGTATAAACTGACTCAATGCTGTTTTTAGGCAAAGATCCAAGCCGAAGGTGAAAGAGTTGATAAAAAAATCGGACTCGGGCCACTTAGACATGGTGCAGCAGCACAAATTGATCCAACCGGTGGCCCAATCGGCGGCCTGTTCGTCCCCCCAACCGCAATACATCAACCAAAGGGTGAACGTGCTGCAGAACATCAGCCTGCAACCGATCAAAGAGGAGTACACCGATCACGAGGGCGACTTGAAGCTGACCGATCACGCGGCGATGTCTTCGATAGCGAACGAAAACCACGCGCCCAAACCGAAAATAGTCTCCGGCATGAAGCCGAACACGATCCTGCAGATCAAGCAGACCTCCCCGCAACCGGCCGGACCCAGCTCGGACGTGCAGAAAACCATCAAAATGTGCCCCGCCAAAAAATCGGTAGCGAAAACGCTGAATTCCGGTCAAAAGTTAATAGTAGCATCGAACGCGCAAACGATACCATCGAGTAGTATATTACAAAGAACGTTGCAGATACCGTTCGTCAAGAACGTTTCCATAAAGAACATCGAAAAGTTCAAAATAGTGACGAGCAATTCGACGTCGACGAATCTCCACCTGACCAACGTGACGTCCGGCACGAATCCGGTCAAACACAAAGTGGTCACGGTGAAAACGAACCCGGCTTCGAAGAAGGTGATACCGTTCTCGCAGCTGCAGGTGCTCAATTCGAAGGGTAACATCAAAGTGCTGCCGCTGGGCGGGAAGATCGTGGGCAAATCGACGTCGGGCAATCCGGCCCCGTTGTACATCGTCAACACCACGCAGCAAATCACGCGGGTGACGCATTCGCCGCAAATCATCGCGACGAATAAGGCGCACGAGAAGGCCGAGGTGAAGGTGACCGAGAGCGCCGGAGAGTCGGCGTGCAGGGAAAACGGGAAGTCTTCGGTGTTGGAGGATATTCTGAAGGCGTCGGGCGTGATCGAGGAGAACAACGCGGAGGATTACGATGCTAAAATCGAGGAGTTTCACATTCCTCAGGTGAAGAAGAACAACAACGTGGAAATCGAGTGTGACGATAGGATGGATACGGTCGAAGAGGGAATAAACGATGTGAAGAATGATGGTGCGAACGAAGCGGGTTTGGTTGAAGAAAAGGTGATCAACGATGAACAAAATTTAGGTGAGTAATTTTTAGCGTTGTTTATTAAGATTTTAAACTATTTTGTTGCAGATGAAGATGTTAAAACGCAAAAGCCAGAAGGAACAGCAATGGAAAAGAGCAAGCTTGAAAATGAATCAGAATCAAATAGTGTAGCCGAAGAGATAACAACAACAGAAGTTCCTGTAGATATAATGATGGATATACCAGAAAGTAAAATTAGTGATACAGAGTGCAACTGATATTTATTTACTTAATTCGTATTTTGTGTTGAAGCGATGTCCATTCGGAGCTTTTTCTTCTTCAGTGATTTATACATTTTATCTCTTAGAGTATGTTTAGTGCGTTATTGTGGAATTGAAAGCCGAATGGCCATTTTGTAATTTTTGTACGTTTTCGCTAAAAATACTTGTTTATCGGTATTTATTTTTATAGTGAAAAAGTTTTTTGTATTTTGGCTACTGTTTCTTCAATCTCTTTTTTAGGACTGTTTATAGAATAAACGTTTGCTCAATTCCCTAATTGATATTTTATTAGTTGTGTTTAATTCGATTTATATTTATTTTAAATTATACAATCTAATTAGATTTGTTGAGATTCTCCATTGTACATAAATATTTATATTTAACGAGCGTTTGTGTTATGTTTTTAAATCCTACCTTTTTCACGGAAATGTAAATTTCGAAAAATTTATTGCGTGAGAAAAACCGAATTTGTGAAAATTAAGTAGTGTTTAATATATTTGTAATTGAAATATCTGGTATGCAATAAATACCTATAAAAAATCTGTAGAATAAAAAATATGTTAAATAAACTCTGATGCATATTTGGCTTTTGTACTTCTCGACGCTGGGGAAACGCCTTTCTGCAGTGCTACGTATTCCTTTTGCAATTTCGCTAGCGTAGGACATTCGTAACCGACCTTTTCCTCGTACTTTTTCTGCACCACCTGCATCAAACTAACCAACAAAAACTCTGCATTTTTCGTGAGGAAGTTCCTTTGCTGGAAATAACAAACGTTCAACAATTACCTCGTGATAACTTTACGTACTCACATCTTGATTCAATTCGCTCCTCAGAGCGTTCTCGTTGTGCCTGACTTGAGCTTCGAACACGTTATACAAAGTCTCATCGATCGTATACATTAATTCCGTAGTTTTCAATTTCATGCAATCGTTTAACAAGTTCAGAAACATTTTCGTGAACGATAAAGTACTAGCAGTTAATTGCAACCAAGTATCGCCTAAAATATCACTTATTACAACATTGGAATAGCAAAATATACAGTAAATTCTCTCACCAGAAACGTAACTCCCTACGTTAGTGAGCCCCATTTGAGAATACTCTTGCACGCAACGACTTAAAGCCGATTTGGAATGCAAGTTAATCGGTATCCATTTATCATCTAAAACTCGCAATTTTATCGAATCGATTAATTTATCTCTAGCGTCTTTTAACGCTTTCATCAGCGAAGATCTCAAAGCACCGTCTAATTGATAACAAAGGTCTAAACCATAAACATACAGCTACAAGAAACAATTATTCAATAAATATAAAAAGTATTTAGAGTAATATTACCCTTTCACACTGATGTCTAACTAAAACTATGCACTCGGTCACCGTTGACAAAGAAGTCTGTGGCATAAAAACCTGTTTAATAAAATGGGTAGTAAACTGCAGCAATTCATTGCTCGCCCAAACCACATACGCTGCAATAAACCAGATACATTATTAATTTTCCAACGGATAAATTAGCGAAATGCTTGTACCTGAAGCACATGCCGGAGAGTCGGGGAAAGCTCTCAGAAACTCATCAGACATGTGACACATATTGGTGAAAACCACGCTCGAAAGATGCTTTATATAAGTGGTAGTAGAGCCTTCTCTTTTAACTCGTTTGCACTGCGTCCTTAGCATACTACTGCACAGCTTCAGAAACAACGTACAAGACTAAAATAAGATTTATTCAGTACCAATCCACTTCAAAAGAATCTATAAAACACCTGTGTTTCTCTTCCTAATTGATTCAGCAGTCTCACAGCCCTGCGAGCCGCTCTCAATCCCCCCTGCAACGATTTGTCCGGGTTTACTTCCAATTCCTTCATTAACACCTCAGTTAAATTGTTCTGTCTTTGCTCTACTTTCCTTTGAATATCCGTGAAAACGGTGTCCCGCTTGTCACCGGACGCGGATGATGCTTGATTCAAGTATTCTTTGGCTTTTTGCAATAGAGACAGAGCCTCCTCGAAATGCCTTTGGGCTACGCAAACGTCCAGCTCTTCCGGAATCTCCACGAACCATTCCGGATGCAAGGCGCTCGTTTCTTCTTCCACTTCATCGAAAGCTGGTACATAAAATTATTGTTATGGATACAACTCGATTAGTGGTATAAACTTACGATTGTAGCTAGGTGACTCAAAGGATACACGGGTGGGAGATTTTTCCGATATGGATTCTCTTTTTTGCTGTTCTTGGGCCAGCCTGGTCTTCTTGGCTTGATCGAACTTGTCTAACCACTCTTTCTATATAACAAGTTTGGTTAAATTGTGAGCGAATTGATTGTGTAAACTTACTTTATTGGAGTTTGAAGAGCATTGGAACACTCTGGTATCGGGGAAAATGAGAAGCTTAAAGGCGTGTTTGACGTTTCCCAAATCTCTTACGTTTACAACTGCTAGGCTGCTTAGGTCATATATACTTTCATAGATGTATTTCATGAGACCTCGACTGAAAGTTTAAATTATGCATCAAATTAGTTAAAATAGAATATACATTACCTGTTTGAGTTTCTTGTAGTTATCATAAAACTATCTGTAAATAAATAAACGTGAACTATTTTTAAGGCGGTGTTTTCGGTGGGTTCAATTTCTAATAAATCTCCTTCGTATAAAAAAATTCTTCCTGGTACTTTTAACAATTCCTGAAATTAAATTTTATGAAGAAATAATTTTTTACCCTGTTGAATAATTACCTGACAACCTTCTACTTTTTCTAAAATAGCAGCTATTTTTTGTTTATTTTCTTCCTCGAGATCCTTCTCGTTTACTTTATTATCCCTATCAATGTTGACTGGCTGTACGTCTTCCAATATCGAGGTGGCCGATAAACAATTAAGTAATGCCTTTTGCTCTGAAAGTAAGTGGGAAAGCTGGTACATCTCACTTTCAAGATCTAATTTTTTGTTAAGAAAATAAACTGGTTTTGAACGAGGTACTATTACATGATTTATTAAAGGAAAGGATACGTGAAATTTCTTTAGCAGTTTCGATAAATTGAATGTAGTTTTCGTAAACATTTTTCTTTAAATTAGAGCTGGTTTCTTCGGAGAGCCCCTGTATTTTTCTTCGAAGACTTTGCAATTCTGATCCACCCACATAATTCTGGGACAATTTTTTTACATCTACAAGAAGATTTATTAATACTAAACCAGTATTGCATTGAAATTAAACAATCGTACATTTTTCCGGCGAAAAATCTTCAGCTGTTAGCAATTCAAAGTTGGGTTCTTTTGAAAATTCCATTCTTGAGGAAAATTAAAAATAAAAACAACCACTAAAACTTCAAATCAGCGTATAGATGTCAACTTTGACATATGTCAAGTCTTCCATTCGCTTTTTGGTCTTTAATAATTAAGACGACAAGACACTCAACTGTTTTAAAATTTATTAACTAAATTTTCCCAACGATGTGTTTCTCTGCATCATTTTCACAAAATAATAAACGACAGTATCTAATAATCCCGCTACTGTATATACCCCTCCGATGATGGCGCAGAGATTCGTGATAAAATGGCCGAAGGACCTTTCCTTTTCGGTATATTTCACCATCAAAGGCGACAATTCGTATTGGAAGAAGATTCCCGGCATGCCGGATTCACCGCTTATCATCGAGACAACTTTTTGGTGCTTCGTTACGGAATATTGATTGGAACTTATTATAGACCCGTCTTTTCGTATGTACGCTGTAGGTACTATTTTGATGTAGTACTGAAACATCGTAGACCCTAAAAAAAAAAAAAACGATTGCTAAAAAATGCCTAAATTTCAAATGACATTTGATTAATTTGACATTGACAATATTGACACATGTCAACTCGGTTCTTTTTATTATCACATGAAAAATAAAATAAGAAATAATCCATTTAAATAGCAATATATGCTAAAAGTCTGCTATTATCTTCTAGTCATAGATAAAATTACCAATAATAGAAGTTAACAACAATTCTAAGGTTACTTTTAATACATCCTATCTATACAAATTAGTCGTTTTACAAAATGCCTGTTCCCGGTGGAGTTTATCAACAACAAGGGCCCTCGTGCATGGATAGGATGAAAATGGGATTTTTCCTCGGATTTTGCGTTGGGATGGCTAGCGGCGCCTTGTTTGGGGGATTTTCAGCTCTCAGGTATAATTCTTGTCAACGAAATGCATACTAACGAATTCAATTTTATTTTATCCGTAGAGGTGGACTTCGGGGCAAAGAATTGGTAAATACAGTAGGAAAAGTGATGCTTCAAGGCGGAGGATCGTTCGGTACGTTTTTAGCCATAGGCTCGGGGCTTCGATGTTGAAATACTTATACTTATCGGCAGTAAATCTCACTCGTAGAGTTACAAGAAAGCATTGTGATTATTTAAAGCTGTTGTAATAAAATTTTAGTAGAAAATTATTTACCCAAAGACGTGATTTTCTAAAGCAACTGGAACACATAAAATGAAATATTCTTACCTTCGTTTGCGTAAACCTCTAAATCCTTTAACGGATTGTGAGTGTGGCTTTCAATTCGATCTCCGAACGATAAATGCCTTATTCTGTGGGACGTATTAAAATCGTTTGAGGAAAATGGCTGGACATCGTGAACATGTAAATGACTAACGCTAAAACTCTCTCCTGGAGCTATATGGAAACTCCCACTGCAAAAACAAGCGTGAAATTCATTTGCAATAAATTCATCGAGGAGATTTTTTACCTAACTCTATTGACTATCAAACTGCCATAGATTTGGCAGCCCTGTAGAAAGGCAGTTTTTAATTTCTCGCTGTATTTTTCGTTTTTGCATTGCTCGATGCTTTCTATGTTATCCAAGGCCCACTTTTTCTCCCTGTAGGCTTCTTTAACGTCTTCGCAAGTGTTACAACAGCGATCGGCAGCGCCATAACAACTACCGCACTCCGTTTTATTGTTAGATTGCTACAATAAAAAGCATACTACATTACTCACTTTTTGCTTTAGTAATTGGAATACGTACAGTAGTGTTCTTGGAAACGGTAATGTTGACTTTATCAGGATCTGCTATAGGTTTTCCATCCAAATCTAACCTTCGTTTGTATATATTATGATCCATTTCTAAATGTTGCTCACCAGAAGAGTCCATTGCATCTAATGCTAAAACTACGAGAGAATCACAATTAGGAACAATTTTAGAATGTACATTCGAACTTACAATCACACGATATCTTTGGAATAACAAAGTCTAAATTTATTTGAATCTTGGGACTCCTGGAAGTATCGACAAATAGTTCTTCGGTGATATCAGGCGTCACGTAATTCAAAAATTCCGACCAAAACAGCAAATTCATTATAATTATGCTTATTATCGTAACTGAAACAAATTTCCAGTAGAATCAATTAAATAAATGCAATGGTTGTACTGTACTTGCTCCTCCTGTATAGGTTTGTATCCTGACATCTTCCAACGTTTTGGGATAGGCGTCGAATCTCCTCATTTTTTTCAAAATATCCCACATATTTGTTAGTAAAAATTTTAAATCTAGTGACGTTGAACCTGTTTAATTACTTTTCCTGTCAGGAACATAGACAATTTACTTGTCAGGAAAATACCTCTTTATAGGTTAATATTTTCTTCTTTTTTCATGTATAAAAATTCATTACTCTATGACTAGATGTTTACAAGAGAAGAGGCGAGACAAATAGAAATCGAATGTGTTATGTAGTTATGTTATTGTTGTCATGTGCCAGAATAAAAAAGTTTAAATTGGGAAAAATTATTTTTTAAATAAGTAAATAAAAATGAGTATATTAATGTACATGCTCCGAAGAATGGTATATTCGCCATTTTCGCCGGTTCAAACGCTCGGAAAAGGTAATATTTTACAGTTTAATATCTAAATCCCCAGAAAGTTGTGTAAGTATTCAAATGTACTTGCAGAAAGAGTAATATGGTTGTCGTCTTCGAATGAGGGCAATAAGATCTCTGCTAGGATGGAGGAATTTAAGAAAAAGTTAAGGGCAAAAACGTCCATTGATAAGCTAGAGGAACTCGAAAAACATCCACACGAAGAAGAAGAGCCACTGACACCTTTCCCAAACAACACCAATCCAGTTACCGGAGAAATCGGAGGCCCCCGGGGACCAGAACCTACTAGATACGGCGATTGGGAACGAAAAGGCAGAGTTACTGATTTTTAGATTTTATTTCGACTGAAATTACAGAGGCACACCTATTTAATAGACGATTCGTGTAATATTTACATTTTGTATATACCTTATTATGTATATGTAAGGAGACAGTTGTAAATTCCAGTGCATTTTATTGGAAACGTCAACGTTCCTTCAAAAAAATATATACTCAATACTAATTGAAATTTTATTATATAATTTAAGCAATGTAAAAGAGACGAATAACAATTTATGTATCTTCATTTAGGAATCAGAAGTGCTCGAAGTGGCTGCATTCTCCGCTGGCTCGGACGCTTCAGCTTCCTCCTTCTTTTTGCCCCCTTCTGGCACCCACAGCCCCGAATCAACGCAACGCTTCATGTGATACTTTGCCTGCTCCTCGTCCATTTTGGCAATAGTGTCCTGGAGCAGCTGGATATCCTGCGTTTCGAAGCATTTCTTCAGTTCATCCGGAAGACTCTCAAACACATCGACGGGATCCAACCCTCCCGGGCCCAATCGCTTCTGTTTCTCCTCTTCTTCAGCTTCCTGTCGATAATAAATTTAATGTTTTTAGTAGTTACGAAGTGAGGTATTTACCTTTATAGCTTCTTCTATTTTTTCTGCTGCTCTCTTCTTTATTCTTTCTTTAAATTGCTTGAGTTCGTCTTCGAACGATTGTTTGTATTCGATTTCTGCTACTTGGATTTTGGCGAAGAAAGCGTCCACGCAAGCCCTAGGATCGTAGTCCAATTGCTTGGCCAGTTCCAGGATGTACTGCATGCAGATGGTCTGGTGAGCCACGTGCGCCATCAGTTCGTGTTTCTACGACAATAATTACATTAAAAACCAATCGATAGACTAGCGGAATAATAATTACCTCTTCCATTTCCAGATTGATGCACCAGACGACTAAATAATTAGCCGTGTCTTCGCAGACGAGCTGATTGTGGGACTTCAAGAACGCTCGGGAATCGTCGTATTTTCTGAGCATCCCGAAATGCTTGAGGTCCTTCTCGTGCTCTTTGACGAAATTTCGCAACCTCGCTTCCTTCTCGGCCTCCGTTAGGTGCTCGTCTTTCGGGCGAGCCGGCTTCTTGTTTATAATTGTTTTGGCGAAACCGGGCTTGCTGATGGTGTCCACATTCCACGGCGCGAGCTAATAAAAACCACATTCAATAGGCTGTATTTATAAAAAAGAAGCAAAACCTTTTGCTTCAAAAAATGAAGGAATTGCTTCAATGTATATGCGTGAAAAGAAGAGAAGGAAGAGAGGTTTTACTTCGAGGACCCTGCTGTCGCTTTAAAGCAAAAGGTTTTATGGTTTTAAAACCTTTGTATAAAGTTTTAGATCCTTTTTCTCTTATTTTTTGCCTCTATCTTTTACTTCAAAGTAAATGCCTCATTTTTATAAACATAGACTAATAAATCACAGTAAATAACTTGCTAATACAAGAAGTAAAAGATTTAGTTGGCTCTGTAAGTTCTGTTCATTGTTTACGAAGCTCAGTAACTCTAAATGATTCGTTTTTAAACTATAAATTGTGACTTTTGTCAAAATCGGTACCTTCTCTTGCTTCTTCAAGTCGTCTTCTTCCTTTTTGAGCTCGTTCTCTTCGATTTCGAGCTTTTGTAACGCGGCTTTGAGTTCGTTTACGTTGCTCGTATTGGTCTTTTCCGCTTGCTGCAACTTTTCCTTCAATTCTGTGGATTTTTTCAAGTAGTCGGCTTTGCGTTTCTCCAGCGCTTCGGTGTGCTGTTGTCTTTCTTCCATGCGCTGCACTCTCGCTTGGTGTCTCCAACGGAACAGCGAAGGAGTATCGATGTTTGGGTGAGTCTCGTCTTCATCGTCGGATATCTATGATTAGAAACGATGGTTAAATGATGGCGGGATATTAAGTCGGTTAATTACCTCGATGTTTTTCCATTTGCTGTAATCTACCATTGTTGATTGCTTTAAATTCTAATCCACTCCTTAAATCTGATAGTTTCTAGAAATTTACAGACGGCTAACAACTTACAAACCTTTCATAACCTAATAACCTATTCTTCTTTTTATTTTATTGGAGAAGTTTAAGCAATTGCTGGTCTCTTACTTTTGAGTTATTTCGTCTTTTTTAGACAGGCGTATAAATTGTTGCATAAGTTGAAGTAGAACTTGTAATGAAAAAAGTTTGTATCACTTGTAAATTTTGATGCATATTTAGATTCGGAAAAGCTTTTTCTTCTCGTAGATATTAAATTGAATTAAAAAAATCATGATTTATTCCTACTTTCTTAATTAGTCCAATAGTCTAAATAGGAAACATGGTTAAAAATTCAAAACTTAAGTAAAGCATTGCGTGATTTGCGTGTCTCTTATTCGGCAAATTTCCACCTTAATTACCGTCCCATTTTAATGTTTATGTAATTATTAAAATCTGGAAAGTTTTAAATAAGGTTTCTAGAAATCTACTGTTAATTACTGACAACTAAAACGTTTTAATATCAATAAAATGGAATGAATAGAGGCCCGAAATTAATACGACAATATAATTGTCGCGTAATTATTGTTTGTATTCCATCAGAGATTTTTCATAGTTTTAATTGATTGAAATTAGATATTTACGAAAAAAGAATTGATACAGATGCGGACTAAGATTTATTTTAAAACAATTTTGTACTTCGTAATATATTTTGACCCCAATTTGTTCGATTATCATATCAGAATGTGGTAGAAGTTTTTATAATTGTACTGTATAATTTATTGTATAAATTGTATTAAGCATTGGCTGATTCTTAGCTAAGTAATAGAGTACACCTCTGAACTCTTTGTTTATCTAATTACATCTTAAACATTTTAAAATTAAAGGTATTTGTTAGTCAATGTATTTACCAATTTTTATTTAAAGTTTGAAAAAACAACAGTTTTTGTTAGTGTAGTAAACAGTAGAGTTGCAATTGTAAGTAAACTGCAATTTATTATATAATTTCATATTTATTTAAAAGTAGCTCATTTTATTTTTATATATTTTAACCACTATTTATATGTATATTTTTGACTCATCTGTCAATGTTGACATCCAAGGCTAACTATTTTTTAACGGTGTTACAATGAAAAAACCATAAAAGGATCAAATATTACCACGAATATTTCAAAAGTGCCATTAAGGAAATCAAATTGTATTTCCAGATAATTCCAATGACGTGGATACCAAATATACTCGTATTCTTCGCGACTGTATCAATTTTAACGTATTTCTACGTAACGAGAAGGTTCAATTACTGGCGCAAACGGAATGTCTTCTATCAGAAACCCACCCCGTTCTTCGGCAATTTCAAGGACGTGGTCCTCATGAAGGACACCATAGGAACCTGGCTAAGAAAAACCTACGAATCGGCCAAATCGCAACCTTACTATGGCATATTCATTTTCGACGAACCCTGCCTGGTCGTCAAGGATCCGAAGATAATCAAGAACGTCCTGATCAAGGATTTCAACAGCTTCTCCGACAGAGCCACAGCCAACGCCGAGCACAACAAAGTCCTGCGAAACTTCCTGTTTTTCATGAGAAACCCCGAATGGAAATCGACGAGGAACCAAATGTCTCCAATATTCACTTCGGGGAAACTGAAGGCGATGTTCCCGACGCTTTCGGAAGTAGGTAAGTCGTGTGACAGCTACAATTTCGACGTTTGACGTATAACGAGTTTGACATATAACGAGTTTGACAATTCCAGGCGAACGATTCCAAAAGTACATCGGCAACAACCTGGGCGTGATCGAAGCGAAAGAAGCATCGTCGAAATTTTCCACGGACTTTATCGCCAAAGCCTTCTTCGGCATCAACGCCCACTGTTTCGACGACGAGAACGCCATCTTCAGGGTGCTCGGGCGGAAGGTGTTCGATTTCTCGGTGAGGAACGGTTTCGTCAGCACGGCCTACTTTTGCATGCAGAACGTCGTTAAATTGTTCAAACTCAATTTCACCGAGCAGTGGATCATCGATTACTTCGCCGACAGTTTCTTGCACGCCTACGAGAGCAGGGTGCAGAGCGGCACTCGCCCCAACGATTTCATCGATTTGCTCATCGATACCAAGAAGAAGGATTTCGATGGGAAATTCGGTAGGCCCAATGGTTTACAATGGTCATCAAAGTTCAATTGATAGGACTTGTCGCTCACCCTGAACTCTCGCTCCTTTACTATTTACGTAACTGGAGGGGTGTACTAGAAAAGGAACGAGAATTCAGGGTGGGCGATTGGTCTGCCGACCATTATATCTACTTAATGAGCTACAAATATGTTTAATGAATCTTGACTAATCAATCAGCGATACTTTAAACGAGCTCTCTTTCAGATATAAATATGATAAAAGGTGCCGGTATGCAATTCTTTTTGGCCGGATTCGAAACCACCAGCTCCACGGTCTCTTACACTTTGTACGAACTGTGCCTGAACAAAAATATTCAGAACAAACTAAGGCAGGAAATATTGGCTAGCATTAAGGAACACAACGGATTGACTTACGACGGGGTACTCGGCATGAAGTACTTGGATATGTGCATTAAAGGTAATTTTGTACCGGCGTGACGTCATTACCTGCTTAGAATGAACACACTATACTGATACATTTATTCTCCACTCAGAATTTGTCTATTAACTACAAAAATGTGCCAATATGATGCAAATATTTCACTTCGTGACGTCACCACTAGATTATTGCGAAGGTACTACAACTTATTTTTTTTAGAAACTCTTCGTAAATATCCGGTGTTGCCATTTTTGGATAGAAAGTGCCTGACGGACTACAAAGTTCCGGGTACTGATTTGGTGGTGGAAAAAGGAACTACTGTGTATATCCCATTGTTCGGCTTGCAGTACGATGAAAAGTACTTCCCGGAGCCGGAAAAGTACGACCCGGAGCGGTTTTTGGACGCGAAAAAGTACAATATGGATGGGCTGGTGTACTTGCCCTTCGGGGAAGGACCTAGGGCTTGTATAGGTGATGTTTTTTGATGGTTTGTTGTATGTGTTTGTGGAATGAGAGAGTTTTAATTTTGCAGGAGAAAGGCAGGGTTTGTTGCAGTCGAAACTCGGAGTGATATCGGTTTTGAGTAAATTCGAGGTGGAGAAGTGCGCTCAAACTCCGGATCCGATTGAATTTGAAGCCAAAAGTCTCGTGCTCCAGTCGAAAGTGGGCCTTCCGATGACTTTTAAATTAATTGTACCATCACCGGCATAGTTTTATTTCCAAAAAGACAATTGTTTTATTATAAAAATGCTGTTTATTGTGATATATTTGGGAGAAGAGATGGGAATTCGCAAAATTTTAAAGGGACTTTTATTAGGTTTTTTGTATGGTAAAATAAAGAATCATAAAAAATAAATAACTAAATTAAAATTTTGTATTATTTTTTTCTTTTAGACACCTACTTACAGTCGGTGCAAAATAAATCTCAATGCACATCACCTATAATTAGGTGGCCAAGTAGGCAGTGTTGCCGAACTTTTATAGATTTTACAAAATCTAAGAATTTCCTAAAATTGTTAAATGGCAAAATGACAAGAACAAATTGAAAATAGAGTACACTGTGATGTTTACTACGAGAATATTGATTATTATAATGAATTTGCAACACTTTTATTGCATATTTACTTTCAATAAATAATCATGCATTAAACCATATTTATTTTTACATTTTGTATTATCATATTTTGAATAAACAGGTTTCAATAACCTGTCATTAGTGGGGGAATGATGAAAGGGACAAAAAGTAACTTTATAAACGATATTCCTTTAAGTTTAATCTGCTAGTATCATTTTCAATAATCGGCGAGTGTAATTATTATATTGTGGTGATTGTGATCATTTTGGTTGATGAAAAGAAAATTCAATTTTCAATTTTTGAAAATCTGGTGAATAAAAGTACTTACTGGCTGTATACATATTGTGCGGAGAAGAGTAATTTTTACTCTGTTGTTTACTTTGTTATTTGAATCGTATGTATTTATCTGGGGTTTTATTTGTGTGAATCCCAAGTACATAAAAATAATGTTTAGTCTGCCGGAAGATGGCGTTTTGAATTATTGAAACGATTGAAACAACCTGAAAATCCCACATTGAAATTAGAAATAACCGTCTATTCCATAATCCAAACACGAACAAGAAGTTTTAGTTCTACTTGACCAACTTCATCATTCTTCCAAGGTAAATTTTTCTATACATTTTTATTAATTTTTTTAAATATTTATTTCAATAAAAAATCGTCAGATATATCTGTAAGAACTGGAACAAAGAACTGTGGAACAATATTTACTCATACTTCTAGATAGTGATGAAAACTAGGGTAATTAGGATAATTTTTCTGTAATAAGTAGGTTGAGAACTCAGTTTTGAAGGAACTACATTTAATAAACAAATTAAGCCTATGCGTTTTACTTGATTATTTAATAATACATATGCATTAAATACCTATGCATTAAATGCAACAAACGGGATAAACAGTAATTGCTCAATTACCAAGTAATTGAATGTGGAATATTTTTATCATTTTAAATTTTAGACTATTTAGGAAAATGCAGTTAATTATAAGAATCTACTAAAGCAGCAATTTTAAGAGCAGGGATAACTTATAAATATTTTGGTTTAGAACTTGAAGCGTAAGTAGTTTTGCCAATTTTTCCTTTGGATATTTACAATTTTAAGATGTATGTATCGATATTCATTGACACATGTTTATTTGTTTTGTGTTAAATCTATTTAAAACCATTGTAACAATATTTATTGTATATTAATTTTCGGCTATTGAAAATATTTTATTTAGATTGCTCTCAATGTTTTGGTAAATAATAATTACATTTCTATGATGTTATTGATGATCTTACGAGAAATTGTGGAATAGTTAAAAAAATCAAGAGTTTGGTGATAATGATAACAATGCACTTTTATGAGAGTATTTTGACTTTGTCTTTGTACATTCTTATTTAGTTATTTTAGCGGCTTATTGGTGATTCAAGTCTTTCCTTATCAATTTTTATTAGGTTTTTTCGTTGTGTAAAATTGAGTGCCCAATTTATTTTATGGAAAGAATTCGTAAAGTAACTCTATAAGATTCCTCAAGTATAATGTTATCATTTTTACTATAACATTTAATATAGGATAATAAAATATTCCATCAATTTTTTCCAGATGATTTTATCAACATCGTGGATCCCCGATGCAATTTTATTCCTTCTAACGCTATTCGCGCTCTTGTACTTTTACGCTACAAGAAAATTCAACTACTGGAAAAACCGCAATGTCGTCTACCAAAAACCCATCCCGTTCTTCGGCAACTTCAAAGACGTCATCACCCTGCAAAAAACCATCGGCAACTGGCTAAGGGACGGCTACGAAGCGATGAAACCCCACCCGTACTTCGGCACCTTCGTCTTCGACGAGCCCTACCTGGTGATCAAGGACCCCCTTCTGGTCAAGCACGTCCTCGTCAAGGACTTCCAAGTTTTCTCCGACAGAACCACGGCCACGGGCGAACACAACGAGGTCTTCCGCCATTTCCTCTTCTTCATGCGCAACCCCCAGTGGACCGAGTGGAGGCGGCTGCTCAGCCCCATCTTCACCTCGGGCAAGCTGAAGACCGCCTTCCCGGTCATCGCTCGAGTAGGCGAACGCTTCCAGGAGTACCTCGCCAGCCACCAGGGGGAGCTGGACGCCAAGGAAGTCGCCGCCAAATACTCCACCGACGTCATCGCCAAGGCCTTCTTCGGCATCGAGGCGCATTGCTTCGACGACGACAACGCCATCTTCAGGGTGGCCAGCCGGAGGATCTTCGATTTCAATTTGAGGAACGGCATCGTCACCACCGTGTACTTTTCCTTGCAGAATTTGGTGAAGATTTTTAAGATTGATTTCACGGAACGATGGGTCACCGACTATTTCACCAAGTGTTTTATGCACGCTTTCGACGTGAGGGAGAAGCAGGGGTTGAGGGTTAACGATTTTATCGATTTTCTTATCGATCTTAAGAGGAAAGATACCAGCGGGGATTTCGGTATGTAATCATTGGTGTATTTTATTATTAATTTGTAGCTAGTAGAAATTGTTAGTGAGCTAATTTTAAGTAATTTTATCTAAGGTTCATAGTGTTATAAGTTATTACAAATAAAATAAAAGATTTCGAGAGATATCTCTTAATAGGAGAAGATTCTAGAAAAGTATTTCTGATTGCTCACATAATCTGGGACAACTTGTATTTGTTATCTTACTCGAATATTTCTGTAACAAATACTTAACGTTTGTATATACTTTTTCAGACATATTGAAATTAAAAGGTGCCGGTATGCAATTCTTTTTGGCCGGATTCGAAACCACCAGTTCCACCATTTCCTTCACATTGCACGAGCTGTGCTTGAACAGAACCATCCAGGATAAGGTTAGATCGGAGATATTATCGAATCTGGAGGAACACAACGGGCTCACCTACGAGGGCGTATTGAACATGAAGTACCTGGATATGTGCATCAAAGGTGCGTAATTGAACATTAATCCAGTTTCAAATTGCATAATGTGCGTGTTGTGCTTGATTGTCAATGTCAGCTGTCTATGTCAAACTAACATTTATAAACTATTAACATTTCATTATCAAGTAGGCTGTGAACAACAGACTCGATTTGACATTTTTTCTTGATTGCAGAAACACTTCGTAAATATCCAGTGTTGCCGTTCTTAGATAGGAAATGTTCGGAAGATTACAAACTGCCTGGAACCGATTTGACGATCGAAAAAGGAACTAACATATACATACCGATGTTTGGATTGCAATACGACGAACAATATTTCCCTGAACCGGAAAAATTTGACCCGGATCGATTCCTGGATTCTAAAAAATGCAACGCGAACGGATTGGTGTACTTTCCATTCGGAGAAGGACCGCGAATTTGCATAGGTACGTTGATTAAATTGCGAAATTGCCTGTCACTGTCAAACAATGACGTTTCTTCCATTCTGACATATCGACGCCTACTCTTAAAAAATATTAATTTGTTTTTTGATAATTTTAGGAGAAAGAATAGGACTGTTGTCTGTAAAGCTTGGTCTGATATCGGTTTTAACGAAATTCGAGGTTGAAAGGTGCCGAAATACTCCGGATCCGGTGGATTTCGCCCCGAAAAGTCTGGTGCTCCAGTCGAAGGTGGGACTTCCGATGACGTTCAAACGATTGACATCTTAATCCGAACAAACTGCGATTTCAATTAGTTATAGACATTTATTCATTATTTTTCAATTAATTTACAAGGGCGTATGTTGATAATACTATTTTGTAAAATATGTAATTTCATCTATCACTTAAATCTAGTACAATAGGAAGAATAATAGTTTTATTTTTGGAGATATATTCATTATAATCGTATCGAATAATTGAAGGTTTCCGAATTCGCAGCTGTTCCTTCGAAACAAAATATATTTATAATATGTCGTCAACAATCTAGCGGAATTATCGCGATAAAATCCAATTCCTAGGCAGGTGCTCAGAAATATCGGAAACCTTCGTTGCTCGATACCAATTCACCTGATACGAGTTTCCTTGAAGTGGTCCTCAATTGACGAGACGATTATTCGAAAAGAAACGATGCCACATAACGAACAGTTTCGATAGAAGACACAGAGGAGTTACAATTTCTTTGTCAAGTTTCATTTTAAATATTATTATATTTCTAACCTAAGCGTTGAACGCGCGAACGCCTGCATTCGCTCTCAACGAGTCGATCCGAAAAATTCCAAAAAATCCGGTGCAACAAACACACCTTCGCAAATTTAACAAACGATTGCAACGGTGAAATTTACAATTACATTTCCATCTGACATTTATGAGTGTAAAGGAGATATCGGTTGTTTAACCAATTCACAGATTTTTTTACGCAATATTCAATCTAGTTGGCTGTGCTGAAGACTGATAAATTTAAATTTTATTGACATTATTCGAAAATCGAAATATTCCTGAGACAGTGTAGGTAGTAATTTTGAATGTAAGGAGAACTTCCTTAATTACCTTCTTTCACTCTAAGTTAAAGATTTCTTAGTTAAGGTTTTTTAAGGTAGACGGAAATCGAAATCAACATACCTAAGGAAGTGTATTAATTTTGAACGTAAGTAAGGAAAACTTGTTATAAAATTTAAAACGTATATATACTCTTTTACTTCCCTCAAAGTTAGAGTTATTTTGGTTAAGGTTTTTATTAAACTTACTTTATTGTCAGGATAATTTAAAGCCAGGAAGTTATCCTGCTTTATTGTCAAATTTTTCAGTAGGCAATAGTGAGAAGTGAGACCTGTCAAAAATGTCAATTTTCTACCTGTCATATTTATAAATGCAAATGGTCACACTTTAATGAAGAAAATAAGGTTTTTTTTTAATTTATCTCGATATGTCATCAGCTTTTATCTATATTTTTATAATTTAATTGTAAATCTTAAGATTTTTTTTTTCAGAATTTACACTGTCTTCTGTCATTGATCGATAATGAACTTTTTTCGAGTTGGCGAACCACAATCATACGAAAACAAATAACAATTACAAATCACATTTTTAAATTGTTACTCAATGAAGTGTTTATAGAATTTCTGTTTTAATTTTGACCCCAATTCTTGCGTAAAAATATTATGAATTGATTATATTTATGTATAGCACCACAGGGTGTATTTACAATGCGATATTATCGAACATGCACTGTAAATAAAATATCTTTAAAATCTTCGCCTAAATAAGAAATATAAGGAAAAATTCGCAAAAAATGCAAAATTGTTTGCAATATGGGTCTATGGGTGCAACAAAGACAACTTCCATTACTCCCATATTGTTCTTGATATTGTGGCATTGCAACTTTTTCACTCTAACTAATGTTATTTTAATAATCTATCTTTATTCTATCTTTATAGAATTGATCATGTTGCAATCAATTTTGCACTTATGTGTATATTTTATTTACAGTTTCCATTCTATAGACTCACACTGTATAACAAAAACAACATATTTTTCAATAAGGAAGAATTAATTTTATCTAAAATATAGCGATTTGATATTCATTGTATTGTTTTTTATTTAAAATCAAAAACGGAGTTTAATAATACCATAAAAATCAAATCGCAATAAAAATTTATCAAACACAACAAGATGAAATTATTTGGTACGAAAATATTATACTCGCTACATTCTAAAGTCTATAGGTATAACTCACACATATAAAATCAATATCAGTAATCAATGAGATAATAGACTAGAATCACATGTATTTTTAAAATTTATAAATATCTTATTAAAACAATATCTATCAATATGTAGGTATACAACATAAAACAGTAACAGAGCAGATGATTTTGGTTCGATTCAAAATTTCATCTAAAAACTTTTCATTTTTGATATCTATCTCGTAACACGAATTTGATTTTTATTTTGATAAATCTCTTATATACTCTTAAAAAACCATTAAATGGAATTACACGAGTGAAATTATAATAAAATTATCTTCTATAAAACTTTCTGTCAATTTTGTCAACGATAATCAATAAAAAATGTTTTTTCTAGTTATAGTTTTATAGAAGAAAAATAATTGTAGAATAACAGAAAAAATGTATAATATTAGGAAAATCTCATTACACACGAATATCGCGCAATTTCAAAATTCGCATAGAAAAATAAATGGTAAAGGTTACTTGAAGCTCAGTATTACAAGTCTTTAGATACAGATATGTTAAAGTTTAAACATTTAATGATTTTTCTTCAATAAATTTCTAAAATTTCCTTTATTGTCTAGGAAACTTGTGCTTACATAAGGAAGAATAATCCCAAATACAATTTAAACAGTCAAATGACCGCTTTAGGTAATTTAATGAATAATAAAAAAACGAGTTGTTTGTAAAGCAATTGGAAATTACAAAGTTAAATTATTGAATAACAATTTTTTTCAATTTTTTATACTTCTACATTTTGAACTTTCTGTATAAATTTTGCTAATTGTTGTTAATGCATTACTTGAGGTAGATTTATAGGTTGAGGTTGTAACACTCGCTAAAACCTAATCCTATTTTTAGCAATTCCTTCATTTAGCAATAATTTGACTAAGTATTTCCCAACTGCCATACTTAAATCGGTCTTATTAAACAAGTACACTACATTTTACTCTAAAAAGAAACTAAAAAACGGGAAGACGAATATTTTGAAAGAGTCAGGAAATTTAAATGAGTTGTAGTTTGCAGTGCACTTGCCTAGAATCGGGAGAAAAATATTATTCCTTAACAACTCCACCTTCCTTAGTAAATTCACTAATTTGTATCCCTGTAAATTGTGCCAAACTCATTACTCGTGTGCGTCATTTCCAGGCTTAATTTAAATATTTCCACGTCAGATTTTTAGAAATTGTCGCGGAGAATACTCCTATGCACCCTGGAAATACGACGTTTCGACTCAAAGAATTATTTGCACCAATTCATAAGAAAATTTCACAAATATCTCTTTAAATTTGCATATACAAAAAGTGTTCAATTTGCGCGATAAAGTCTAATACATCGTTTGTATTTTTGGAGTAAAGACGAAGGAAATATTGGTATTTATATTACAAATGGACCACCCTGTATACATTACTATTACACGATGATACATTATACTCATCTTCGACTTTAACAAACAACAAATCCTCGCACGTTATATCCAACAATTCTCTAAATAAATATAAAAAATAAATAAATTAACGCATAGCCTACCGCTTAAAAATAGAATAATTGTCCTAAACATGTTCCCTACCGTTCGGTTTGTATTTACAGCAACGACAAAATATATAACTGGTAAAGCATTCCCTATCAGGTACGTTCACGTTCACCTCTTGTCATATCAAATTCGCCTCGTTCTCGCCACCCGCTATCGCCTCCTCCATTTTCATCTCCTGCAATCTGGCGATGCACTTGTCCACCACGAATCTATCCACGTTGTTGCCCATCGGCTCTTCCATCTTCTCCACGGTCGATTCGCTTTTGAAATTGCCCAATTTCGGACTGGCGCAGTTACTTTGCACCTGCGGATCAGTACCTTGTATTAACACCACGAATTAGTACCTTATACAATGCAGTAAAGCCCAGAGCCCATCGTAATACAGAGTGAAAAGTCGAGCCAGCGGGTGTGCACAATTCGAGCGTAATCTGAGTTGCCTAACAGGATTTACGAATTACTATTAGAGGGAAATTACCTGCGAAGTCGAAGGAAACGACTGATTGTCAAATGCGAGCCGGTCGACGGCGACGTCGGACGCCCATCCCTCGAGAGCGGCGCTCTTGTCCTTCCCTACAAACAATTTCCATGTTTTCTTAGTGGCGCCCTTCGCTTTGGGCAGCGTACTGGCTTTCTTACCGTCGTCCAATTTGCGACGCTGCTTTTTCTTACCTTTGTGCTTCGAGCAATTGTGATTTTTGCCGGCCGACGGCGACGACTTGGGCGTCTTGTCCTTTTCGGAGAGGCCCAGCCGATCGGTGAGCTGCCGGAAGCGGGAGAATATCGAACGGCCCGCTTTCGCCTCGTCTTTTTGCACTAGGATACTGTTCGCGTCGCCGCCCACCGATTCGGTACAATTCTCACTAACGCTATGTTTGTTGTTCGGTTCCGCGACCGCCCCCGCGCCCGCCCCCGCCGGCGGTTTTTGTTCGTTCGCCGAGCACGGTAGTTTTTCACTGCACTTCAGTATGCTCCTCTTCTCGTCGGCGCTCGATAGCGTCTTGACGCTGTGCTCCGAGTTGCGTTTGTTCAGGTTCAGCGTCTCCTTCGACAGGACGCATTCGCTCGTCTCGTCCGCGTCCGATCGGTTCGATAATCCCTCTTCGAACTTCTTCTTCAACGTGAGAGCGTACTCGTCGAGGAACTCCGGCGGATCGAACGAGAGCTTCTTGTTGCCCACCAGGCAATGTTGATCGAAGCTTAAACCTACAAAGATGTTGATGATGCTTTGTAGATGATCTAGGATGCGATAGAAGACTGGTGGACTTACCTCCGCATCTGAGTTTCCCTTTGGCCACCATTTTGGCGATTTCGGAATGGTTCAAGTGCTGCACGCGCTCCCTGCTGCCCTTCCTCGAGCCCGGATAGCTCTTCCTGCCGGTGGTGACGATGCTGCTCTCGGTGGATATCTTGAACTTCAGCGTCTTCTCCGACACCTCCACCTCGTTGGCAGTCTCCGAATCGTCGCTCTCCGTGTCTTCTTGCACGTCCTCCAGGCTCTGGCCCTCGCCCAGCACCCCCTCGTTTTCGGTCACTTCCTCGTCGGTGGACCTCGATCTGCGGATGGGAATATTTACGATTGAGTACAACAGCGGGTTGTTTTACGCATACCTCGACCTGGTTTGCTGGAAGCTGAGGCTCTTCTTGATCTTGTTGCTGGAATTGGACTTTGGCACGTTCGATCCGCTGTCGGGGCTGCCCGACGTCGGCGTGTTCTGATCGTTCAGCGTCGTCTCGACGATGCTCTTGCGGTGCAGTCTTTCCTCCCTCGTTGCTTCGTTGAGTCTGCGGTAGTAGTCGAGCGCGTCGCGCACCGGCTGGATGATGAGGTCCTGCAGCTCGATGAACAGCTCGCCGAGCGCCTCGAACAGCGGCAGCAGCACGAAGCCGATGAACGAGCACTGCGACGACGGCTTGGTGATCTTCTCGCGGTCCATGAACGGCGTGACGGGCAGCCCTTCCAGCTTCTCGGCGTCGCTCTGCTTGAAGAACTCCTGCAGCAGCTTGTCCAGCCAAGGTTCGGCGACGTCCATAGGCCTGGCTTCGTTGGATATGTCTGATACTTTTATTAGGACCATGCATAACTGGAACGCAGAGGGCGAATTAGATTCGATGGTCGATTAGTTAGCGGGTAAATAATGGCGTCGCGACGGTAGGTCTGTCGATAAGGATAGACGGGAACAGGGAATAGACAGGTGTTTTGTGTGTATGTGTCACACGCGGACGTCCACTGTACGTTTAATCTGATTTTAGATAGGCGTATTCGACGTTTAATTGTTGTTTCATAGTTGGATATTTGTAATTAATTCTATCGTATCGTTTTCTGGACGATATTCTTTTACAAATTACCACTGTGTAGCGGCGAATGGTCGGTTTAAATGGCCTCTAAATCCGAACAGACGATGGTAAAAATGGATAACTTTCGGTTTTTATGAGACAATAAACTTTTCGTTTAATGATTGTCGACGTGTATTAGGGGAGAAATGGAAACATTTACCGCACGATGCCGTAAATAATATTTATACATTATATTACAGTTTATTCTTTGAGAAATGCTTCATCGAGTTTACAAGTAAAATGTGCATTATACAGGGTGTTAATTAACAAGTGCGACAAACTTCAGGGGGTGATTCTGCATGAAAAAATAATTATATTTTGCTATATAAACACATGTCCGCAAATGCTTCGTTTTCGAGATACGGGGTGTTAAAGTTTCTTCTTAAAAACTGAAGATTTATTTATTTCTCTGAAACCAGACGAGATATTTAAGTGAAATTTGGTGAGTTTTGAGAGGTAACTATTACGCACTTTTGAAATAAAATTAAAAATTTTATGTTTATCATTGACGCGCATACGGGTAATAATTTTTTTTTTTAAGAAAAAAATAATATTCGTACGCCACTGAGGCATTTTTAATGAAAATTTTATTATGAATAAATTCCCCGTTCAATTTGTGACAAAAAAACTCTCCTGTGTTTCTTTTGTATGGGTCGCTGTTTTCGAGTAAATAAATAAAACATGTTGACGTGTATTTTTCATTAAATTTTTCATTTAACTTTAACACCCCATATCTCGAAAACGAAGCATTTGCGTACATATGTTTATATACCAAAATATCATTATTTTTTCATGCAGAATCACCCCCTGAAGTTTATCGCACTTATTAATTAACACCCAGTATAAACAAGAAACTCACCAAATTGACGTGCGCCTTATCCACGTAATTGAAAGACGGTACGATCTCCTTGAAATTGGTCAATATTTCGTTATGCCTTGCCATGTCCGTCGCCAAAATGCACCTGATCATGCCTTCCCTCACCTGCTTGAAGTCATCGCTGCTGAACGACCTGAATATGTTGCAATCGTCGTTCTCCAATATTCTAAATTCACATAAAATAAAATCATTCCAAAGGAATTCTAAAGGAATCCTCAAGTAGAGAAAATTTTCAAATGCAGTCGAGGAGTTGGGTTTACCTGAAAGCAACGCTACAATGGTGGTTCTCCAAGGGCGAGATATCGTTGTAGCGAATGGCCAATTCGGTTTTAGCGTTGATTTGGTAGATGTTGTTGTATCCGGGATGGTCCAAATCGTGGCAGATACAAGACGTCAGCAGAATCAGCACTTCGAGATCGCCGATTTTCGAAGAGAGGTCCACGCACCACGAAATCGCGTACAACTGCAACCATAATAATTACCACGTTGCGGTATTGCCAAGCCATAACGAACTATTAATATCGATCTGGCAACTACGAGGCGAAAATTCTGCAGGACGTCTTTTGATGGAACTCGCATCCTGTTTATTATGCTCCCGCTCAAACGGGCGCAAAGCACAAAAGGGTAACGGTGCGGTAGATTGACGGAGAGTCCGGTTTATCTACATATTCACAGGGCGTTTCGTAAATTATTCAAACCCGACCTAAAAATCATATTCCGATCCAAACGTTCCGCCGAACGCGCAACAGGTCACTAATTTCCACCTAACCAGTTAATAATTACGAGGAACTTCGAAATAACAACCTAGCTAAGAGAAGGAGTTTCCAACTCGAGTTCTCGCAATTTCTCAGGCAGCGAAATTCGTCCTTTACGAAACTACCAGCAATTTAATACTCACCATTTGCGCGACGCAGAAGCAGTGCCGGAAATTGTGGAACGGGACGTCGTTGTAGTTTTTGTACACCTCGTAGAGGAAGTTGCGCAGCGTCGCGATGTCGATGGCGAACTTCGTGCAGAGATCGTGGTCGAGGTACATCTGCTGCAGCAGGAGCAGCAGCTCCTCGTCCTCCCAAGGGCGGGCGTCGAACGTCGGCAGCCGCAGCCACTGTCTGATGGCGTCCGAAACTTGAGCGTCACTGCGTTCAAATTATAATTGAATATTACTTATTATACTCGATGCAAAAACTTGTATCGTTTCATTCACTATATTGCACCTTTTTGGAGCCACAGGAAAATTGGTAATAGCCGTGATAAACTTTTCCCAACATTAAGAAATCCCCATCAGAAAAAATGCACTGTTTTCTAGAACACGATCTTATTCATAATGGTGGTTCGATCCCTTAGAGTAGAATTAGGATGATGGTACTTAGTCAAGATTAAGACAAGACATGATGATATTCCTGTTAAAAATTTCACGTCTCTAACTTGGCTACAACCAATTTTATAGAGTTCCAAAAAACGAGCCAAAAACAGTGTATTAAAGTAGTTATACAGGGTGTTAATTAATTGAGTGACGATAATTCAGGATGTGAATATTTGGATGATTTTAAGAAGAAAAGTTTATATTAATATATTATGTCCTAAACCTTTTAGTTTTCGAGCTGCAGGGTGTTACAGTTTTAGAACAAAAAACTTTTCTATCATAATTTTCTTATTACTCCAGATATTTTAATGAAATTTTGTACAAGCTTTTTAATTATTAAGCAGCTTTTTTGAGGCGATAAATTTTTTAAAATTGTTACCAGTGACGTCCGTACGGGGTTTGAACTGATCATAAGTTTGAAGAAAAAATGGTAGGCCACTGCTTTTTCTAAAAACCCAAATTATTTTTAAAATCCTCATTTATTTTGGAGCAAATTCGGTCGGAAGACTTACTTTATTACTAAAAAAATAGAAACCAAAACAATTTTTTCTCAAATTTATTGAGACTGCTTTTGATACTTTGTTGAAATTTGGTAGGAGCCCACCATGCACAAAAACACTTTTTTTTTTAGATTAAAAATGAATTTTCTTATACTATCACCAGTGGCGTCTTCATTCAAAATTTTATAAAAATAAATAGTAATAAGAAAATATGATAGAAAAGTATTTTTTTCTAAAACTGTAACACCCTGTAACTCGAAAACTAAGAGACTTACTTTCGTACGACTCACCATTTTCGACCATTGACAAAAATTAATTTTCTACTATTACCAATGACGTCCACGTCCTAAATTTCATAAAAATATCTGGAGTAATAAGAAAATTATTTAGTTTAAAAGTTATTTTTTTTCTAAAACAATAACACCTTATAGCTCGAAAACTAATAAGTTTAGGACATATATTGATATAAACATTTCTTCTTAAAATCATCCAAATATTCGCATCTTAAAGTATCGGCACTCAATTAATTAACACCCTGTATGTCAGCTTCATGAAGTTGGAAAACTCACCAAATATTAGCAAAATTCTGCTTGACGCGCTTCTTCACCGAATCGCTTTTCCTGCGGTATTGAAGACGCCGGCACTCTTCGCTGGATAGGGGCTCTGGAAGTTGCTTGTAGAATCCTGCGGCGGGAGAATCTAATTAATCGATCGCGTTCGGCGGCAAATAGGGCGGATTATTCGAGTGCGGCGTACGTGAAAAATCGATAACCGACTCCCAAATTCAATTGCCTTCACTTTCTCCCTATCCAAAACTCCCGAATAAATATATCAATCGGTTTGTTCTTTTTTTTTATCGCGCGTTCGGTCGATCGATCGACTTCGAAAGCTGCCAAACTAATCCGACTAGGCCGCGAAAAGTCGACGGAAAACAGAACTAATTAACGGGAAAAAACTCTCCAGAAAGATAGAATATTTAACTTAATTTGGTTAATTAACTCGGCTTCCTAAATGGAATTCCATTCCATTTTAATCTGTTAGCTATTAGTCCGGGAAAATCGATGAAAAATACCATCGAAAACCAATGCAAAATTTATACTTTTCTTCGTTAAAACCAACAACAACTACTCCAAATACCAGTTACATCTTATTAGTTACACGAGTTTACTAATAATATTCTATATATTAGGGTAAAATTTCGAATTTCCCCGGACTATCGACGCTAACTTAATTTTAATTCGCGTGCCATTCAAATGGAGAACGACTGCAAACTTCCGGAAGTTGATTTTAGTTATTCTTCGAGGACTCGAAACGTTTCGAGCGGCTTAAGGATTAAGAGGCAGGATCGGGATTACAGGATTAATAGGCGACTGCGGAAGAGAAAAGTCGTGTTTGCAAATTAACTTCGATTGAATGCGCGAAAGAAGGTTTTTTCCGCTATTTCTCCACGAATTAAATCAGTTCGGTTCAGCGGAGTCGGGGAATATTCAACCAATTTATAGCTATAATTGGATGTAATTGGATTTTACCTGTCTATCAATATAAAAGTAGATTCGGCGAATTATAATTAACCGAACGAAAAAATATTACCTACTCCAAAAATAGAAATTAATTTCCTCTAAAATAATTAAGTACCTACCTACAACGTACTAATAAGGATGCGAGACGCTCCATTTTGCGGGATTTAAAATGCATCGCGAACCCAATTAAAAGTTATTAACCATGTTGTCTGCAAGCAATAAGCCCGCGTGAGTGCCGGTATAATTAACTTTTACACCGACGAATGCATTTCTCATATACCGAAAATAAATTACAGATATCGGAAATCGTATGTACGAGTAGTTTCTCCCGAGTTCGCCGGAACGTGCACCTAATTCATTATAAAAGTTCCGCGCCGAGGAAAATGCCTGTTCTCTCTACAAAAGCCTCATGCATGCCCGGCTTTGTAATGGCATGAATATTTAAATTATGAAAACCTGAAAGGGGTTTTCGATAAGAAACATCAATACCACTTATCAGATCGGATTTCTTTTCCCTTTCGCAAGTGGTATTAGAAAAGCGGCGTTCTATTTACTCAAAACCCAACGAGCGGTACACCCAAAGACACCCCAAAGAGACCGCGTTTATTTAAGCCTGTTAAGGTACAATTCGATAAAAATAAATGCGCATATGTGATAAATTGAATTCGGCAAATCCTATACACCCATAGGATGATTCCTACAGTACAGTTTTTATACCTGAATACACCTTAAAATGGTGAAAATTAAAGGCATATTTCGGAAAAATGAAGGCTCTTTTTTGAGTTGTATCTGAGAGTATAAGTAGTTCTTACATTGATTTCAGTTTAAAGGACAGCTCATTAATATCCCTCCTTGAAGCACAATTAGTTACTCCCTCGTAAAACCCTTTTACTCTATTAATAAAATTGAATCAAAACTTTATACAGCCCCGTATTAAAACGCATCTTTCGACGTCCGCGAAACTTTTAATAAACCCGGATATTTTAAAAGGAACCTAAAACGTCATTAGGTAATTCCGAAAGTAATCCGAACTGTAGGCGATAATTCGCATTCGCAGGAATTGCATTAGACAAATTAGTTTCCTCGGAAACTCCGCCGTTTCGCTACTTCCACTTCCACGTAGATCGGAAAGTTTCCATAACACAAACCACCCGACGAAAGCGGGAGGATATATCTCGCGGATAACCGGGAACAGTACGATACTTTTCGCGAATCGATAAGCACCGTCACATCGATCGCTCTTTTTCCGAAAGACACGCAAATTGCCCACCCGAGTCATCCGGCAAACTCCGGGCTCCCGCGCGTCGTCAAACGGAGCCCCGATCGAGGCGAAGGTTCGCATCAAAGGCAAACGAAGGCCGTTAATTAGCGAAGAACCTCCGGCGACCGGCCGGTCATCGGAATACCTGCTGTAATAAATTCTATTTCTATCTGCTGTACGTCATATTACCGGTAATGCACGTCGTACCGACCCGTCCAAATGGACTGTCAAATCAATTGATAATTACGGATTACACCTCCAGCTAATACTGATTGATTTGTTGATTAATTCGTTAATTAGTACTAAACACAAACCTTGCAATCATCGTTTCTTATACCGAAGGAACTATAGTAGGATTTCTAACAGTAGAGGAAGTGCGCCATATATGGACCATCATAAGAGCTTTTCTCAATAAAAAGTCGAATTTTTAATTTTAATCAGCTTTATTTTTATTAAACAATTCCTTAACCATTTAATTAAGAAAAACTCCATCCAGATTTTTCCATTTCTAGAATATTATTGACTAATTCATCTTCCAATTCACTCGGTAATGTTGATTGTCTTCCAAGTTTTTGGGTGGTGATATCATTAAGTGATTTGTTTTGGGTGTATCTTTTGGAAGCATTCAAAAAACCCATTTTTTTTTCGTGCATTTTTAATTGCCTCCGCCATTGCGTTTTTTATCCCGTGTTTGTCTGGTTTTCTCTATTGTTTTAGAAACCATTTTAGAACATAAAAATTAATTTTTAGCCACTCCATATTTAAAACGTGCCACTGGTCTATATTGTGATACCTAATCATTTTGAGATTATTATTTTTTTTCAGAAAATTGGAATATTATAGAATATTAAAACTTAATACAATTAATTACAACATGACTCACCTTCCTCGTGGTCTTATCCACTTACATATAAAATAGTCTTTTTTGGATTAAAAAACTTCCAAAGTTCGCTAAAAAATTAGATCGCGCGTTGTAGAAAACTAAAAAAGTGATGAGTGATGCTTAGTGTGTGATGATCATTTACTCGATATAAAGAACGTTCTTCTTAAAATGGCGGTACTCTACTAATTATATTTCATGATTTGAAAAATAACCCAAAAAATCTGGATATTTCCAATGATAAACCTAAAAAAATCCTACTAAAAACCTCTTAAAACAGCCAAAAAATCCTATAAAATCTCCTTTAATATCACGCATTAAAAAACCCTCAAAACTAATTGTACAAAACTCTTAAAAAATGTAACAAAAACCATTAAAAAAATCCATATTTGTCGCACTTACTCTACTCACATTCTTATAGATAAATAAAATTGAGTAGTATAGTATATCTGAGTACTTACCGAGCCAGCTCAGACTCTCGTTGGTCTCCAGTTTCTCCTTGAACGCCTCGACCTCCCGCTGGAGCTCCTCGACGGCGGGCGGGAGCGGCAGCTCCCAGCGCAGCTGCCGCTCGATGGCCGACACGCGGGCCTCCAGGGCCTTCAGGTCGGCGCCGGTGGACTCCTGCAGCATCGCCAGGCCGTTGGCGGCGACCACTTGCAGGGAGTAGCGGCTGGTCTGCGCGGTAACACATCATTAATCAGTCTCTATGTACCACCACCACGTCTACTAGGTGTTCAATATTATCGATATGAGTGGTGGTAAATGTGTGTTATTAGGACTTTATTCAGTTGAAGAAGTTGTAGTGATTTTAATCTTGGAAATTTATTAAATTGGTTTTTTTGGCCTCTTTCTATATACTCTATCTACCAGTAAATTTGTTTATCCAAAGGGTATAAATTCAACCGTCTTAGACGTGTGGTGATTTCAAACAGAACAAGAGCATTTAGAGAAACTTACTTCAGTGTTTGAGGGAAGATCAGAGCAAATGTTCAGCAATTGGCCGTCGGTGTTGTAAAGTTTAAGAATGTCCCTAGGTCCTGCCTCAGCAGCCGATCTGAATAGATCTGAAACAAACCACAAATAAACCAATAATTATCAACACACTTTACCTCCTCTATTACGTTATAAATGCGTCAATATCAATAACATAACGAGTACATTGTACAATTATTTTTGCGCTCGAAACGGTTTTGTAACGCAAACCTTTGCGAATGTGCCGGCGTTTGTAATTAATCGCGTAACGAAACACCCGGGATATTTTTCCAACTAAATATTCGAATAGCGCGTTTAGGGTCTCGCGTTGTAATGTAATTTTCCGGTAATTTGTTTAAAAAAAAGACGGGTAATGCGATCCGACTAGTTAATAGCCTACCTGTTAAATGAATTACCCATCATAAATGTTCGAAACGGGATCCCCGTAATGCAGATATCTTATTAATGAACGGGTTTGCGGCGTTTCGGGTATTTATGAATCTTCATTGGTATTATTATAGGTATAAATTTACACGATATGATCCTGGAATAATGGACCCATTTAGCTCTAGGGTTTCCAATAGGGTTGCTCTATGTAATTGTCGATATTATTCTTAATTACCAGTTCAGCGCTAGTAATTGATAGTTGATGTGATTGAAGGTTTTGGTGTATTGAATTTTACATTATTAAAATTTTAATTTACCATGTAAACCGCGCGAAATCCAATTTCACCTAAAAACCGTAGAATAATTAAAAAATTTCAATTAAAGCGAACGGTTATAAGACAATAATTTCGAGTTAACGAAGTCGTATGTGGCGCCATTTGGAGTTAAACGAATTTTTAAAAACTGCTCCGTTTTGAACAACATAATCCGGGGGAAATAAAGAAACCTCCAACAACGCGCGGAAAAAGCGAAATTGAAAAAATAAATAGCTTTTTCTAATTACAAAGCTAGCGTCAGACGGAAAAACCTTCTGTGGGCTAAGAGCTAAGAGAACAAAAAAAATGGTTATCATTGCAGTAACGCGCAGGGGGTTATTATGGAAAAATATTTGTTTTGGGGCTTTTAAAGCATGGAATTTTCTCTAGAAGAGTTTTTCTCTAAATTAGGTCATAAGTAAGTCGTTAGTTTCTTTGGTATTTGAGAATAGTAATGCATGAGAAATTTTTGTGACACCACTGACAGTCGAAAAACGAACTTACATAATTCTATTTCGCGATAACTAAATCCGTTCGAAAAGTCCATTAAACAGCCGACTGCCGTCCTTTCGCGAGTAATAACTGCGTCCCAGATATTTTCTCGTCTGCGAAATTTTAATTGCTTCTTTTGCAGGAACGACTGTCAAAAGGATAGTCCGTTTTGTAAGTCAACCTTCCGCGTAAATACCTATCCGTGTCCCTTCGCAAGCGGAATCGATATCCCCGAACTCGATTTTACGCTATATTTTATATCGATACCCCGATTTATGTTATTTTATTTAGCCATTTTTTCGCTACATAAATCGCTGTATATCGCACCTACGGGGAAAACGCGCATAAATCTCTATTATCCGTCGAAGGTATGAATAATATGAATGCCCATTGATTATTGATTGCCGTGTAGGTACCGGAAACGATGCGTTAGTTTCTACCCGGAACAAGGCCGAAGGTTTTCCGAAGGAAATAAGGAATGGAAAAGTGTGATTGATGAGGGCTCTACGCAACGTACGACATATAGCCGGTAAATAAACCTTCACGTACGAAGATAAATAGGAGCATATAATATAACGTATTGTTCAAGGGATTTATATTGTTCTTCGGACTGTAAAGTATTGAGCGCTTCTGCTCTATCTATATACAATAATTATACTCTGTTCGCTATCGGGAGATAGTAATACAGAACCGGCTACAAAATTAGGTTTTATTACTATCTTCTGATAGCGAACGGAGTATAGATGAAAACTTCATTAGGTACTACGATTATTCAGCCGAATAATCAAGAAATGATAATTTTTTGCGTACTTAGTTATCTTTTTTTACATGTTAGAAATGACACAATTTGAGCTCTAAATAATTCAGATTTAGAAGTCTTCTCAGAATTTTCACTATGTATTCTTTTAAGAGTCAATTGTACACTAAATTTTTTACTCGCCCTTTTAAATACATATACATATTTCAAATGATAAAGGAATTTGATAAATAATTATAGTGAGCCCCTGAATACGTCCGCCATTTAGAAACGTGAAATAGGTACCCCTAATTTTCAATTTGTTCTTGTCATTTTGCCATTTGACTATTTTAGAAAATTCTTAGTTTTTGTAAACTCTATAAAAGTTCGGCAACACTGCCTACTTATGAGGTAGTAAATCATAGGTGACGTGCATTGATATTTGTTTTACACCGACTGTATCTGTACACTTGTTTAAACTCATGTGGACATACTGTAGATTGGCTGGTTTAATTCAGTCAATCTATTTATGATTTTATGATAGTTTTTGTAAGAAGATTAACTTGAGTGGAAGGGTATTATTGGATACAGTAATCCGGTAAAGCAATTTTACTGTTCACACAATCCTAAGTAAATATTATTTTTTATTTTTTATAACATTTTTAGAGCTGTTTAGGGGGATCATCCATGATTTTTTCTACAACTTTTCAGACTTCAGTTAGGCCTCAAAAATATCCAGTCCTAGCAGACTGAATCGCCAGCAATTTTCCACAAAATCCGATTTACCATCGTCAAGAATATATCGTCACGTTCATCGAATATCCCAGATTAAATATTTGACGCGAAACTCAAATCGACGACTTTCCAATTTCCATGCATTCCGAATTTTATATCGTTGTCTCGTAACTCGCGCACCGTCGCCTTCCGATCCGAATCCATTATGCACCGACTGCATCGGCCGTGTATGCAACAAAGCGACGCTTTCCCGATACACCGATACACGTAAAAGCGCCGGGACGCCCCCCCGTTGATCCATTATTCGTGTCAAAGGACCGAAAATGCCGCCTTGAGAGCCCGGTTCTTCGCCGGTAACGGAAGGATAACGTTGTTGGGGTTTAAGGGTTTAGAGTACGAGGGCGCCGCCTTCGACTCGGCAGGTGCATGCAGGAACGTGTTGTGCCTTTCGCAGGAGTTATTTTCGCCGGCGGAGATTTATTTACGCTTTTAGAACGAGCAACGCCCTGAATCGCAATGGGGAGAATTCGACGAAGAAAACCGGTTGCGAAATACACCGGTCTATTTATGCGTTTTCCGCTTTGAAGCTTCTGTAATTAGCGCTGCTAAAGTTGCTAAAATTAATTACTAGGTATCTGCGGTATTAAGAAATTTATTATTTTTTTACTCGGTAATTTGGTGAACTTCAACCTACACATACATAGCTTTCGCGTTTAATTACTGTGGGGTGTATTATTCATGTTATACAGAGCGAGTAACGCTCAACTGAACTTCTCTCCATGAATTTTTAAAATCTTTCGTACCTACTCAGTCCCATTGGACGTGACTCGCCCTGTATATACACTTGGTTTCTGTTATTTTATTTCGCGTTGTTTCCGACGACCCCGCACGCGAAACATCCCCGCAACAAAACACATAAAACTTTTAACCCGTCATAAAAACTCGGTGAATAATAGACGAAGTCTCCGTATCCTAGGAATAATTCCTCGAACAATGCGCCGGAAGGTGTACTGCTCGGTTCTAAACAAACGTATAAATTGAAATATAAAAGAGTTGATGGATGTTTGCACAATCGGATTTTCCTTGCGGGAAACCCTCCTGAAGGACGACGTTCGTGCGAAAGACTTCCCGCGAGGAAGAATATAAATCTGCGATGTCGAGGCATCAAGGTTTCTTTTATATAGTCGGTACAAAACAAATGCACAAAAATATCAATGCACGTCACTTGTGATTTACTACGTAACAAGTAGACAGTGTTGCCGAACTTTTATAGAGTTTACAAAAACTAAGAATTTTCAAAAATTGTCAAATGGCAAAATGATAAGAATAAATTGAAAATTAGGGGTACCTGTTTCACGTTTCTAAACGGTAGATGTAATCAGAGGCTCACTATAATTATGACTCACTGATATTTGTTTTGCACCGACAATAGACTCCTATCTCTCCTAGGCGAAGTTTATTAATTTAAAACGTTTGTGAATTACGAATTGATTTTTTTTTCTACTCAACGGTGTGTCTAAGTAAAATAATTAGCGAGGATAACGTGACAAATTTCAATTAGCCACACTTACATATATTGGAAAGCCATTTAAAAATCGATAACTTTATACACTTTTTGCTCTATCGAGATTTTATCGATATTGGGCACGCCCCATTTTTCCCGCCGGCAAAAAATGGAAGGACACCAATGCACTAAAACCCCGTTAATTAATTCAAACATACGATACAGAATAATAAAAACGACAGAATTTATCAAAAGAACTACCCATGCTTGCATTTTTTCCATTTTTTAATTGAAACTTGTGCATTTACGTGAAATTGCATCAGGTTTTTATTTTGTGTAAAAGCTACCTGAATATTGATACTTTTTCCACTAGCTTTTTAAATTCGAAAATTAACAAATAGACTTTATTCAATCATAACAAACTATTATTCCTGCAATAATAAACCTAGAATATTCCCTCACTGATTAATTGGTAATTTTTTTCATAAAACGTTTCGACCTCCACAAGATTTCATCTTCAGGTACTCGAGCATACGCAACTACTATGTATCTTATCGAGTCGCTTGCTATAAAATTCCCCTTATTTTTCCACCCCCTATAGATTCTAAGAGTTTATTGACAAGATCATCTAATCTTCTGTTAATAAATATCTTCATGTCCATCCGTCGGGGGGCGCAAATCCGACAATATAGCGTCCTCGACCGTCCTTCGGCGAAGGATAGATCGGGATAGATAACCTATTTCGGGCTGACGTCCGTCCGTCGAGCTGTCGTTGAACCGGGCCCGCCCCAGAGTAAGCGCCGGGACGCCGGAGAATAGTCCTCCGGGGAGCGACGCAGCTTTATAAAACGTCAGGAGTTTTCTCGGCGGCGCTGTTCCCTCGTAATTAAAGGGAATATATTAAATCGGGTTGACCCGCGTTTT